ATAAGTTGGGCTCGTTTCCGGTGAGAGATGGACACCGCCAGGGCTGCCCTTTGTTACCGAGTCTGTTCATAACTTTTATGGACAGAATTTCTAGGCGCAGCCAAGGTGTTGAGGGGATCTGTTTTGGTAGCCTTAGGATTGCATCTCTGCTTTTTGTGGATGATGTGGTCCTGGTGGCTCATCTGGACATGATCTGCAGCTCTCGCTGAAGCGGTTTGCAGCCAGGATGAAGATCAGTACCTCCAAGTCCGAGGCCATGGTCTTGAACCGGAAAAGGGTAGAGTGCCTTCTATGGGTCGAGGGGGGTGTCCTGCCCCAAGTGGAGGAGTTCAAGTATCTTGGGATCTTGTTCACGAATGAGGGAATAGAGAGCAGGAGATCGACAGGCAGATTGGTGCAGCGTCTGCCGTGAAGGTGAAGAGAGAGCTGAGCCAAAAAGCAAAGCTCTTGATTTACCAGTCAATCTATGTACCCACCCTCATCTATGATCATGAGCTTTGGATGATGACCGAAAGAATAAGATTGTGGATACAAGCGGCCGAAATGGGTTTTCTCCATAAGGTGTCTGGGCTCTCCTTAAGAGATAGGGTGAGAAGCTCGGTCATCCGGGAGGGACTCAGAGTAGAGCCACTGCTCCTCCACATAGAGAGGAGCCAGTTGAGGTGGCTCAGGCATCTGGTTAGGATGCTTCCTGGACGCTTCCCTGGGGAGGTGTTTCGGGCATGTCCTACCGGGAGGAGGTCCTGGGGAAGACCCAGGACACGCTGGGGGGGACTATGTTTCTCAGCTGGGCTGGGGAAAACCTTGGGATTCCCCCAGAGAAGCTAGAAGATGTGCGTCGGGAGAGGGAAGTCTGGGCTCCCGGCCTAACCCCGGATAAGCAGCAGACGATGGATGAATGGAAAAAAATAAAAGAGATGACTGGCCCAGGTGATAACTGTGGAAGAGGTGTAATTATTTTGATTCACAAAAGCATACCATTCCAAATCCTAAAAACAATAAAAGACCCAAATAATAGATTTATTTGGAATAATAAAAATTATTTTTCCTCTCTCTGGCAGGTGCCTATTTTACCTGCCAGAGAGGGGGGTTACAACTCCCTAATTTTAAATTATATGCACTCTGCCATGTTCTACTTTTCAGCTGAGACACTCCCAGCATGGATAAAAATTGAACAGTTAGTATCAAGCCTTAAATTAAATTTGTATTTATGTTCTGCAAGGTCAAAACACTTCATAAAAATGATTAAAAAAAAAACCTTTTCAGAAAACAGAATTGATGTTTGGTATAGCACCCATCAGTATAGTGGAGCCATTCCTTCCATCTTTTCTTTTTCACCTTTTTTGGCAAAAGAAATGTTAAGACAGGAAGAGCTGATGGAGGTTTCAAAAATCTGGGCTAATGAAGGTCTCAAATAACATCTTAAATAAACACTTTTATAAGTATTTAGGAATTAAACACTTCATTATGTCAAAAAGAAAAAAAATCTAGAGATTGAATTCAAAACACCAGTGTCATAACTAGAAAATATTGTTTTACAAAATGTAGAGAAGTCATATTTCTTTATATATGTAGCTTTAACCAAACAAAGCGATGCAGCATTCATCTTCTACGCACAATAAATCTGAAACAAACTTCCAGAAAATTTTCAAACAACTGAAACACTGACTTCCTTTGAATCTAGACTAATCTAGCAGATCCACCTGTTCTGAGTTTTATTTAAAACGCAATTAATTAAGAATTTAAGATCATGTTTTGATTGTTGATTCTATGTTGCATGACTTTGTGTTTTTGTATTTATTATGATGTAAAGCATTTTGAAATACCTTGCTGCTGAAATGTGGTATACAAATAAAATTTGATTGACTTATTTAATGCATGATGAGGAATCCACCACCGATAGATTGAATGCATGGAGACCTGACATACAAAAAGAGATACAAGTAGGAAACTACATGTTGAAAAGCTCAGTCAATCATCACAAGGATCAGACTCCTCAAAAATAAGTGATTGATGAGAAGTAGCATAACTACGAACAAACTGAATTGCTGGTCACCAAACATCCCAGATAGCTACAGTAAATGTTTAGTTTGAATTGTATGGTGGAAATTTTCTGCCATAATCCAAGAGCACATATTTTCAGTCTGAAAGAGGAATTTCATGTCTTTTCTTCTCAAAACGTTTATTACTTCTGCTTATATTTTTATTTTGAAAGCAGAACTTCATGTCTTTCTTCTCAGAACTTGAAATGCTTGTTCTCCAAACTTCTTCTCGTGCTCACACTTAGTCTCTGCTTGGACTCTGCTTGCTTCTGGAACAAAATTGAACCTTCCCCTGGCAACCTCTCAGCCAGTAGAATGAAAGTGTTGCACTGGGTGCATTTGTTCCTGTGATGGACCGAGTTAAAACAGGAGGAGTCACGGTATATACCATATTTAGAAAAAATAGGGTGTTTTTATTTTAACCCAAAAATCATAAATAACAAAGGATGAACTGATCTCATAAAGAGGTAAAAGAAACAAAACTGAACTCAGGCAAAAGTGTAAGCAAACTAGCTGCACAAACAAACATACCTGACCTAACAAAGAAATGACACACAGGGGTTTATATACTGGCTGATCAGACCAAGACACAATAGGGGTAACTAAAGAATACAAATAACACAAAACAAATAGCACAGCTAAGTTTGGCTAAACTACAGACCCAAAAATGCAAATCAAAAATAAACTTTAAATACTAATGTTTACTTAAATACAAAACTTATCGAAACAAAAACTCTCATATCCCCTGCCAGCAGGAACTGGTGGTGCATTCCAATTAACATTTAAACTTGTTGAGGCCTGGCCATTATCTTTTGTCTGGTATCTCCAGGCAGGCAAGTACAACATAGGGGTGTGGCCATGGATTTGGCCATCACAGTTTCCTCAGAGCAGGGGTGTCAAACTCCAGTCCTTGAGGGTCGCTGTCCTGCAACTTTTAGCTGCTGCACCACTGAATACAATAATAGGTCATTAGCAAGACTCTGGAGAACTGATCTACACAAGAAGGAGGTAATGAAACCATTTCATTCCAGCGTTTTGTACCTGTGGCACATCGAAAAACTGCAGGACAGTGGCGCTCGAGGACTGGAGTTTGACACCCCTGCCTTAGAGCGTATGCCTGTGTGGCTACTATTGATTGTAGCAACCTGCGCCACCCACTGGTTGTAGGAAGAAACAACGGTCTCATCTTTCTGCTCCATGTTACACTAACATCCACTAGCAGTGTGCTACTTGTCTCTAAGGACTTTCTGATATTAGGCATTAGTTTGTTCACACAACCAACTGCCTACATCCAGTGGGTGGCGCAAGTTACTACAATCAGTCCCAAAAGGCAGTTTCAAAGGCAAGCTTTTGGAACTTTTGTTTCTTAAACGAGTAGAATTCTGGGAGAGTGCCAGGAGAAAGGTTTGAGAAGAAAGACATAAAGTCCTGCTTTCAAAATGAAAATATAAGCAAAAGTATTAAAAGTTTTGTGAACTCCAGCACTCAGTGTGCCCACAGCTTAAGGATTTCAGGGAAACACCAAAGAGTATTATGTATTATGTACCAGAGAGAAGGATCAAAGGAGCAGGACAAACTCAAAAATGCAAAAACAAGAATATTCTCAAAATAGATCAAACTAATCCAAGGTTCTCTACATTATGATGGAAGCCAATCAAATGTTGATTTGTGATGTAAGAATAATGGTAGTTTACACTGATGAATAATGAAACACTTGCATGACAAATTTAATCAGAAATGATTGAATTTGTCATTTTCATTGGTTTTGCTTGTATAAGCTCATAGAAAAGTCACCAGGTTTCATTTGTAAGTCTCAGGACTAGAGTTAATTATCACCTAGAGCACATGTCAAACTCGAGGCCCCTGGGCCAAATCTGGCTTGCTATAGCTTTTTATGAGGCCGTCTAGATTCTGGACTAAACATTAAGTGTGCTTAAATATCATCTTATTAATCAAATCAGTGCAGTTTTTCATTCATTTACTGCCAAATTATATCAATCAGTCCCTCTGTTTCTTGAGAATTATCATGGAAATTCACATAAAATCAACAAATCCCTGCACCTTTTTGCACTAATATATAACTGGTGGTTTATTGCAGACTTTCCTCTAAAATTGTCAAAAACTTTCTTACTTGTGCTGTAGACCTGGATCAGCTGTAATTGATGTCAGATTACAGTCCATGATCTATACAGAGAGTAATAAAAAGTCAAAGTTGCCTTCATAAATAAGAGCAAATATCACAACTATTTTGATATTAGTATGACAAACATATATTTACTGCAAAAAAAAAAAATCACAAAAAGTGTGATGAAATCCTGGAGGGACTGAAAAGATGTTCCATGATATTATTTAATTTTAAGAATTCATTGATATTTTATGAGTTTATGAAGAGATGTTATCAATGCATTCTGGCACAACTGGCCCTTTGAAAGCATTTATGATTTTGATTTGGCCCAAAACACAGATGAGTTTCACACCCCAGACCTGGAGGGAAACCCTATGGAGTGTATCAAATGTTGGCCACATAAAACAATGTATGAAAAACTATGTATATAAATTTGTTTTAAAAATATCTACTCAAGTTGGGACAAAGAAATGTATGTATTTTTGTTCTGTTTGTAATTGTTCATGACCTCACAGTTAATAATTAAAAATAATTATTTACCAAAATTGCACATGATGTCATTAGTTCTCCCATTGATGGATACAAAGTAATTACCATTTACACCTTAGTGAATTTATCCTTAGCAGCAATGTGAAATATCTGCTTATAATGACGTCAAAGTCACATGAAGCAGGTTACTCATTTCTTAAAATCATGTGAAAGACATTCTCACTCAATGATAAACCACAAGTAAACCATAATAAATACATCATGGGTATAATGCTCTGGAAACAGGTTTTTTATGCTTTTGTTTTTAGGTCAAAGTCTTAAAAGTGAGTATTAGAGTTGCTGAAGCAGGGGAAGCCATTCAGAGTCACCATCCAAGAAGTCCCGTCTCGATGGCTGGGACACTGCAGCCTTCATGGCTGCTCCTCTGTCTTGTCTTTCTGTTGTATGGACTGCCGGGAGAGCCAATGGACAATTCACAACTGACACAGTAAGTTTGAATCAAAAAGATCAAAGAAAGATTTAAGGAGATTCAATGTAATGTGTGAATAACTTGTCTTTTTTTGGTTTTCTTGTTTTACTTTATCCTGGATAATTAGGATTTTGAAATCATGCAGATGATATCTGGAACAAGATTGGGTAAATTTGTACTTTATTGGATTGCTTCAAAGCCCGAATGTTTGTTTTGCAGGCCTCGTATGCTTTCAGAAAATGGTCACCTGGTGTTTAAAACAGGTGACAACAAAGAGATCCGCTTCGAGCCTTCGTCATCAGGCCGGGTAAAAGTGGGCAATGAAGACCTCACACAGCTTCTAAGCCAGGTAAACTCAGGTTTCAGTTCAGGTCTATGCATACCAATGTCATCTGATACAGCAAATTTACTGTAAGTCAATGAAAGTTTCCACGCAGAGGCCATTTCATTGATGGAGAGCAAATTCAACACACACAAAAAAACCAGCTACTTCTTGTTCCAAACAGAAAACTACAAGGATAAAATTGATATGACAGATGTCATAAAAACATTGAATTAAAGAGGACACATTATACTATATTCTGGACATCACAAAGTTATAAATATTCAGACGTTCGCAGTTATCACAGCAACAGTGTCTTCACAGGCCTGTCCAACAAATCAATCCTCCAGCTGCAGCTGATCCAGAAGCTGCTGCTCCTGTTCTCACTAAAACCAGGAAGATAGAAACATAACAGCAGTTTTAAAGTCCCTCCACTGGCTCCCTGTAGCTCAAAGAATAGATTTTAAAATACTGTTGTTAGTTTATAAATCACTGAATGGCTGGAACATATTCAAGATCTGTTGTCGTATCAACCTTCCAGATCTCTCAAGTCTTCTGGTTCTGCTCTTTATCAACAGAACCAGAACCAAACATGGAGAAGCAGCTTTCAGCATCTATCCACCACAAATCTGGAACAAACTTCCAGAAAACTGTAAAACAGCTGAAACACTGAGTTCCTTTAAGCTCAGACTAACTCTAGACTGAAAACCCACCTGTTTATGAAACATATCAATGAAATATGAATCAACAATCTGATATGTAACAATGGCATTTGACTTAATGTAATGTTTCAGTTGTGGACTTGTTTTGACATAGAGTTGAGAAACTACATGATGAAATTAGAATAACATTTCAAGCTGAAATCTCAAACTTCATTGATGAATTGTAATCTGGGCAAAATTCATTGTGTGATATCTGATGTTTTAATCTGTCTTTACTATGTCTGACTTCACGTAGGAAACAATGACCATAAGTTTATTCTTTGCACATAACCATCAGTAACAGCAGTTAGTCTACCTTTGTAAACTGCAGACATGTATTTTGAACCTTGTGTAAATGTCTTACCTTATTACATTTTACACACATAAAAGGCTGTTCCTGCTCATACAATGATTAACAAGTTTAGACTTCTACACAGTAAGCTCAAAGGTCAAGTGGCCCGAGGACTGCAGTCAATTGGTTCAGGATGTAAATTGTGTGCAGTAAGCATTTTAATGCAATGCATTAAATCATACCCCTGTAAAAATATTAATTGTATTAAAATATGTTCCCTGGAAAAAAGTATGTATTATTTGTTAAAGTAACTTTTCGCTGTCAGTAACTTAACTCCCTGCTTCTCATCTCATACTTCACTTTAAAATGTCTTTATCTAAAAAGAAACTGATTGGGAAATCATGTCATAGCTATATGACTTTTGCCACAGCTGTATGATTTTAATGAGGATGACTTCTTAAAATCTATCTCTTTTATTTTTGATCAAAACAGATCATGTTGTATATTTTTGTTTTAAAACTTTGTGTTAATCCCTGGTCCCCTAGAATATTTTTAATAATGATTTTAATGATATTTTTATTTTTAAAATATTTTTAATCATATTGTGAGAATGTCTCTGTGTTAACACCTGTTAACAGCATCCTAACAACATGCAGAAAAGCTTAGCATCAGAGTGATGACAAAACCAGACGGCTCCACATCATTATGCCATCAGCTACTAAACTGATGCTTTTCTTCTATGGACTTATTTTATCTGTTGGTCCTGTTTTACAATCTAAAGTAGCAAAATAATCTGTCTTGTTTTATAGCAGACTGCTTGACTGATGATAGTTTTGCTGGTTTAGAATTTAAATGTTACATGATAATTTCTACTATGTAAAATTGCACAAACTTTTATAACATATTTAGAATTTTTATCAACCAAAGATGTTTCTGGGCCAGTTACAGGTGATGAGGTTGTGAAGCTTTGACAAAGCAGTAATGTCTACTATATAAAGTTAATTTTTTATTTAAGAAAAAGAAGAAGAAAAAAAAGGTAAATACACTGACTGACAAATGATGCTACTCACATCACTCCCTTCATTCATATCCAACAAAACAACAATGTCTGAACCTATTATATCCTTGACTTTGTTGCACTCCTTTTTTTTAGTGAAACTTGCAATATTTTTTGATAAACTAGTGAATATGGTGCCCAAATAATATCATTTTAACTGTATTTTCATTCTTATTTTAGATCAAAACTAATACAGAAGACATTGATGACATCAAGACTCATGGAGGAGCAATTCCTCCTGAAATCTCCAACAACCTCAAACAACTTAATACCAAGGTAACAGAAATCTAATATATTTTATGTGAAGAAGATGATCAATACTAGAAGTAATCAGTAATACATATTAAAGGGTAGATATATGGAATTTAGAAGTTCCTGGCTGTTCTGAAGGTGCCATATCAAAGGAAACTTGGGTTATGTCAGGGACAACCACTACAACAGCTAAAGGACGACTCTGTTGTTAAGGAGCCAGTGCTCTTACCAATGGAAACGCACTAAATGACATTTGAAATGGTTCACTCATCCATACTCTTCTTGTGAAATAAGAAGATTCATATCTAAAGCAGTGCCCATGTCAACAGAATCTTTTGAAGCTGACGATCAGCTTCAAGACTAAGAGAAACGCCTGGCATTTACTAAAACCTCAGCTACATTTTCTAACAGCAAATAAATGTTTGCCTGATTTTATTTCACAGTTTATTTGAATTTAACCCACAAATTGTGTAACATTATAAAGCTATTAAGAATGTGTACATTTCCACAACAAAACTTGACTTTCCATGATTCTTGCAGGTGACAACACTGGGTAACCAAGTAACAGAACTTCAACAGGTGAGACTTAGAAGTGAGTGATCATGCTTCAGAACTAGAAACTATGTTGGTTTCCTGCTTGTTTTTTTTAACCAGACAGTCCAGACAGTGTCTTGCAGCAGTGATCCTTGCCAGAATGGAGGAACATGTCTGAACCTATTGAACTCCTATCACTGCCTGTGTCCAAGCAGCTGGGCTGTGAGTTCTACACTGTTTAAGAAATAAAAATACATAGTTTATATATCACTTTCAGCTTATGACATGCTAGAATGTGATTGCAGTGACGTTATGATTTGAGTTTTATGTACTTTGTGTATGTGTGTTGTGTGTCAGGGTGCTAACTGTGCCAGTGATGTAAATGAATGCCAGACATTTGCAGGAACACTGCAGGGTTGTCAGAACGGGGCAACCTGTGTCAACAGCCCTGGAACATTTATGTGAGTCTTTAGCTTTCCAAGGCATATACCTTTATGGTAACATTTAATGCAGTGGTTCTTAACATTTTTTGAGATACTGAACCCACCAGTTTTGTATATGCATTCACTGAACCTTTCTTTACTGATTAAAAAAAAATATAATTTTTTTTTTAATTCAAGACATAGGTATATGCTTTTTTTTTTCTTTTACTGATGCACAAAATGAGCCATGCATGAACATCACTTTGCTCAAAGAACAAAACCAACACAGTATATGAACTCACACCAAATTGTGTTAATACTTTTTTCAGACCAACAAAAAATATTTCGGCAGTGGGCACCATAAAAGAATTTTAGCCCCCAAAAATATGTTTTGGCTATTTCACTAATTAAAAATACATTTGATGTTTTTTTCAGAATTTAACAGTTTTTAATAACTTAATTTTTTTTATTTGAAATTTAATTTGTTTTTTGTCATTTTGAATCTACAAAATACCTTTTTACTTTTTCCCATCTCCATGTAGTTCCAAGAAGTGTTCCCTTAGTTTTGGCAGTGGGAGACTAGAGTTGCTCAACTTGGCGTTGCATATCATGCAGATGGGACTCTGAGTCCCATCTCGTTCTGTGATACATGTGAATCCACGTTGTACATATTCGTCCGACCACTTTCTTTTTTTGCTCGACTTGTGTAGTATGGATTAAAATATTGAGAAAGAAACCACACGACGTACAACTACGACAGCCGTTGAATACCACTCCCGCTAAATTCCCCGAAGCACTGATTGGCCAAGCAATGTCACATGATCCTCTGAAGCAAGTGATGGCCAAGCGAGGCGCGTCATCACAACTTTACCTCCGTGGCAGAGGCTCCGCTGATAGAAATGAACCCCTGGGGTTCGACCAAACCCAGATTAAGAACCACTGATTTAATGTTATGTCAAAGTACATAATCATGTATTTATTATAGTGATAAAATCTAGGTATCCCAAAATTACTTTTTGGGATGCCAAGACATCCCAAAAAGTAATTCTTAGCAGAAAATTACTTTTCTCCTAAGAAAAGTAATTTTGGGAAGCAGAAAAATTTCTGATGGAAATGTAAATGTAATCTGCTGCATAAAGTCCAGTCAAAGCTTTGCTGACCTAAGTCCATGTTGTACAAAGTTCAGAATATAAAACCACTGAGTCAGCAAGAAACATGAAACTGCTGCAGTAAAAAATGATTCAAATACACAAAACTGCTGATTTTCTCACATATTTGTTTGAAATAGTGTGGAATAAAACTTCAGATTAAGTGAGGCCTTTGTAAACATTTTTAAACCACCTGATTTTGAAGGTAAATTGTGATATTATTAGTTCATCTTTTAAAAGTTGTTCTGTTTGTTCTTCAGTGTGAATTTAACCCACACATCATTTAACAGAATGACACAATAGAATGCACCAAACCTAAAACACCTTCATCTTTCATTAATAATACTCTGACAATGATAGGAAGATCTCTTTGATGCCACAAATTAATGACAGAATCATTTTGAGGCATGAAAGAATGCACTTTCTCAGATAGCAACCAACCAGTCTCATGCAACAAGGGTGGATTTACTCGCTTCAGCTGTAGCTGAAAGTCTTGGTTAGCTGGTCCACTGAGTTAGTTTTTACACTTATTCAAGTTTCAATAACTGCTGCAACCCACAAATACAGGTGCATACTGTATTTGTACTTGTATGTCCACTCTATCATTAAGAGTCAATGACACAGTAGGATACACCAAACCTGAAACACATTTATCTTTCATTGATAATACTCTGACAAAAATAGAGCATTTATTACGCTCATAGCTTACTAAAAGCTCTTGAAACACGGATTAGCTTTAGCACTGGCAGTAACATAATCAGCTGAGAAGCTGCCTTTGGTAGCCTGAACAAGGGACATAAGCAAGGGTGTCTTTATATGATTCAGTGCAGATTCTCAAAACATATTCTTAGAAATTGCTTGTTTGTTGCAGTTGCCAGTGTTCTCCAGAATGGTCCGGGAATCTCTGCACTGTGCGTTATGATGATTGCAGGAATGGTGGACAGGACTTGTGTGTACATGGCTTATGCATTGATTCAGACCGGGTGGTATCTGGACAGGTAACTTTTTCTTCATATTTTTACCATTATAATATTTTATAATTGCAGATGTAAATAGTTTTCACAAATATCTGATACAAACAAAAAATGTATGTATATACCACCGAGATAGCAAAATATGAGTGAATCAACGCTGAAACAACATTAGGCAGAAACATTGAATCCACATTAAAGCCTGACATTGAAACGATATCGACAGTGGTCGGTGACTTACAGGTTGAATCAACATTATGGTTTCAACATAACTGGCACTATATCAATGTTGATTCAACCATCATTTGAATCAACATTTGTGTTGATTTATATTGATTCAAAGTTAAGGAATCAATATTGATTCATGTACACTTTTTGGTCTGATAGTTCTACATCATATCATTAAAAGTTTCTTTACTGGTGTTAAACGTGCAATTTTGTTGTCAGACAATGGGTATTATGTCATTCAAAATTATCTTACAATACATATTTCCAAAAAAAACTTAAACTACATAAACTTAAAAATGACAACATGGCAATAATATTACATTTTATTTACAAAAACAGGCATAGATATGTAAACATGCACTCATCTGCCACTTTATTAGGTACACCTGTCTGATTGCTCAACATTCACTAACACAAATGTTGAATCAGCTAATTATAAGGCAACAACTCAATGCATTTAGGCATGTAGCCATGGTCAAGTTGATCCTTCCGCAGTTCAAACCAAGCAACAGAATGAGGAAGAGAGGTGATTTAAGTGACTTTGAACGTGGTATAGTTGTTGGTGCCAGACAGGACAGTCTGAGTGTTTCAGAAACTGCTGATCTACTGGGATTTTCACACCCAACCATATCCAGGGTTTACAGAGTGGTCCAAAAAAAGACAAAATATCCAGTGAGTGGCAGTTCTGTGGGTGCAATGCCTTGTTGATGCCAGAGGTCAGAGGAGAATAGCCAGACTGGTCTGAGCTGATAGAATGGCTCAGACCAAGGTATGAACTCGTTACAACCAAAGTATGCAGAAGAACATCTCTGAACGCACAACACATTGAACCTTGAGGTGGATGGGCTACCATCTCAAGGTGGTGGCCACATCAGGTGCCACTCCTAAGAAGAACAAACTGAGGCTACAATTCGCAGAGGCTCACCAAACTTGAACAATAGAAGATAGTAAAAATGTTGCCTGGTCTGATGAGTCCCAAGTTCTGCTGAAACATTCAAATGGGAGGGTCAGAATTTAGCGTCATCAACATGACAGGAAGGATACATCCTGCCTTTTATTAATGGTTCGGGCTGGTGATGGTGAAAATGGGGGATAGTTTCCTGGCACACTTTGGGTCCATTAGTACCAATTGAGCATCATGTCAACATCACAGCCCACTTGAGTATTCAACCACAAAATAACATTGATTCAATGACATCTCTTCAACATTGGTTATTGGCTAGAATTGGATTATTGTTTGATGGTTGATACACCATCAGTCATTAATCTTCACCTAAAGTCAACATTTTTGACCAAAATTCAATGTTGAATTACCATGTCTTGCTATCTGGGCAGTAACTAATGCAGTATGAATGACCATACTTGATTGGCTCAGACTTTCCTATTCTTTGTAACATTTCTGTTTCTTTGTGTTTTCTTTTTTTTATGTGTTAAATATTTGTGGTATTTGGATTTATTTAGAGCAATCCTATCTAGATACATATGCTTTGTCATTTAAATCACAGTATGATGCTTTGGTTTATGAATTTTATTTGTCTCATTAAAAAACAGCTCTATCTTTGAGCAAAATTATTTGCCGACTTTAGTTATTTCACAATAATTATTTTTCATACCACTGAAGCTTGTAACACTTATTGGTTATTCTTTAACTTAGGTTAACTTATGTGAAATTTTGGCATCATGGATCTTAGTTTAACTATTTGCTTTAATAAACAGCCCAAATACCAATGCATCTGTGAGAGTGGATGGGAAGCTCCAGCTGGAAACCCTGCCTGTGTGTCTGATGTTGATGAGTGTAACCTGCCCACCAAACCCTGCTCATCCAACCCTCCTGTTCCATGTTACAACACTCAGGGTTCTTTCTACTGTGGAGCCTGTCCTGCTGGTAACACTCAAGAAATTAACTCAGCATTTTTTCTGTTGGTGAACCTCTTTTGTGGTAGTGACATCTAAAATTACCACATTTTAGATGTTTACCTTTATACTGCCCTTTCAAACATGAAATGGACTGAAAATGATGAACTAAAGAAGAAATCCAAAAGCAAACTAAGCCATAATGAAGAATACTGGTAATACAGATAAATTGTTTCCAATTCATGGAATTAAACTAAAGAAAATGGCATTATTTAAAAATAAATTCAATCAAGAATCACATAAGCATGTTAATTCAGAGTTCTATGCAGGTTCACCCTCATTGAAAACTATTGAGAAAATCTCCATGTTATACATGGTGCATATGTATCAACATGTGACCCAATTGAAGAAACTTTAATAAAGTTGAATTAATTGAAAATCAAGTAATTTTTAAATGATACTTTATTCACCACAGAGAATAGATGACATAAATGTTGAAATTGAGAACCTTTAGACTTTAATTGTAAAAATGAGCACTTTTCAGATTTGGTGTTTGCTATGGGTTTTGTCATACTTGGGATAAGGTTATATTTGCTCTTATGTAGCATTTCATCTTTTTTTTTTTTTTTTTTTTAAAGGGGGTACACTTATTTATGGGTCAGATAATTTATTGGCACCGATTTCCTTAATTTTGGGGGACTGGTGATTGGCTGCTACTTGCATGTGAAACTAATCTTATCCCCTGATCTTATCTACCTCAGCAAAGGTCTAAAAATCATCCACTGTCCTCTTCTGCACTCCCATGTGAAAATTTTCTTTTTTATCTTGTCAGTATTTAATACAACTGATGCAAAAACATATTCAAATATAATGATGTGCTGCTTTTTTAAATTCAGTATATAAAATATTTAGCCCGTCAGTCATGGAAAGACAGTCGACCCTCTTGATCCAAGAGAAAACTCAGGTTTTTAGGCAAATGGCCAACAAGAAAGCAAAATATGAGTGAATCAACCCTGAAACTACATTAAGCAGAAACATTGAATCTTTCCTTCCAAAAGTTTCTCCTGTTTTTCCTACCACACTCAATATCCACATACGTTATTTAACCTGGGGTGTTGTCATGTTATGTTTTATGTTCTTGATTTGTTTTATATTTCAGGTTGGCAAGGAAATGGCTACAGCTGTCAGGATGTGGACGAATGTTTGACAAATAATGGTGGTTGCTCTACTACCCCAATGGTCCAGTGCATGAATACTATGGGTTCATTCCACTGTGGTCCTTGCCCCCCTGGTATAACTGTAAAGTCATTGCTTCAGCAATTGTTGATCTACAGATGTACTGATTAATGAAACATGTATTGCATTCACAGATAAGACAAGTAATCACTGTATATATCGGTCATAAAAATGATATTTGTGTACATTTACAAAGCTGGAAATAAGCAATTAATTTAAATTTTTAATGTTTTGTCTTATATTTGTGCAGGTTATGAGGGGGATGGGAGAACATGCACACAAAGTAATATCTGCTCTTCCAACAATGGAGGATGTCATCCTCTAGCTATTTGCTCCTCCAACCCAGGTAATGTTTTAGAACATCATGTGGGCTATAAAGCATGTTAAACTGGCTAATGAAAGACGTTTGGAAATGTGTATAATTTTGTGTGAAAGTAGATACATTTTACTATCCATGATACACTAAATAAATGTAGTTTTGTACAGCTCTGAAGCTTCAGAGACACATAAATATGAACAAGAATAGGGTCAACAAAAGCTCATCGGATCTTTATGTCATGTTCTGTTTATTCTTAAACATGTACCAGGTTCAGCATTCCCTCTGTGTACATGCCCACAAGGATACACTGGCAATGGCTATGGTCCATCTGGCTGCACCCAGATAAGCAACATCTGTGAGACTAACAACCCTTGTGTCAATGGACATTGTACGGTAAGAGAGCTGCATCCTAGCTGCACATGTGCATGTTGTGCATGTTAAAATAAGAAAAGCTCTGAAGCTTCAGAGACACATAAATACAGCTACAAAGTTGGCTTTCTATCACCTGAAGAATATTTTCAGGATTAGAGGACTAATATCCTAGTGCGCTCGAGAGAAACTAATGCAGTATGAATGACCATACTTGATTGGCTCATACTTTTCTATTCTTTGTAACATTTCTGTTTCTAAGTGTTTTTTTTATGTGGATAAACACATCCATGTGTTTATCTTCAGTTGCATCAATTTCTGCAACAGTGGATGCAGAACCAAGGTTTGCTCAAAAAAATGAATCCAGGACACTGCTGCTGGCTTTCTGACTAAAATCAGGAAAATAGAGCATGTTGCCCCAGATCTACAGTCCTATCACAGAGAGAATAGACTTTAAAATACTGTCAGTTTATTCGCACCACAATACATTAAAGATCTGCTGTTGTTGTATCAACCTTCCAGACTATTTAGGTCAACAAAACCAGAACCAAACATAGAGAAACAGTATTCACCTTCTATGCACCACAAATCTGGAACAAACTTCCAGAAAACTTACAAGTTTTTTAATTTTCAATGAAGATTTTCATTTCTTTTTAACTTCACTTTACTTTATATAAATGTTTTCCTCTGCGTTCTTTGTTCTTCATCTGACTGATTCTTTATGATGAAAACAGTGAAGGTTGATTGTAACTTGACTGGCAGATAAATTTTACTTGTCAACAAATCCATCATTAAGGCTTTACATAAGACCTTTAAAGGAAAAATGTACTGCTCTTCCTCCTCAGTGCTTCAGCATGACACATGGGAACCAGATTCTCTGAGATTACTGTCGTCCATTTAGCTGATGTAAAATACCTTATTAATCCCACAGGCATATGAACCAATTTAACAATCTCCTGTAAGGGTTAGTATTACAGAAAAGTTGAAGAAGACTCAACGAAGATTCTGTATACTTTGATGAAAATCATGCTCAAGACAGTTTTTAATATTTTAGATGAAATATTTGGGATGTGACTGAAACTCTGTGGGTCAAGGTTATAGAGAAAAATAACAGCCTTGATCCTAAACTGAACTTATTACAAAAATTTAAATCCACCCCTTTTGTTTGGTGAAAGGCTGCCCCTAAACTAGAGGTTAAACATAAAGACAGGCATAGAAAGAATACATGATGATCTGCCTTGGTAGAAGGAGGCTGTCCACAGGAGCTGGGTAAGTCTTTAATATTAAATCAAGTGTTTTATCTCCTCTGATGGATCAGTTGACAGACTCTTTGAAGCATTGAAAGACTAAAAGACAAAGGAGTGTCAGAGTAAACTCTGTTGTGTAATGGCTTTAGCTAAGTGACAAGTGAGCTTATGATGTGACACACAGTTGACTCTTCAATGTACACTACAACTGAAACCCTTGTGCCATTGACAAGAGAACTTGTCAATGGCACCAATGGAAAAGACACCAATGGAAAAGAATGATATTTGTTTCACAGAATAAAGCCCCCAATAGGGACCTGGGGCTCGGTGTAAATAGACACATAAAAATAAATTTACCTTTCAAAAACCAATCCTAAAACAAGCAGAGCTGTTCCAGTGGGGAACTCAGACTGACAGAACACTTACACTGGGTTGTCCATATCCGTGAAGGGTTAGGGTTAGCTTGTGCACAATGCAAGCTAGTGCAAACAATGCACTAACTTTCATTGCAAGGAGGGAGGCAGTTTGGGAGGTTTACAACTTCACTGCTGCAAAAGAGGAGCTTTACTTACCTTTTAACTTGTTCTCAGACATCAGTATTATAGCATTAAAAGCACTTATCTAAGAGTACCTTCAAAGAAAAGTAAAAAGTAAATGTCACTTCTTTCATCTCAAGTCAAGTTCCTTAGAAGGATGTGCTGAAAGGCTCAGAAACATTTTAGCATGCATGACTGCCTTCGAGTATGTTATCTGCCTCATTATAAAATACATTTACATGTATGATAGGAATCTTTAAAATGGATTCATCATTAATTTTATTTTTGTTAATACTTCGAAATATTTTTGGGAAAAAATACCTACCTTTTTAAACATAGGCAAGTTATTCAATTAAAGAAGCATTTACAGCATGTGATAAGACCTACTGATAGATCCCAAGTAAAATTAAATAAGTCTGAAATGAAACGAAATGTGGATTATTTTTTCTTTTTCTAATATTTGTGTGCTGCAGAGCACCACTTCTGGCTACATCTGCAACTGCAACCCTGGCTGGCAAGGAATTCACTGTGATCAGAACATCAATGAATGCTTGAGCAACCCCTGTCAAAATGGAGGAACTTGCACTGACAGCGTTAATGGATTCACATGTACCTGTACTGCCCAGTGGACAGGCCCATTCTGTCAGACCCAACAACAAGGTACAAAAAACTGGTAGGAGTAAAGCAAAACTTTAACAAATGCCATAAAAAAAGGGATTGGAGGTAGAGAATATTCAAGAATAGATTAATATATACACTGTGTGTACAATTATAATTTGTAGATTTGAGAATTAATTTCATTGTTGAACATCTACTGCACTCTCTGTCAATCCAAAATGTTAATAACCTCTCAAACCTGAATATTTAAGAAAGTAAAAGTGAGATTTTGGCTTTTTTAGTACAATATCTATGTGTGCAGAATTATTGTGCAACTGAATTCAAACTGAAACTTTTCCCATCTCACTTGTTTGTTGTTATCTTTAAAGTGAGAATACTAAATACACAACTTAAAATTGACAAACTTTTCTGACATTTGAAAATATATCAGTGACCAATATAACCACCTATCTTTTCAATAACAGTTATAAGCCTTTCACTCATAGATTCTGTCAGTTTCTTGATCTGTTAACGATCAACTTTTTGTGCAGCAGCAACCTCAGCCTCCTAGACACATTGGATCAGAGATGTGATGAAAAGCTCACAATTTCTCTATGGGGTTTAGTTCTGGTGAGGAAGGGGGCCACTTCATTCTTCTTTCATCTTTAAATCCTTTACTGGCCAGACACATAGTGGAGTACTTTGATGCATGTTATGGAGCATTGTCCTGCATAAAAATCATGGTCTTCTTGAAAGATGCAGATATTTTCCTGTATCACTGCTTGAAGAAAGTGTCTTCTAAAAACTGTCAGCAGGTTTGGGAGTTGATTTTGAATCCATCTTCAAAATCAACTATTTTCAACTATTTCATTGACTATGAAAATGAAAACTATTTCATTTTGATTCTATTTCATTTTTAATAATACCAACTGTTAGAATAATTATGTTTTGTTATCATTCTTACAGTGGTAGTTATAATAGATTTAGTATTCACATTCCTGAGAAAAGTTCTCATACTTGTTAGCTACAACTGTGTACAGACCTTGAAGCTGCAACCATTTGTATCTTCTGGATACTCCTATCTGCCTCCCTCCACATTCTTTTCTACTTTCTACTTTGTAATAAAAGAGAAAGCCCTAACAAAGGGTCTTCAGAGCGCTCAGTGAACGGCTGGAAGCAGCGGTTTGCTGGGTTCTCTCCTTTTGCAAAAGCTTTCATAAAATTCACTTACGTTGTCTGTTTGTTCTTTTATTTAGATTCACAAATACCTATCACCAACCCATTCACCTTGCTGGCTAGGATGTACTCTCTATGTCATCAAACACTTGTCCTCTCACTCTTTGCTTTTTCCTTTGACCCATGTGCTTGTTTCAGCTCCTTTTGTCATCTTTGAAGTTTACGAGTTCTTATTTATTTGTTAGTTTGTAATTAAATCTCTCACATCTACCTTTTGCCTCAGTCTGTCTGCTTTTGGGTCCACTTACCATCAAACATCATGACAACTATATTTGTAAGAGGGGTGGGGGTGAGAGCAGTTCATAGGGACCAGTAAACCAGGCCAGTAAAAGTTTTACTCAGGAACATCTAAAAAGATAAATAGATAAATACATAAAATATATTGGTTTATTTGACCCATGTGCTTGTTTCAGCACATGGGGGTATATATATATATATATATATATATATATATATATATATATATATATATATATATATATATATATATATATATATATATATATATATATATATATATATATATATATATATACATATATAGTCTGATGTAAGTTTGGTTCATTTTGCAGAGTGTGGAGGCCAGTTGACTGGTCCTGCTGGTTCTTTCAGTTATCCCAACAACCCAGGTCATGATGAATACGATCACCTGGTCAGCTGTACTTGGGTGGTCCGCACTGATCCGAATAAGGTACGTTTGTGCCTTCTACCACATCACTGTTAGAAGTGGAAAACTCTTCAAACTAAGTATCGCTGATTTTGATCCACACTAAATATGTTCAATTGAAAAATGACAGTTTAATTGTAAATATACTCACTATAGATGAAAAGTATTTTTGTCATTCCTCAGGTGACATTACAATAATTGAACTAAAAGTAAAAATAAGGCATCATTTTTACAATTTAATTTCATTCTTGAAATTGTGTGCACTCTACAGGTTCTGCGCATCACATTTCCATTCTTTCATCTGGAGAGCAGCAACAACTGCAACTTTGATTTTCTGCAGATTCATGATGGGGACAATCCCTCTGCTTACATACTTGGAAAATACTGTGGCCAAAATAATCCTCAAGAACTTTACAGCTCCCACAATTCTTTGTACTTTTGGTTTCGTTCAGATCATTCTATTAATGCTGGTGGCTTCACAATTGTGTGGGAGTCCAAAGACCCAGGTATTTGCAGACATTTGTTCTGAATTTGCTGAATCAATTATTTTCACATTTTAAAAATCATTTAAAAGCTTAACAAAAAATGTTTTGACTTCTGGTGGATTTCAAACAGAAATGAAGTTGATATCTTTGTGCCTTCTCAGTGTGTGGTGGTGATCTGACTGCTTCTTATGGCAACATAAACTCTCCTGGTTACCCTGGAAACTATCCACCTGGGCGAGACTGCTACTGGACACTTTCTGTGGATCCTGGCTTGCTTATTACATTTGCATTTGGAACTCTTAGCTTAGAACAGCATCCTGACTGCAACTATGATTTTCTAGAGGTACAAAAAGCCACACTTACCTCTGGTATTCCAGGGCTCCACAAGAGGTCAAAAAGGCACATCTTGTCCAATTTCTGAATGAAAGTACTTAAATAACATAAACTGTTTTCCTGTGGTAGTGTGCTTTTAGCTTAACCTAGCATATCTTTCAAATGCCTTGTTTATATGTTGCAGATTCGGGATGGCCTTCTATTAGAAGACCCAGTTCTGGGGAAATACTGCAATACTGCATCACCACCACCTCTGCAAACAACTGGGCCAACTGCATGGATCCACTTTCATTCTGACTTTACAGTCTCAGACAGAGGCTTCCACATCACATACACAACATCACCTAGTAAGTACCTGGTGGCCAGAGCTGAGTAGTCAAAGATGTAATCAAGTAAGACTAGCACTGCTTCAACAATTTAAGTACAAGGAAAACGTAGTCATCCAACGAAGACTAAAAAGGTATTTGGTAAAAACACTACTGAAGTAAAAGGTAAAGATCATTTGATCTATATAGCACTTTTATTAAAATATAGCACTTTTATTAAAAGTGCTATATAGATAAAAAGTTATTTACATAAATTAAAAGGAAATACAAACAAAATAGCAAACCAAAGAAAAGAGCAAAAAAGAAAAATAATCTAAATGAGATTCAATCTATATGCCTTGTATGCCATCTAAACATTTCCAAGGTGCTAAGTTACAAATCATAATATGTTCTGTAAACTCAGAAAAACTGCATCTGCTTAAAAGTCAAAATAACTTGTTGCCTTAAATTTTTTGAGTAATGAAGAATTAGTTAAATTCTTCATTACATTGAACTCTTCAAGTACATTGAACATAGTATAGTGGACTATGTTTAGTGTACTAAAGCCCCTAATGGAATGGAATAAACAATTTAAATTGAATGTATTAATAACAGAGTTAAAGCAACTGGAGTTGATAAAGTGCTACACAAGTGTTTGGCTAATTGTACTAAATGTTTTTTTATTTTCCTTTTAGGTGATCCTGGCTGTGGTGGTACATTCACTGACAGTGAAGGGATCCTAATTTCTCCAAACTGGCCAAACGACTATGCCCACAACCGGCAGTGTATTTATTTGATCACATTGCCTCCAGGTGAACAGGTGGCCCTCAACTTCACTAACATGGATCTGGAGAACCATAGTGATTGTTCTTTTGACTATGTGGAGGTAAGATTTAGTAACTATACTTAAATTTTCAGCTTGAAAATTTGTGAGATCATTTTTTAGTCAAATTATTTTATTTTTTATGCAAAATCCAGAGCTTTTCTTAATAGTTTCATCGAGGTCAAGAACTTCATCGCTGACCTAGTAATTTGCTCTCTGTAGTATTATGTTTGAACACCTTTTCTTTTGATTGGAATCAAACAGTAAATACAAAATTTGCAACATATGTGACACGTTCTGAAAACTAAGCTCATACAAACAGGAACTTAAATTGATCTCCTTTAAAAACACTCGAGTCCTTTCAGAGTCAGTGTCCAAATAACGGTGGGATCAAGAGCCTTCAAGAGGGCATGATAACTTTTAGTTCCACAACAGGGTATTGTTATAGGGTCGGAGTAGGTTTAATACAGCACTTTGCAATTTCAGGTTATGAATAAATCCGTGCTCTCCTGGTACTTTGCTAGCTTGTAATGTGGCTTTCTCCAATTCTTTTTATGTAAAATGAGTTACAAGAAGATTCTGGGAATCTGGATTAAGTCTTGGCATCACTTTTCCTCAAATAATGTCAACATTTAAATGACAAAGTCTGTTTCTGTTTGGATGAAACAGAACATTCTTCCATTTAGGTTGAAAGGATAGAATTGTGCCTTCTTTACCAGTTCATATCTTTGCTTGGATCAGATTTTTTTATTATTAAATTTTATTTCATTATGTATTGTGGCTTATTATTTACATGGAACTCCTTATTTAGTTTCAAAATATCTGCCTCATTGAAAATGTGAATGCAGCATTGAGAAAGATCCCTACCAACACCATAACGGAAACCTATGAGCTGATCTACAACTCAGCATCAGTGATCCTTCAGATGGGTAGCTATAAGAGCAAACATGCCTACTGGCTAAAGAAACTCACTGCCCTCCATGAGGCGTTCATTTGGGGCAGCCCAAATGAACCAGCTGCTACAAAGTGGGACTCACCCTGAATGGTTAATTGAATGGCGGACAATCCTAATCCAGAAGGATCCATCAAAGGGTCCAGTCCCACCCAACTACCGACCAATAACCTGCCTCTCCACAACCTGGAAGCTCATGTCAGGCATCATAGCGGCTAAGAAAAGCAAACACATGGATAAACATATGAGCACGGCACAGAAGGGTATCGGTGTAAATACCAGAGGAGCCAAACACCAACTCCTCGTAGACCGCACAGTTGCCCGAGACTGCAAAACCCGACACACCAACCTGTGCATGGCTTGGATCGATTACAAGAAAGCCTATGACTCAATGCCGCATACTTGGATCATTGAATGCCTAGAGATGTATAACATCAACAGGATTCTGAGAGCCTTCATTGCAAACTCGATGAAGCTGTGGAAAACCACCCTTGAAGCCAACTGCAAACCACTTGCACAAGTGTCCATCAAATGTGGCATATACCAAGGAGATGCTCTGTCCCCTCTACTGTTCTGCATAGGCCTGAACCCCCTCAGCCAAATTATCAACAAGACTGGCTACGGATACCGACTCAAAAATGGGGCCAACATCAGTCACCTTCTCTACATGGATGACATCAAGCTGTATGCCAAGAGTGAGCGAGACATCGACTCACTGATCCACACCACCAGGATCTACAGCACGGTCCTGTGGGACTTGTAACTGTCCTCTATGTCTGCTATTGTTCCTTGTGGGAGTGAGACTCCTTCTGTGTGGATCACCTTCCCCCTCTTTGTGATCAGCCGACCACACTTCTCTAGTCTGAATGACATCCCAATGTCAGTGCTGTAGATCCTGGTGGTGTGGATCAGTGAGTCGATGTCTCGCTCACTCTTGGCATACAGCTTGATGTCATCCATGTAGAGAAGGTGACTGATGTTGGCCCCATTTTTGAGTCGGTATCCGTAGCCAGTCTTGTTGATAATTTGGCTCAGGGGGTTCAGGCCTATGCAGAACAGTAGTGGGGACAGAGCATCTCCTTGGTATATGCCACATTTGATGGACACTTGTGCAAGTGGTTTGCAGTTGGCTTCAAGCGTGGTTTTCCACAGCTTCATCGAGTTTGCAATGAAGGCTCTCAGAATCCTGTTGATGTTATACATCTCTAGGCATTCAATGATCCAAGTATGCGGCATTGAGTCATAGGCTTTCTTGTAATCGATCCAAGCCATGCACAGGTTGGTGTGTCTGGTTTTGCAGTCTCGGGCAACTGTGCGGTCTACGAGGAGTTGGTGTTTGGCTCCTCTGGTATTTACACCGATACCCTTCTGTGCCGTGCTCATATGTTTATCCATGTGTTTGCTTTTCTTGGCCACTATGATGCCTGACATGAGCTTCCAGGTTGTGGAGAGGCAGGTTATTGGTCGGTAGTTGGGTGGGACTGGACCCTTTGATGGATCCTTCTGGATTAGGATTGTCCGCCATTCAGTTAACCATTCAGGGTGAGTCCCACTTTGTAGCAGCTGGTTCATTTGGGCTGCTAGTCGCTCATGGAGGGCAGTGAGTTTCTTTAGCCAGTAGGCATGGATCATGTCAGGCCCTGCTGCTGTCCAGTTTTTCATACCTGAGACTCTTTCTTGAACATCTGTCACAGTGATGGTTACCGGGGCTTGCTCAGGGAGGTTGCTGTGGTCCTCTCGTAGAGAGATCAGCCACTGTGCATTGCTGTTGTGGGACGCCTCCCTTTCCCATATGCCTTTCCAGTATTGTTCAGTCTCCAGCCTTGGTGGGTCTGCTCTGTGTTATTACCCTGCCATTGAGAGTACACCTTAGCTGGTTGAGTGGAGAAGAGCCGGTTAATCCTTCTGGATTCATTCTCCCTTGTGTATCTCTTTAGGCGGCTGGCCAAGGCTTGGAGCCTCTGTTTGGCAGTTTCAAGTGCTTCAGGTATGGGCATCTGACTGTACTTTCTGGGTACTGGTCTTTTCATTGTACCCTTGTGGAGCTCTGATAGTTGGCTCACTTCCCTCCTTGTTACCTTGATTTTAGCCTCTAACCGTCTTTTCCATGGTGGGTATTGGGTCTCATGGTTGCTCTTATAGCCAAGTATCTCAAGGATCACTGATGCTGAGTTGTAGATCAGCTCATTGGTTTCTGTTATGGTGTTGGTAGGGATCGTTCTCAATGCTGCATTCACATTCTCAATGAGACTTTCTGATGGTACTTCACTCAGCCGTTGTAATTGGCGCCGAGGAGGTCTGGTTGTCATTCGGGTCATATATATATATATATATATATATATATATATATATATATATATATATATATATATATATATATATATATATATATATATATATATATATATATATATATATATATATAGGCGGCTGGCCAAGGCTTGGCCAGCCGCCTGGATAGCTCAATACATAAGGCATCAGTATATCACCCGAGAGGGCAGGGTTCGAATCCAGTCTGGGTCCTTAGGCAAGACCCTTCAAGCTACTGCCTACCTCATACCATGAGAGATACTAAGTTGCATAACATGCCGGCTCAGACGTCGCCCGGCCAAACAAGGTCTGCGTCAGGTGTTGGGGAACCAGAGCACCTTGATGACAAATGGGCTACTGGAACAAGACGGAAATGGGCGAGAGATGAAAATGTGGATCTGTTGGAATGCTACTACTCAAGTAACCCTAGTGAGAGAGGTTACATGCAAAGACTGGGGAAGGAATGGTTACTTCGACATCCCCAGTCAACACTAAGCGCTAAACAACTAGTAGCTCAGTGTTCCAACATCCGCAAACGGCAACTGCTATCACAACTTGAGATTGACGAGATACAACACAAATGCTACGGCAAAAGGGAGGAACCCGGATGTCAGGACTGTGGGGACTTAACTACAAGTCCCCACCCAGTGAGGGGACACGGCCCCAATGAGCGAAACAGAGCTGAACGAGACAGCTGCTGACCTGAGAGAGAGAATCATGACCCGAATGACAACCAGGCCTCCCCGGCGCCAATTACAACGGCTGAGTGAAGTACCATCAGAAAGTCTCATTGAGAATGTGAATGCAGCATTGAGAACGATCCCTACCAACACCATAACAGAAACCAATGAGCTGATCTACAAATCAGCATCAGTGATCCTTGAGATACTTGGCTATAAGAGCAACCATGAGACCCAATACCCACCATGGAAAAGACGGTTAGAGGCTAAAATCAAGGTAACAAGGAGGGAAGTGAGCCAACTGTCAGAGCTCCACAAGGGTGCAATGAAAAGACCAGTACCCAGAAAGTACAGGCAGATGCCCATACCTGAAGCACTTGAAACTGCCAAACAGAGGCTCCAAGCCTTGTCCAGCCGCCTAAAGAGATACACAAGGGAGAATGAATCCAGAAGGATTAACCGGCTCTTCTCCACTCAACCAGCTAAGGTGTACTCTCAATGGCAGGGTAACAATAACAACAGAGCAGACCCACCAAGGCTGGAGACGGAACAATACTGGAAAGGCATATGGGAAAGGGAGGCGTCCCACAACAGCAATGCACAGTGGCTGATCTCTCTACGAGAGGACCACAGCAACCTCCCTGAGCAAGCCCCGGTAACCATCACTGTGACAGATGTTCAAGAAAGAGTCTCAGGTATGAAAAACTGGACAGCACCAGGGCCTGACATGATCCATGCCTACTGGCTAAAGAAACTCACTGCTCTCCATGAGCGAATGGCAGCCCAAATGAACCAGCTGCTACAAAGTGGGACTCACCCTGAATGGTTAACTGAAGGGCGGACAATCCTAATCCAGAAGGATCCATCAAAGGGTCCAGTCCCACCCAACTACCGACCAATAACCTGCCTCTCCACAACCTGGAAGCTCATGTCAGGCATCATAGCGGCCAAGATAAGCAAACACATGGATAAACACATGAGCACGGCACAGAAGGGTATCGGTGTAAATACCAGAGGAGCCAAACACCAACTCCTCGTAGACCGCACAGTTGCCCGAGACTGCAAAACCCGACACACCAACCTGTGCATGGCTTGGATTGATTACAAGAAAGCCTATGACTCAATGCCGCATACTTGGAATTGCTTAGAGATGTATAACATCAACAGGACTCTGAGAGCCTTCATTGCAAACTCGATGAGGCTGTGGAAAACCACCCTTGAAGCCAACTGCAAACCACTTGCACAAGTGTCCATCAAATGTGGCATATACCAAGGAGATGCTCTGTCCCCGCTACTGTTCTGCATAGGCCTGAACCCCCTCAGCCAAGTTATCAACAAGACTGGCTACGGATACAGACTCTACATGGATGACATCAAGCTGTACGCCAAGTGTGAGCGAGACATCGACTCACTGATCCACACCACCAGGATCTACAGCACTGACATTGGGATGTCATTCGGACTAGAGAAATGTGGTCGGCTGGTCACAAAGAGGGGGAAGGTCATCCACACAGAAGGGGTCTCACTCCCAGAAGGAACAATAGCAGACATAGAGGACAGTTACAAGTACCTAGGTATACCACAAGCAAATGGCAACCTCGATGAGGTCACAAGGAAAGGAGCCACAGCTAAATACCTCCAACGAATAAGGCAAGTCCTGAGAAGCCAGCTCAATGGCAAGAACAAAATCCGTGCGATAAACAGCTATGCCTTGCCAGTAATCAGATACCCTGCTGGAATAATTAGCTGGCCAAAGGAGGAGATAAAAGCCACAGATATTAAGACCAGAAAGCTACTAACAATGCATGGAGGGTTCCATCCCAAATCCAGCACCCTGAGACTGTACACGAGCCGCAAGGACGGAGGCAGAGGACTAGTGAGTGTGAGAACCAGTGTCCAGGACGAAACAACTAAGATCCATAAATACATCAGGGACAAAGCCTCAACAGACAATGTGCTCAGTGAATGTCTCAGACAACAGGGAACGGAGGTTGAGGTGCCAGAGATACCATCATGGGAGGACAAACCCCTACATGGGATGTACCACCAGCAAATAACCCAAGTGGCTGATATCAGTAAATCCTACCAATGGCTGGAAAAAGCTGGACTCAAGGACAGCACAGAGGCCCTCATCCTGGCCGCCCAGGAACAGGCCCTAAACACCAGAGCAATAGAGGCCCAGATCTACCACACCAGACAAGACCCAAGGTGTAGGTTGTGCAAGGAGGCCCCTGAGACAGTCCAGCACATCACAGCAGGGTGCAAGATACTGGCAGGGAAAGCGTACATGGAGCGACATAACCAAGTGGCAGGCATAGTGTACAGAAACATCTGTGCAGAATATGGACTGGAAACCCCAAGATCAAAGTGGGAAACACCCCCAAAGGTGGTGGAGAACGCCAGAGCTAAGATCCTGTGGGACTTCCAGATCCAGACAGACAAAATGGTAATGGCGAACCAACCAGACATTGTCGTAGTGGATAAATATCAGAGGAAAGCCGTTGTGGTAGATGTAGCAATACCAAGTGATTGCAACATCAGGAAAAAGGAGCACGAGAAACTAGAGAAATACCAGGGCCTCAGGGAGGAACTGGAGAGGGCCTGGAAGGTGAGGACCACAGTGGTGCCTGTGGTCATCGGGGCCCTCGGGGCAGTAACCCCCAAACTGGAGCAGTGGCTACAACAGATCCCAGGAACAACATCAGACATCTCAGTCCAGAAATGTGCAGTCCTTGGCACAGCAAGATACTGCGCAGAACCCTCAAGCTCCCAGGCCTCTGGTAGAGGACCCGAGCTCAGAGGATAAGAACCACCCGCGGTGGGTGAGAAGGGATTTTTTTTTTTTTATATATATATATATATATATATATATATGTACATATTCAGTTTCTGTTCTAAGAAACAGCACAGTCAAAGTTAAAAAAGTAATAAACAATGATGTGTGCAAAAGCTTTACATCTTATCATGTTCTTCATCAAAAACATACCGAAACTGTCGTCTTGATTCTTTCATGCATATTTGAGAGATCCCTTTATCTCCCTTGGCAACCATTCAGCTGTGGCTGAAATTCCTGGATGGACCTGACGCACCTTCGAGACACAGCTCCTACTTGGAGCTGCAGTTTCCAACTGTTACAGAGCCCCTCTCCCCCTGTCAGTCACAAGTCCTTCAGACTATTCCACAGCAGTTAGCAGACATTGGAACTGCCAATTTGCTGAACTCATAATAAGATCTACTTCTGATTGCAAATCTGGTAAAACTTTGTTAAAGGGTTAATAGAAGAGCAATGTGATGACTTTCTGAAGGTGAAGTTTCAGAAAGAACAAGACTTTGTCAGAGACAGAAGCCCTATTTCAAGGTATGAGATTATGAAGTCAAGTTTGTTTTCAGTCACATTTGATATATGCAGCATTTTTAAAGAACTGAAGGTAACATAGTTACTTGATTGTGCTATAAAATGGCACTATGTGGCCGGAAAACATGGTTCTGTTCCTTCAACAACATAGTTTGATTTGACCTCTCATGACTTTTCAGAAGTTCAGGTTATGTTGAAAGTTTCAGTCTCTATAGATGGACAGGATGAAAGGAGCGGTATCTGATTATGTCCTAGACCAGAGGTTCTCAAATCCAGACCTCGAGGGCCAGTGTCCAGCAAACTTTTAGATGTGTCCCTTGTTGAACAATGACATAGTTGAATTACCTCCTATGTTCAGTCAAGTTCTCCAGATTTGTGCTAATGATCTTAATTTTTTGCAAAGAAATTTAACTTATATTGAATCTTCTTTGACCATAATGTTATGAATATGATAACTATTTTCAGGTTACACTGTGAGCTTCACTATCTTGACCTTATATGTTTGTTTACAACTTAATGGCAGAACTATCGTGCCTTGGCGTCATCCATACCATCTTGGACAACAAATCTTGTTATAGTTTTGGTTGCTTAATGTTTTAAAGTGAGCTGAATCATCATGGGATGTGGGCAGTTGGTATACTGAGACTTATTTTGTAACCTGCCTGAATTAAAATTGAGTGTTTTTAATCTCCAGCATTTGTCATCTTTTTTTTTAGGTCCGTGATGGGAGGATGGAGACTGACCTGCTGATAGGGAAATATTGTGGGAGCACCCTGCCAGCTCCGATTCGCTCGTCCTCCAATTCTCTCTGGATCCGTTTTAAGTCTGACAGTTCAGTCAGCCGAGCTGGTTTCAGGGCTGCCTACAGTATTGGTGAGGTTTTATACAAAGCGAGTGGTATTTTTCTTTCTATAATAACCATAACAATAGAGACACTTAGGACAGACAAGGTTTTTGCAAACTGAGGCAAACCTTGTTGTAAAGAAACTGTTTTGAAGTGCCTCGAAGAAAAGGACGCCTTGGCACTTGTGGGGGCCTTGTGTGAGCAATGATGCATGATGGAGTCAAGTATATCATGAGAGGTCTTGATACTACCAAATTAGGCTCTTATTTTAAAGAATATAATTCACCTTGTTCATGTCACTGTTTTATCCATGTGCCCCTTTGAGTGGGAGACTGGAGGCAGACCAGAGGGAGACTGGTTGTGGGGTAGCAGCCAGGGTCAGGAGGCCTAGACTTTCCTCTCTCCACTTCTTCAGTCACAATGCTTCTTCCTACCAGTATCCCTATCAAATTCAAGTCAGCCTCTGGGTCCAAAATGCTAATACTTATTCCAACCAGACCGATACATAAATATGAATATTGTTCTTTTTTCTTTTTTTTTTTCACTCTTCCTAGCTTGTGGAGGTATCCTTTCTGGAACAGGAGTGTTCAGGTCTCCATACCACCCAAATCCCTATCCCTACAACAAAGTCTGTGAGTGGGTCATCAACCAACAAGAGGGCTATGTGGTCACATTGAATTTTCTATCGTTTGATGTCGAAGGGGGCTCCTGCAGATTTGACTTTGTTGAGGTGAAGTATTTCAGTTGACTTCATCAATTCATTAATACATGGCATCCATTAATATGACAAAAGAAAAATGGGTGCTCAAGTCATGGAAATGAATTTGATTCTGTTTCTTCATTGGTGTACAAAATAAAGAGAATGAACAACTATGTTGTAAGCCAATTAAATTACTATCAGTTCATGACTGTTTTCTCAGGTTATAAATGGTCATATGCATATAATGTAACACTTCACGTTTGCCTGTGAACACAGTCCACTTCTCCAGGAAGTAATCATTTCTCAACAGTCAAGGGTCTAGACCCTCTGAATGAAGCAAAGTGTTGACCAAGGGACTGGATTTTAAAACTCTACTGTGGTCTAGCTGTTACTCCCCATTTGATTCCCCGAGATGGGCCAGTCTTTGTTTCTCTGTTGCTTTGATTGTTTGCATTGATTGTTTTGTTATAGTCTGTGGTTTGAGTTCTCCCTTCCAGGCCTGTGCAGAGACCTTTATTTAAAAGTTTAAAAGTTTAAAAAGGGGCACATTGAACAAAATTTTAACACAAACAGTATCGTAAAACACCATAGCAACAACCCCTTTTAATCAAGAACCTAATATTTCATCAGATCATACTCATATTGCCATCATGTGGGGACAATGCAAAGCAAAGTTAGTGTTTTCCCTGAAAGTTCAAATGTTTCTGTTTTCTGCTGCTGACAGAGCTGGAGGGCTGTTTTGATTTGAGTCTATCAACTGCAGTTGATAAACAGACCAGAGGAGAAAGTTTGATGATTATGAAGCATGTTATGAAATAAGCAAATCTGCTGCTATTTTACTAAATAAACTCTCATAATATCTGACAGTTTAATCTCCATAGCCACTTGGCTGCAGACAGCTTTAAAGATGAAACAAGCTCTTAGGGGTTAACTCTACTTTATTTTTCTATGTTGGCACATCTGAGTTCTAGAATTGTCAGACAGCGATATCAAGGGAAATAAAACTCAGTAGCTACCCAGGAGGCCCCTCAGGGCCCCTATAAATGGTTGAATTGTAACACAGAATATAGATCTCAAACCTGATCATTCATTTATTGAGAAGGACAATGCTATTAAATTTGATTTAATGTGCTCATTACTGAACATCCTAAATGGAAATAGGCCTACTGTATATTTAGGATTTACCTAGGAAGTTTATTTTGTAAAAGTGCAAAGAATCATCTTGATAGTTTGATTGTTGTGTTACCATGGCTACAATATAGTGCTAGCTGTAATCTGTGTTTGAGTTCAGTTAGTTCACAAATATATAACAGGGCATAACAGCCAATAATCTGATTGATACACTAAATGTATAGTTAAACAATGTCAGTGATAATGATGGAAGGCAAGGGGAGGTAGAGAAGAGCTAATGGGGGGCACTAAATCATGCTGACCATGTCCATCCCTTTATGACCACAGTGGATAACACATCAGGTTGTAAAGCCTGGATCATCTCAGCCTGGTTTCTTGAACACAACAATGAGTTCACTGAACTCGAGTGGCCTCCATAGTCACCATATCTCAATCCAATAGCAAATCTTTGCGATGTAGCGGAATGAGAGATTTACATCATGAATGTGCAGCCGACAAATCTGCAGCAACTGTGTGATGCTATCTATCATGTCAATATGGCCCAGACTCTCTGAGGAATTTTTCCAGTATCTGGTTGAATCTATGCCACAAAGGATTAAGGTAGTTCTTGAGGCAAAAGGGGTCCACTCAGAACCAGCCAAGTGTTCCTAATAAAGCAGCTGGTGATTGTAGACTTTGAATGTAAACCAGACGCTCATGATGCTCAAACTGCATTTGGTCTGATGGCAGCTTTAGACCCCATGTTACCACAGACTGCATGAAGAGCAGGAGCCACTCCGCTGTCTCTGCTGGATTCCAGGGCCCAATAGGAAGTTTCGTGACTGTTGAGCCACAGAGGCTGTTTTGGCTGCCTTGGTTTTATGGGCTGGGTTTTTTTAACATCACCACTCTTCATTTTTGTGCTGGTTAATGTGTTTAGTTTCCACTCAGCTGCCACTGCTAAAATCTGACTGGAGCACCAGAAGCTAGGTATTTGATATTGAGATTGAGGTTTCGTGGCAACAGAAAATGAGAGGATGTTGCAAGTTGTCCGCTTTGGCACAGAGCTGCGTGGACGGTCCACCAGCCACTGGCCCACTAAGTGACCCATCCGGTAGCCACATATGCCAGTTCGCCGCTGCTTTTGGGACATCTTGATTTATTTATTTGTGACATGAACTTGGCAGGTGCCTGTTCCCTTCCATTGATTAATTGATTCAGCTTGAAGCAATATTTGTTTACGTCAAATACTTTACATTTTGTAAAAGTTTTCAAATGTATCATGTCTACATTTGAGGTCTCCTGTTAAACTAAAAAATTACCAGTATGTCTATATAAAGGCACAAAATACTTTCAGTATCAACATCACTTTTGTTTGTTTATCATTTTTCTTTATAATATTTGTAAAGCTTGGGTCAAATCTTTAAAGTGATTTTTGTGTAATGATCAATGTTTTGGTGTTCTTTTTCTATGAAAATGATAATTGCCAAGGTGATGGACAGAAGTCAAAAACTATCTCTTTTTTTAGGTCAGGGATGGACCCTCACCTAGCTCTACCCTGCTGGGGAAATTTTGTGGTGACCAGATTCCTCCCAGGCTCCAGTCGACACAGGAATCTATGTACATTCAGTTCAGCACAGACTCCTCTGTCAACAACCATGGCTTTGAAGCAGCATATGACTCTGCTATTGAAGGTGGGAGGAATATTTTTTATTTGTCAGAGTCCTAAATGACTATGCACATTGGTCAGACAAGCAAACTAATGAGGTTTACTGATGTAAACCTCATTAGTTTCATATCTAAAATACTGCTTCTATCCAGGGATTTTTTTGGACACATTGTTTTCTTCCAATTGGTTAAAGAAGGCATGCTTTTCTAACTGACTAATTGGTCTTAATTGACAATTGACCCTCCTGTTATGTTGGGTGTCAAATTGACCCAATTTTAAGTTTAAAAAAACTTTTTAAATAGTTGGAAGTATTTTTTCTGCATGAAACTTTTTCTATTTGTCTTAATAGGTACACTCCACATGTAAATTGAAAATGGTTCACTTCACACATTTGCACTAAGCCCTGGGTCTACTTTTTACATAGATACTGTTCAGGTCAATTTGATCCGGCATTCAAGTTGAATGGTAAATAAGGTCAAAAAATGTCCAGTTCTATTTATTTCCTTGCATCTATGAGACATATTTAAAAACACACACACAAAACATACACATACATGCACACATGCATGCACACAAGCCTGCTTTCTTGCTATTCACCTGTGAGGAAGCAGGTGTTCATGCAACTTTTGACAGGAACCTTTTTTGAGGGGCCAAACTCCACCCACTCTGAGTGACACTCAGCAGAAGTGGAGGAAAACATTATACTCTCTGCATGACTCATTAGTCTTGATTTTAACCCACAGGTCAGTTTGACCATGGACAGTATTTGTGTCTCAAGTTCAATTATAAAGATCAGTCTTTTCAAGGATAATTATTGTTTTTTGTGTGTAGGACTTTTCAGTGGACATTAAAAAAAAATTTAATTAAATTTTTTACGTCCAAATGAATAAATGAGTAAATTATCATCATTGAGCCATTATTTTTGAGAAATAAGAAAACATCATTGCACAAATATTGGTTGAAATGGTTAGTACTGGAGTTAATAATCAGATTCAAAAATGTTTGGAGGAATTTCTTGGTATCTGACACTATTGCATTATTAAACATTCCACAGGTAAAATTGACCCAGTAACATTATTGCTATACCTCATAAATGAACATAATAGGAGAGTTAAGTTAATTTGTGCATTATTGCTGTAGTATGTCTCTGTGGTAATATGGACTAGCAACCAGAATTCGACATACTCCGAAGTCAACGCTGTTTGAACTGATATGTGTTGGTTTGTCTTAAAAAGTGACTCTTGGGTGCTATGGTGGTGCAAGGATAAAGTGTGCAACCCACATATGAATGCTTTAGTTCTTGATGTAGCTATGATGTGTTCAAGTACCTGTCTGATGACCCCTCTCTCATAGCCCACATTCTTTTATGGCAAATGCTATAAAATCCAAAAAAAAAAAAAAAAATTATGTTGACTGACCAAAAGGCATTTTAGATCAATGAACCTGTGATCCAGGTTTTTGTGATGCTGGAGAAAGTTAGTGTAGCTGGAGAGAAAACACATGTAGAGGGAGGACATGCAAACTCCATGTAGAAAGAGCCCAGAATGGGATTTGTACCCAAGATCAGCAGTGCTAACAACTGTACCAAGCTATTTTCCAACATCACTATGCTTTAAAAACAATTTAATCAAAATTTAGTTCATGGTCTTTCATTTAACATTGCACATTTTAAAGTGGTAGAAGTATGATCTCTTCAATGTAACAATTTTATTTTCTGTACCAGGCTGTGGAGATACTCTGACAAGTCCTTCAGGCACCATTACCAGCCCTGGTCACCCAACAAACTATCCACATGGTGCCAATTGTACCTGGTACATTAGTGTTTTACCAGGGAACCTAATTCGTCTGGTGTTTGACTCATTCAACCTGGAGTACCATGCTAACTGTAACTATGACTATCTAGAAGTTTATGATGGGACTGGAACAACTGGGAACAAGACTGGCAGGTACAACACATAATCGCACATAAAGTGGGATTAAGAAATAAGAACAATTTGAAAGAGAAAGTTACACACCAAAGAATAAAAGCACTTTCCAGTCCTCACACCCTCCACTTCCACATAGTCCATTTTACCCCTAAGCTTATTATTCTCCATCTCACCTTCACCATTAGGGAATGTCAAGATGAGCAAAAATACATTAATGGGAAGACTGGAAAGTGTGAACCATGAAACAAATCAAACCTTATTTGTAACCAAAGGAGAATAACAAACATGCCACTTTGTCAGATGGAATAGTTTTAGTATTTTAAAACTTTTAATGTTACTATTGAAGATTAATAAAAAAAACACCCACCATACCGTCACTGTATGTAATGTTTATGTTTGATATAGTTTATTGCTTAGTATTGTAATTTATTCTGAGCTAGTTTGATGTGAAGAATAGAAAATCTGCCATGGATTCTGAATGAGAGTACATTGCTAAAAATTCTATCATAGATCAACTGGAACTGTGAAGATTTCAAAATGATCCCCATAAAGAAGCTTAAGGAGCTTTGTAGAATTATTAATAAAAGACTTATTACTAGCTGATAGTTAACTTAAGTTTGCTGAAACGCTTGAGTCATGACATGATGACAGAAAAGATTACCACAGGAATCAGCACTACCATGACTTTAATGTGTCCTTTCTGTGCAATTTGAGAGGTATGTTCATGAAATTTGTCTCTTTTGTTTCAGTGTTCTTGTAATGACAAGAAATATGGAATATAGTACTGTAAAGGAGTTCAAGTGAACTGTCATGGCTGTTTACTCAACAATATACAGCACAATGTTTGACTTCCCCCATTGTCCACATCCCCAAAGAGAAATAAAAACATTTCACGTGAACTTTTAAGAAGCAGAGTTAAATTGAGGCATTGATAAAGACTCATGGATGAAGCATGATTTATTTATTTATTTTAATAAAATAGATATCCATCTATTACAGGGGTGGTGAACCAGTTCAGCATTAAGATAATAAGATAAATAAAGCTCATCATCACCAATAGAGGGATTTACAACAATTTCAAGACTAGCTTTATGCATTACTTGCTGAAACAGCTTTTGTCTTTGGTGGGAAAGCTAACGATGATCATTTTTTACAAGTGTCTAAATTTGGTTTGTACTTTGTTATAACTACTCAAACCAACTCTTTCACATTTGTCAATGAAAACAAGACAATGACGTGTTACGTGTAGTAAAAATTCATTCACAGTCAGAAAACTTTTGAGCTCTGCCCAACTGGCAGATGGGACGAGTCTCATGATTCTCCCTTGCTCAACTGTCTTAAAAGGGGGCATTTAATGAAGATTAATATTCAAGCATTGATTTACATTTAACCATACTTAGAGGTTTAACAGAGCGCGGCTGACGCACCATAATAATTATCGTTATTAATTTAAACTCTCGTAGGAGTCTCTGTTTCTTTCGGATTTCTCTCACTTTTGTTGTTTTTTTTTTTTTTCTGCAGTAGAAAAATAGCTCCATATCTCAAATCCACGATCTTGCCTCTCTGCGCGTCACCGCGATGCGCACAGCCTTGATTGTGTTCGTTTGCTCAGAACCGGTTTGCGCAAACTCTGACATTCGTTTTCTTCTATCTTATTATTTGCGCAGCAGCAGCATCTCGCTCTGCTTCACTCCCTCCTCTGCGCCACAATCCTCTGAGCTTGGATGTGGCGCAAAGTGCACCAAGGTGAAATAATGCAGCCGACGGAAATACAGAGGCCTGTTGAGGAATGCTGCTACCATTCCTAAATGATTCAGCTTCCCTCTCTCCGCCTCTCCTGCAGCTACTGCAGACTTCCAACTCTTGCTTAAAATTTCACACTTTTGTCAGTGCTGCCTTCAATGAGTTTGGGGAATTTGGGTATCAAAGAGCCGCGGTTCGGCCCTCCTGAGCTCTTCCATTATCCATTTTTTCACATCATTACTTTTTTTGATCAGTTCGGGTAGTTTTTCGCTAATTACTCATTTTCCATAAGCATTTTTCATTTCTGAAATTTTCAAGTGACACCATTTACTACAGCAAAATTCTTTCAAACACAACTTCCGGGATTTTATTGTAAATTAGAGACATTTTTTTTATTTACACTGTGTAGATTTTTGGTTGTTCCAACACAGTTTCCATTGTGTGGAAATGAATGCACAGTATATTATTATGAATAATACTTTTTATTATCATTTACTATTAATAATATATCATGATGTTAATAATAATTTGTGTTTAAACTATTAAAATAGACAGTTATAAGAATTTGTATTAGGGGTTTCAATAATTCATGGATTTTAGCTCCTCATAGAATATGCCTGGTGATTGAAAGTTTCAATATTTACATAGCAACCATCATGTTGTCTTTTGCCATGTGTACAGATACTGCGGGCGCTCAGTTCCTCCATCTATAACAAGTGCTGACAACCAAATGACCCTTCTGTTTGTGACTGATTCAAGTTTATCTGGGGAAGGATTCTCTGCCAGTTATGTGTCCATCAATGCTAGCACAGGTAAAGTCTAACAAAAGACTGTTTCGTACTCAGTTTGTCAAAAAAATGTATAGGTAGTAAAAGTGAAGTTTTTACTGCAGCTTAATCGAAGGAAATCTTTTCTCATATTCATCCATGAAGTGTCTGATTATGGACATAACTGTCAATTCTCCAAGAATGCAGTACAAGAATCAGAAGACTGTCAATATTAACTAGTGTTTTTAAATAGCAAATTTTTTCAACCCAAACAACATGACCCAAGTTTGTGTTGTTAATCTTGACTTTGCTCTCCTTACTTTATGCTCTCATTTTGTATGATTTGAACTAATTCAGGTGATTGGTCTCATACAACAACCAAATATTTACTTATAGACTAATTAATTTTTTTTAGACTGTGGTGAGAGCTTCAGCTCTCCAACCGGAACCTTCACCTCTCCCAGCTATCCTAACAACTATCCCAACAGCCGAGACTGCACCTACAAGATCATTGTTCAGCTCAACATGCAGATTATGCTGAACTTCACCAGTTTTGAGCTGGAGGGCACTCCTCCTTTTTGCAGCTTTGATTTTGTGGAAATCAGGTATGAAATGAAGTATAGTGGTAGACTATGTTACTGCGTAGACTGAGTCCAATCTCTTGGTGTTCTTCCTACCTGTTGGTCCTTGCCATGGGACACGTAACCCAGAACAGACTAGTCTTCATGGTGACCATGCATCACATTCAAACTAAACAGCTTTACTCACTTTTCATCTCACTCTATAATATAAAAGACTCAGTAGTCTATAGTGGTGACAAAAATCTTCACTTTTCTTTTATCATAAATGGGAAGACTCAGTGAAAAATGACTTTAAACAGCATGAATCCAACCAAATAATAATGCATGCTTAATATTCTACTAATGAAACAAATGAAATCTGTTGAATTTACAGGGATGGGGGCTATGAGACATCTCCCCTGATTGGTAAGTTCTGTGGCAGTCAAAGACCTCCAGTTGTGGTGTCTCATAGCAATCGTTTATGGATTAGATTCCACTCTGATCCCTCAATCACAAGTCATGGATTTATTGCACACTGGGATGGGACACAGACAGGTATGTGCTTATAATGTTCTTTATCTGTTTCTTTCATCTACACTGTGAGGCTTAGATTGCAAAAGTACAGAGATTCAATTATAACTAAACACCAAACTATTTTGTCTCTGTTGGTCCAACAGAGATGTCAACAAAAATGTAAAAATATTACCCAGACAGCCTTATGCCAAAGCTCTCTGATGATGAGTTATATCTTTACAGCACAAGGAATTTATTGCTTCATATTTAAATAAAAGATAAATTAAATGAAATATTCTGGCATCTTGCATAAAGATGAAGCACCTAAAAATGTCAGATTTTTTTCACTGTAATGCAGTTGCATGCTTTACTTCTTTTTCATGAAGGTTGTGGAGGAACATTGACTACTGCCTCTGGAGGATTGTCTTCTCCCAATTATCCTTTACCATATCATCCCAATGCTGAGTGCTACTGGAACATTAAGACCAGTCAGGGCAGCCAGGTCCAACTGTCTTTTTCAAGTTTCCACCTGGAATCCAGCTCATCCTGTTCTTATGATTACCTAGCTGTGAGTGATGTCTCTCAACATGTCCTAGAACATCAGAATTCCTTATTTATGCCTGATACTTTAGAACCTGCAGGACACGCTAAGTGTGGTTTTAATGTAGGCATTTTAATAGCTATTGAACTTACTTGCCATTCACCCTTGTGTAAATGGCTCTGATAGACACATGGTAAAACATATCCTTTTTATCAAATGAGAAATCATATATCATCATATCTATTATATCTAAAGCCCAAAACACCAGCTTGTCTGTTCAGGTAGAATTCACTTCAGCAGACCAGCTGGCTGTACTGAAAGTAGAAAAGATTTAAAGTAATTGGAAGAATTTTGTCTCTAGTAATATTGAAAATAAGTGAAAACCTACAATTAAGCTCATGTTATTATTGTACTTTAAAATCTCAACAGGGAAATAAATCCTTGTACTTTCATCTTACTGTGGTGTTCAAAAATGTAGAAAATGTCTGAATCTGACATCTTCATACAGAACTGTCAAAGCACATTGCTAAGCACAGTTATGACAATAAGTAAAGCTTATTGCAATGATCTTATTTAATTCAGCAACAAATAATTTTCATTTGACTGTTCAGAATACTTAGCAGAAATTCATGACTGTCCCACATTTGCATGACATCAAGGGGGACGCTTAGATTTTTCCCACTGAAAGCAGTGGATTAAACATTCTTGCCATGTTATCCATCTTAACTTTCTTAAAAGAATTTTTTGATGTTAAATGTTTTCAGGTACATGATGGGAACAGCAGCAGTGCTCCAGAACTGGCCAGGTTGTGTGGCACTGAGCTACCAAGGCCGATCAACTCGTCCAGCAATCAATTGTACATCAAACTCCGCACAGATAGCAGTGTCAACACTGGCGGCTTCATTGCATTTTACAACACCAGTATGCAAAAACTATTAGAAATTATATTTTTGCAGAAATAGAAACTTTGTTACCAGAATAGATTAAATTTGATATTTTAAATCTATTACATTAAATTTTATCTAGCTTGTCAGCAAAATACACAAAAGCAGAAACCCATCCCCCCAAAAAAGTGAATCAAAGTATTTTTGCAGTGTACTTTAGTTTGCATTATTGTGTTTGTTTTCAGAGTGTCATAACATAATTATCTCACATCAACACCAAGGAGTAATTGAGTCGCTGAACTTTCCTAACAACTACCCAGACAATAGTCTGTGCAGCTGGACCGTCCAGGCGAGCAGTGGAAACACGATTAACTACACCTTCACCGCATTTCAGTTAGAAGACACTTACAACTGTAACTTCGACTACATAAAGGTACAAATATACACACAATTTTACCATATTACATTAAGAACAAACTAGACAAAGTGATATTTTACAACTACATTTGTATTGACATTGATCTGCTTTTTCCCCCTCATTTTCTTTTTACCCATAACTACTCTTGCCTGTATCACTCACTTTTGAATAAATGAAATTAAATTACAATCAAAAGCCGTGTTACACATCAGTGAGCAACTCTCCACTCTGGTTCAAATGGGACTGCTGTTGTGGAGATGATCTGGGGATGGTGTTCTGGACCAGGCTGGACCCTGGCTGCCAGTTACTGGTTCTCAAAGATGTTGTGCATGAGACCTGGTCAGCAGAGAGAGAAGCCACATAGCATGCTGTCTGGTTTTCAAAGTTCAAACTAACATTAGGTTTCTGTTTCAAAATAAATCCACAGCAAAAAAAAAGTTTCCACACCTTAAAGGCCAAGCTTTAAGCTTATAAACTTAGTTTTCCATCCACCACAATATGTAAACAGTTTAAGACTTTCATAAGTTTAACTTATAAATATTATGCTATACTGATGTTACTAGAAATAATAATATTTTCTAACATTTCTCCTAATATTTCTTTTCTAGCTCTATAATGGACCTAACGAGCAAGCTCCTCTGATTGGTGCATTCTGTGGGACTACACCACCTCCAGCTAATAGCACTACAGGCTCCGCCCTCACCCTGGTGTTCAGAACAGACTCCTCCATACCCATGCCTGGATTTCAGATGGCATGGTATCAGAATGGTGAGATGGTTTTCACAATTATTATGTAAAATCTATCCATAATCCAATCCATAATAAGCTAGAACATTATAGACTGTCTGCAATTATTTTATTGCACAATAGTCAGAATATCAATGGACCGTAAATCAAAAATAGTATTGATGAAAAGGAATTGTAGCCAGCTTTGGGGTTTCTTCTTACAGACCATCAAGTTCTGCATTGTGTAAATGAAGGTGGCACAGAAGTTCCAGCCTAACTGGTGTTTATGTTTCACAAAATAGACAAGAAAAAAGATTTCAGCAGAAAGTCAGTTGACAGCAGCTCACCTTCCTCCAAAGCAGCCACGAACTTTTCCTACAGTGTTCTGCATGAAATGCTAGTATAAACAATGCCTTTGAAAACCATTAAGAAAAAAAAAAGACTGGTTTCTGTAATTAAGAACAGTTGGCATAATGTCAAATTAAATATACAACTTCAACAAATAACCAAGAAAGTTCCCTTAAAAATATGCAAAACATGCATACATGCACAGAATTAAATAAAGTTTGACAGCAAGACAAACACCCCACTGACACCAACTCAGGTAAAAAGAACCAGATAAAAACTGGATTTGAATAAGAGCAGCTTTGTGCGAAACTCACCTTCTTCCATTAAGGACTGGAGGAGAAAGTGACAAAAATAAAGTAATTAAACTTTCCCAAAAGCAATTCATATATTTTGTTTAAACAATAATTTCAAGATAAAAATGAAAGAACAAAATAAAGAAATAAAGAAATAAAAAAAATACTTAAGTCAACAAGTGAGGAATTTTTGATATCATACATTATGGTATGTTTTTGTCTTCCATCCCATTTAAGAGAATAAACTATTGAAATATGTTCTACACTTTTCAAAACACTTTGAACCAAATGAATGGACATTGAACTTTGCAATTAATGTGCAAATCTTTTAATGTTTTTAAACATTAAAAGTTCAAAAACTTTTCTATTTTGTATATATTTCTTCTATATTATGTTATATATTGTATATTTGTGGTATACACAAATATAATGATGTTACATCATTAGATTCTGACTAATGATTTATGAATTGTGATGATGCAAAGGAATTGCAAATAAATGAAACCAACTGCCTTAGATTTGTTGAAGTACAATGATGCAAAACAAAAATGCAAAGTACAATTCAAGAAAACAAAAAAATGAATAATAATAAAAAAAGAAATCTTTGGAGCTAAAGTAATGGATTAATCAGTAAATTAGAAAATATTAAGTGAGCAAAGCAATAAATGAACAGTAAAGCCAAACTAAATATAGGGGGGACAATTTTGCAATACTATAATAGTTATATCAATTTTAAGTTTTAAGCCAATTTTTTCATCAATTTACCAAATACATAAAGTAGTAACAAAAAATGGCTGCCTATCTTCCCTAGTGGCCTGTTCCTCCCTATGCCTGCGTGGCTTACACACTCAGGATGGGATTTTATGTTTCAGTATCTGCTCTGAAATGGTATCATTTGGTTCTATTCTTTTGGTGTGGAAAACTTACGTTGTCTCAAAGACAACAATTGATGGATGGATTAGGATTTTGATATACCTTGAGAAAAATGTCAGAGTAAATTAATGAAAAAGGGATAAGAAGACAAACATGAAACAGTTTCTTCTTTCCTAGTTAAAAATATGCATTTGAATTTTAAAGGGAAACCTCTGTGGGAATGATCTAGATTGGTGAAATTGTCTCCAGAGAATAAAAGGGTCTGGCCAGTTTAAATATCAACAACTTTGCAAAGGTTATAGGTTTAGTGTGGGAATATGAGCAGAAAATGTTTTTCATAATCAAATAAACCACATCTTTTGTTAAATGAGTGAAACAAAACAGTTCCTCCCAAGGCCTTCCAATGTGAGTCAGAGAGAAACTGTATAAGGTTTAACAAAGCTGACTCGCTACAAGTTAGGATATACAGATCAGACAGAAAAGTTAAAGAAACCTAATCTCTGCAAAGTCCTTTACTTATTAGTCAGCTGGCCAGTGGTCAACTATCAATCTCGGCAAAATAGAACCAGTTGTGGTTGTGGCCTGTCTATCTTGATGTGTGTCATTGCAGGTTGCGGAGGGGATGTTGGTGGGCCCAGTGGCTCCATTACAAGCCCAGGCTATCCAAACAAATATCCTGACAACAGAGAGTGTATCTGGTATATCACCACAACACCAGGAAGCAGTATTACTTTGACTATCCATGAGTTTGATGTGGAGTTCCATGATGACTGCAACTATGATGTACTAGAAGTAAGTAATATCTAAATGTCCAACTGCAAAGAACCAAATAGAAATAAAGTGTATCATAGTAATCTCCTGTGTCGCACAGAACCAGTCTTTTTTGTCAGGCTGTTGAGCCTTCTTAACAGCTCTGATGCTGCTGCCCCAACAGATGATGGCAGACAAGATGATACAGCAGCAGACTTATGGATGCAAATCTTGAAGAATCTTAGTTTCCTGCACAGAGTTTGAAATTTCACATGCAGCCTGTTGCTGGGCTGGAGAAGGATAAGCGAGTGTTGACTCATCACACCTATTCCATAGGAATTGAGTGGAGAGAAGCATTTCTAATTCAATATGAAAAACAAAAGGACTTCCTATAAATCTTCCTGAATATAAAAACTGAGAGTCCTAATACATGTTGGTTTGAGACAATAAAACATTTTCTGAACATTTTTTTTTTTGAAAATGTGCACAAAATGGTGATTTTTGATATGGTCTACAACAGGGGTGTTCAAACTACGTGGCCCGCGGACCAGTTTTTATTGGCCCGTTGCAAACTCTGAAAATATAACTGAATATGGCGCGCACAAAAAGCTTGAGCTCAACTCTGTTGCACTTCTCAGTTTCAACACTAGATGGAGCCAGCCACAGAAACGAAATTAAGCGAAGAAAAGCTTTTACCATGAATCACCAGAAATGGCAACACCGAAGAAACGCCAAATAGCAAGTGGGTGTAGGACATTTCAAAGATGAGTACTGTTTCAAAGAAATCAACGGAAAGTGTGTCTGTTTGATTTGCAATGAAGATGTTGCTGTGATGAAAGAGTATAATGTCCGTCGGCACTATCGGATCAAACATCAGAGCTACACATCGTACACTGGTGCTGGAAGAACACAGAAAGTCAAGCAAATGGCAGCTAGCCTCTTAGCTCAACAAATGGCAGCTAGTCTGTTAGCTCAACAAATGGAAGCTAGCCTGTAAGCTCAACAAATGGCAGCTGGCCTGTTAGCTCAACAAATGAAAGCTAGCCTGTTAGCTCAACAAATGGCAGCTAGCCTCTTAGCTCAACAAATGGCAGCTAGTCTGTTAGCTCAACAAATGGAAGCTAGCCTGTAAGCTCAACAAATGGCAGCTGGCCTGTTAGCTCAACAAATGAAAGCTAGCCTGTTAGCTCAACAAATGGCAGCTAGCCTGTTAGCTCAACAAATAGCAGCTAGCCTGTAAGCTCAACAAATGGCAGCTAGTCTGTAAGCTCAACAAATGACATCTAGTCTGTAAGCTCAACAAATGGCAGCTGGCCTATTAGCTCAACAAATGGCAGCTAGCCTATTAGCTCAACAAATGGCAGCTAGCCTATTAGCTCAACAAATGGCAGCTAGCCTGTTAGCTCAACAAATGACAGCTAGCCTATTAGCTCAACAAATGGCAGCTAGCCTATTAGCTCAACAAATGGCAGCTGGCTTGTAAGCTCAACAAATGGCAGCTAGCCTGTTGGCTAAACAAATGGGCGCTAGCCTGTAAGCTCAACAAATGGCAGCTAGCCTGTTGGCTCAACAAATGGCAGCTAGCCTATTAGCTCAACAAATGGCAGCTAGCCTGTTAGCTCAACAAATGGCAGCTGGCCTGTTAGCTCAACAAATGGCAGCTAGCCTGTTAGCTCAACAGCAGGTATTTTGTGCTAATAAAATACAGGAAAACGCCACAACAGCGAGTTATGAAGTCGCTAAACTAAACGATGAACATTTTTGCTGTAGGGTGGAGCTGCTTGATACTAAGCCTAAAAGGCACAACGACGGGAAAAGATATTTTTGAAGCTGTGTCAGAGGCACTTGAAAAGATGGGGGTTAATTGGGACAAGCTCTGCGGAGTAACAACAGATGGAGCCCCGGTCATGACGGGCGAGCGCAAAGGATTGGCATCGTTGATGTGCGCAAAGGTAAAAGAGAGCAGAGGTGAGGTTGTTAGGATGAACTGTATAATCCACCAAGAAGCGCTGTGTGCCAAGACTGTCCAGCTGAGCGATGTGATGAACTCTTATTAAAACTGTCAACATAATTCGAGCTCGAGGAATGACCCACAAAGATTTTCAGGCTCTCCAATCTGACGTGGACGCTGAATACGGGGATGTTCTTCCACTCTGATGTGTGCTGCTGCAGCGGTTTTATTCGCAGACATCAAAAATCGATCAGTTTTAAAAGAGAAGAGTGCTTTTGATTTTTTCATAAATCATGAACTAAGTGACCCTCTGTAGCTGGCAGAACTGGCATTTTAGTTGATGTTACGCATCATCTGGATACACTGAACAAGAACCTAGAAGGAAAAGAACAGCTGTATGGCATGAAAGCCTTCTGCGTAAAGCTCTGCCTATTTGAGGCACATACTGAATGTCACCTCTAGTGTCTGTGGTCCTTTGTTTGTTTTTTTTGTATTTGGTTCTCACTAAAAAAGTTTGGACACCCCAGTTCTACAAGTTAACTTGCAATGACTTCTTTCTAGGTGTATGGAGGCCCAGATTTACATGCACCCAGGTTGGCCAGGCTTTGCAGCACTACTTCCAACCCAATGCAAGTCTCTAGCACAGGAAACCAGATCACAGTGCGCTTTAAATCTGATGCCTATGTCAGTGGTCGAGGATTCAATGCAAGCTGGATAGAACTCCAGGGAGGTGAGTCAGTACCAATCAGTGAAAGTACTTTATTTATAACCCCAAGAAACTATTTGATGTTCTTTTTCCAGCTGTAGCGACATTCATGTTAGGCTTATTGCATTTTCACTATGCTGGACTTATAGAGGGTTTATAAAAGAATGGAGTTCCTTTAACGTTTCAAAGGTTTTTGATCCCAATGTGGATCCAGAAACAGGAAGGTAGTGACTCTGTGTCTAGTTAGCAAGCTAAATATTTAGGTCTGAGATAAATGTTTAGTTTGGAAAATAAATATTTAGTGCCATACTAAATATTTAATTTTAACTAAATAGCATTAGCAACATAAATAGTTAATTTGGAGCTAATTATTTTGCTTAAAAACTAAATATTTAGCACAAACTTAAACATTGGTTGAGAAGTAAATATTGAGCTTCCTAATGAAATATTTAATTTGAAAGCTGAATATTTAGTTCCTAAACTAAATATTTTGCAAGCAATTTAAACTTATAAATTTAGGAATCACATGGTGAAAATTTGACTTTGAAAAATGAACATCCACATGTCTTTATCTATGTCATGCTAAAGAAGCCAAATTATTTCTAATAATGTTTTACTTTGTGACTTTACAAAAAAGGCACCCCATATGAAAAAGTATTTATCCCTACCTGAGCTGCTTCTTCCATATTTGAACTATTTGGGTGTTGTTTATATTTTGATGAGTTCCAAGTCTGAGATTGGAAGGACTCTCTACCATCAAGCTAATCTTTACACCACAGATCAAATTCTACACAAATAGTAAATTTTACTTCCAGTTAGAAGAAACATGTCGGTCAAATGAACTGCAGGGTTTCCTCCAGAAAACTTGCTGAGTCCGGTGATCGGGGCGCCAAAGCGGTCCACCACCGGTCCATCGTGTTTTTGCAATTAAAGATGCAGAAAATTTTAAAATATTTACATTTTCAGTTGCAAATAATCTATATTTACAACTGGTCATATTGTTACGGGAAAACATAACCAGATAAACGCTATTTAAACCCACAGCTAGTCTTAAAAATAACAAATCAACAAATACGAATCAAATTAATATTTATTATTTGCACTTCTGTTTGATCCAAATTAATCCAGCAGCTCCAAGGCCGCATAAATAGAATAGAATAGAATAGAAAAACTTTATTAATCCCATAGGGAAATTGAGGTCGTCTGTCTGTAGCTCACATTAATTCATATCCACACAACATTAAAATAATCCTTAAAAGTTACATGAAATATAACAAATACAATACATTACCACTAAAAGAGGTCTAGTAAAGTGCTTAAATGTGTTAAAATACTAGTTACCCCGTCTGCCTCTCTTGCCCCGCCCAGAGATAGCAACATTAAAGAGCTGATGGCCCAAGAGACAAAGCAGTTTTTAATCCTCTCAGTTTAACAACCCAGTAAGAGGAACCTGTCACTGAGGGAGCTCCTCTGGTTGGAGAAAACAGTGTGAAGGGGATGGCTGGTGTTCTCCAGGACTAAGCTGAGTGTAGACAGTGTCCTCTGTTCTACCACCGTCTCCACAGACTCCAGGCTCACACCAACCACGTAGCCAGCTCTGCAGATGAGGCGGTTCAGTCTCTGTGTGTCTCTCTTCTTTGCATTGCCCCAACAAACAATTGCGTAGAATATAACAGTAGATACAATGGACTTATGAAACATGTACAGGAGCTTAGAGCACACATTGAAGAAGGCCAATCTCCTCTAAAAGTACATTCTACTCTCTGCTTTCTTGTACACATTGTCTATATTGGAAGACCAGTTCAGCTTATTGTCCAGTTGTAGTCCCAGGTAAAGGCTAATATTTTAACATAGACCACAGATACATAAATGTATCATTTGTTTATTGAGATTTTCAATGCTGCTAAATTTGATTTAATGGTTTCAGCATAAATTAAAAGATTTTAAATTGTTTAACATTTAAATTTAAGATTTTAAGGAGGTGGTAAGTTCATTTTGAAAAAAATTCAAAAAATAATATTCATAGTTATATTGTTTTGTTTCCACATCTACAATCTTATGCTCTGAATTTAATCTTTGAGTTTGAGCTCTTTTTGTTCACAAATTCAAATGAGTAAACTGCAATCATAACTGATTTCTTTGTAGGTTGGACAGTTAAACTACTCCCTCTTTCCTAGATTAAATCTAACATGGAAGCTGTTGGAGATACTGATGTATTTTGCAGCAACAGGGGCCCCTAAGTCAAATTCTGCTCAATGCCTTCTTACAGCCTTGGACTGGCCCTGCATGGTGATGTCATGAATTGGAGTTGTAGATGTTGAGGATAGGATGCAGTCATTAAGGTAGTTGTGAAAAATTATGATTTTAGTGACAAACACAAAGGAGATCAGAAATCCAGGCAGCACAGGTGAGAAACGAAGAAAGAAAATCCAGACACTGGTGGCACTGGGAATACAGGACATTAGACAGACGACAAATGACACGACCAGGACCTGACAGGGAGCAAGGGATACAGGTGAGGTTAAATACACAAGGAGTAATCAGGGAATACCAGACACAGCTCTGAACAATCAATGGCAAGACGTAACAACATAGAGACTCACTTAACACCGAAAATACACACAAAAAACAGTCCCCCCTCCCTCAAAAGGTGGCTACCTGAGGCCTGAAATAGTCCAAAAGCAAAAAACAACCCAACCAGGGTGAGCAGAGGTGTGCTAGATGGAGGGCCAGAGTCCAAAGTGAAAACAAAAGAAAAATTCAAAATAAATAATTCTAATCATTTAACAGGCATCTCTGAAAGCTATACCTGCGATTCACACAGAGCAGAGGTCGGCAACCCAACATGTTGAAAGAGCCATATTGGAGCCAAAAAACGAAAAACAAATCTGTTTGGAGCCGCAAAAAAGTAAAAGCTGTATATAAGGCTTTAATATATGGCAAAACAGGCTCTAGGTGTTTATATTAGCGTATTATCAAAATGACTAAGTGTATCACATGACTCTTCTGTTGTATGATGGTGCTTTATGTTAACCTTCTGTTACAATATGAATGCATTTACAAAATTAAAGAAACGCAATAAAGAAATCAGATTCTTGATATCATTTTTATTATGAAGAGCGACAGGGAAAGTGTCATTTTTTCTCTTTTTGGAACACGGAAAATCTGCCCCCAAATGCAGACGATCGCTCTTTGTAAATAATCACCGTTAAGTGTGTGATCAAAAAAACAACAAACGGAGTGTAATAAAACGGCAGTCTTTTGAAAAGGTAAAGTCTATAAAATTAAGAGTTTAAGTTCAATTTCTGTGCAAATTTAAGCAAATCAGTGCAACAGTAACACAAAGCAGCCATGAGCAACCCGACCTGAGCAACGACACAAAACAATATCGCTAAGTGTCATTCTAAATGTATACTGATGAAAATTACTGTAACGCTTATTTATGTATGTTTTCAGTTTTCTTTATTTTTTTCCAAAAAATTTGTAGTTTCGGCTTTCATTGAGGTGCGCTCCGGAAAGTACGGTACTCTTTTAGTTATTTGACAACTTGTCGCTGCAGAGCGAACATTCAGGCAATTCTTCCACACTGGCAACAAATGCAGATGATTCGGTCAAAGAATTGTAAAATTGAATGTTTCTTCTACACATTTTTATAGCATTGGAAAACGTTAAGAATGATTGTGTCGTGTTTGTCCTCCTACAGAAACCATAATAAAACAAAAAATATATTTCCCAGCCCCATCTTTTCCCATTTTCAAACATTTTTGATGAAGCTCCAAAGAGCCACTAGGGCGGCGCTAAAGAGCCGCATGCGGCTCCGGAGCCGCGGGTTGCCGACCCCTGACATAGAGCTATGCAATCAGAGCTAACTCAGTGGGATTTAAACTCTTACCTTGATGTGTAGTTCTCCAAAGAAACATAATTCCTCACAAGGTTTTGATGTAAATATCCATCCAGGTCATCCTGTGTCCAGTTTGAATGAAAGGAGGAGTACACAATCTGCGCTGAGGTAAACTTCAGAGATCAAGCAGCTTTAGCGCCGGAGGCATCGCGCAGAGACTGAGTGACTGGCTCGCTCTCCCGGTTTTAAATGTATCAACTGTATTACCGCTTTCAGGAATAAATCTGCTCTGCCAGAGCAACAGAGATGCCTGCAATCTAGTCAAAAAAAAAAAAAAAGCTTAGCCCACACTCCCATTATAAATTTTACTAAAAACAAAAACAAGCTATGCTTAGCCTGGCGGGGGGTCTAGTAAATCATAGTGGGCTGCCAGGCTTATAATGCCTTATAACCCTGAACTGTACTTGTTTTTCAGCTGGTAGACGATAATGGGGTGTAAATTATTTTGACACTACTGATTTTCCAGTCACATCAGCATTTAGCATTGACATGATTTTCTGGTGTTGAGACATAGCCAGTGCATTTGAAATATGAAAGAAGAAATTTTACCAAAGATTAAATACATGTTATCTCCATTTTTTACATGTTTTTATTTAGAGTGAGGTCAATCATTCCTGCAGTTTTAGAAGAACCACAGTAATCTAAAGTTGGTGGTGTTTTTCCTGCAGGCTGTGGAGGGCCAGTCACTGCTCCTTCAGGGGAGATCCACTCACCCCTGTACCCAGCCAGCTATCCCAACAATGTGGACTGTTCGTGGACGATCCGTGTGGACACCAGTCACCGCGTCTTGTTAAACTTCACCGACCTAGATATTGAAAATCATAGCAACTGTTCCTTTGATTATGTCACTGTAAGAGACTTATTAGATTTCTTTATAAAATAAATGTTAATATAAAACACAACGGCAAAAACGGCATGGAGAAAAATTTGTTTTCCTGTTAAGAACACTTTGCTTCAATCATTTTAGCAACACACCTTTTAAAGTTCTCCGAACTCCTCCTCCTAATGTAGATCCATGATGGTCCAAACATATTTTTTCCTCTGCTTGCCCGTGTGTGTGGGTCCAGCCCACCTCCTTCCATCACCTCCACCCAGAACACCATCTATATCCGCTTCAGATCAGACTCTAGTCAAAATCATCGAGGATTCAGTATTAGATTCTCTGAAGGTAAGATTTTCTTCTTTATTATAATCAGTGTGTGTCATTTTATCCATCATTCTGTTAGCATCCTTAGATGCTAATCTATGGATGCATTCTGTTAGCATCCAGAGATGCTAATATATGGATGCATTCTGTTAGCATCCAGAGATGCTAATCTATGGATGCATTGCTGCTGATTCTCAAGTACATCATGTAATGAAAGACAATATGATTATTACGCTTCTATCAATGTGATCACATCCTAATATGGATAACACCAACCTTTTGTTTGACAGCTTGTGGAGCAACCATTATAACAGATGATAATGGTGGGTCAATTTCATCACCAAGGTACCCCGCAAAATATCCACCAAATCAGAACTGCAGTTGGATCATCAAAGCACAGGAACCATGTAAGCTGTAGGCTGCCTTTGTCAAATTAAATTCGTATTGTTTTAAGTTATATGTGATATACTTTGTTAAACCTAGAAAAATCATTTGCATATGTGTTTTCTGGCTAGTCAACCATGTGACCCTGTCCTTCACTGACTTTGAGTTGGAGAAGATAAACTCCAATTGCTCACATGATGCTGTGGAAATACTTGATGGAGACAATTACCAAGCTCCCTCTATAGGTGGGTATGGTGAATACAGGTAAACTCTTCTGCAAGTGGGGCAATGGTGATAAAGGTTCACCCTGCAATCAACGGGTTGGTTCAATCCCTGCTTCACCCTCTTCTATTGTTGTGGGCTGGACACCTCACCCATTAAGCCTGCTGGTGGTGGTCAGAGGCCCCTTGGCACCAGTGCCATGTGCAAGGGGCACCAGTACATAGCAACCTCACCTATGTCAGACTGGCCTATGAATGGGTGAATGAGTGTGAAGTGCGTTGAGGTCCTTTGGACTTGATAAAGCTCTATGAAAGTCAAAGTCATTAACCATTAACAAATTTCTCACAGTAGTGTGCTGAACTTCTGGCCCATTTTTCTTGACAGAGCTGGTGCAACTGGGCCAGGTTTGCAGTCCTCCTGGTGACAGACATGTTTTCAACTCTGCCTTACATTTTTTGTGAGACTGAGATCAACACCTTGCTATAGTCACTCCAAAACATGGACTTTGTTTTTGAACCACTTTGACTAATGGTGAATTCCATTTGTAGTTGAAAATGGGGAAATCATTCATAGGTGTGCCTCCAGCTTACACAAATGTTGTATTGGATTACCCAATCAGATGCTTACAAAGCCATGACATTACTATTTAGGGCTTTTTAACTCTTGGTGTATTTTAACTTCCAAAGTTATCAAAAGTGATTTCATTATTTTCTAGATTATCCAACAAAAACAATCGAGGTTCTACTAACTGACCCAAAAAACTCTTGTTTTTTGTTTTTTTGTTTTGTTTGTTTTTTTGTCAGGGCGCTACTGTGGCTTTGAAATACCACATCCAGTGACGTCCCTCAGCAACTCTTTGGTGATCAATTTCATCTCTGATTATTCTGTCTCCAAGAAAGGGTTCAGAGCTGTCTATTCTGCCTCCACATCCAGTAAAGTGGAACCTTTATCAGTTCAAACTTATACTGAGACAATGTCACACTTTGCTAATTAGATATTGGGGAAATTCTTCTTAAGTCCTTTTGTTTTAATTGCTCAGGTTGTGGTGGGGATCTGGTGATGCAGAGTGGTGCATTTAACAGCCCTAACTATCCAGATGCTTATCCACCAAACACGGAATGTGTTTGGACACTTAGGAGCTCACCAGGGAACCGTATACAGATCTCATTTATGTAAGTTTTGAAATGGAGAGCCCTTTTCTCAGATAGTGTGAAGGAAGAAGTGATTCATATTTTTAATTGTTTTGTTTGTTGTCTTTACAATCAAATAATCCATTATGTCATTGATAATATCATAACACCACATCACCCTGCTACATTTTATACATTACTTGTTTTTTTCTGTTACTAAAATCAAAATTTTGTTCAGAATGTTTCACCTTCAAGGACAGTCAGACTGCCAAAATGACTACTTGGAAATCCGAGAAGGCAGTTCAACTGGATCTCTTGTTGGTCGCTTCTGTGGAACCTCACTGCCCTCCAACTACACATCTGTGACTGGTCACATCCTGTGGGTTAAATTTGTCTCGGATGGATCAGTTAGTGGGGCCGGATTTAGAGCCACCTTCTCACACTGTAAGTATTCCATCTTCAAAATTAGAATACTGATCCTGATCTGCTGCAATGTGTTAAATGCTTCAGGATCCCCTTCCACCCTCACCATGGTTTGTTCTTCCTGCTGCCCTCGGGGAAAATGTGCATCAGCTTCAAATGCAGAACAACCAGATTTTACAACAGTTTCATCCCTCATGCCATAAGGCGTGCCGTTAATCTTTAAAATTGAAGCTTTTATTGTATTTATATTTTATTGATACTTTTATTATTACTTATTTATTCATTATTATTGGAATCTTGGAACGACATTTCTTTCATTATGTACATTTTTAAATATACAGTTGAATGACAATAAAATCTGTCTATTTAGATGTTTTCATGTTATGTGAGAAAATATTTACAGCATGTTTAAGTTTTAAAATTTTTAATTAATTAAAAAACAAACTAAACATTTGAAGTGCTGAAAAACTTTAAACCTTTGATTTGAGCACAATTATTCAGTGGGAATAAAGCACTAAAACAAAGGTATATTTGACCATCCACTTTGTTTTGGATCAGGCACTCTGACTCAGTGCTTTGCCACAAGCCAACTTGTCAATCATTTCATAAGGTTTATCAGTTACTAACCAATTGGCAGTCGCAATTTCTCTCAAAGTGTGCCTCTCATCTGGAGGAACTGAACCTCTGTTACAGTTGCTAGGGTTCATCATCGCTGACAGGCTAAATCAGAAATTCTGGATCATTGTTGTCAGTGGGAAACATGCAATCCCAACAGCCATTACAAAGAACGTTTTGAGAGCAGAATGCTTTTTCAAGACCCAAAGTCTGGAATAAGGCAGGAGATAGATCATAGCCTACACCCAACCTCATCTCCAGTTTGAATAAAACCTTTGTTGATGGCAAACAAAGCAGATTTTCACAGAAACCACTCTCAACATGCCTGCAAGATGCAATGCTTCTCTTTTATTTACAGCAATTATCGCAATTATGTTATTATTACTTTTAGAAATTGTGGAGTACTCATTTCTTAGACCAATATTTAGCTAGTTCAGAAAACCTCCCTCTAGTTTATAAATTGTGGAGAACTTACTCTTATCCAGAAACCCAGAACAAGAACATTTAGTTTACATACTTCACTCAACCCAGAGCAGGCATTAGAACAAATGTATCAACTTAGATCAACATTTAGGACCATCAACTTTATAGACTCAAACGTGGAGATTCAATATTTGGCTTATAAATTATAGAGTACTTATACTTATCTGCTTAGCAAGCCAGAACAAGAACATCTAGTTTCATACTTTACTCATCCCATAGCAGGAATTACAATAAACTTAGATATCCATTACTTTAGATCAACATTTAGCATAAAACTTTTTATACTTTTGCTTTTATTTTCTATTAGCTTATCCAGACAAACTCCTATTAGTTTACAAATTATGGAGTACTTTTTGTTTTTCTTCTGCTTTTCTTTTGTTATTTTGTTTGTATTTCCACTAACTCATGCATTTTGTAAAGGCATTTTGAATTGCCTTGTTGCTGTAAAGTTGCTGAAAAGTCCTATGTAAAAAAATGACCTTACCTACTTATCTATAGAGTGTTTTCCTGAAAGCTGGAAAAACCTATGTGAAGCCAACAAAGCAACATTCTCTAATACTCCACAAGCTATATCCAGAATGTTAAAAACACAAACACAATTTTTATGAAAACTTAATTTTTCTCATCAATAAATTGCAGCATGATAGATAAAACAAACTTGGATGGACTGCCAAGCTAACCTTCAAGTTTGTCTGTGTTCCTCAGTGTACGGGGTTGAATTGGTGGGAGAATCGGGTCAAATTGCATCCCCACTGTTTCCCAGGACATATCCCAACAATGCCAATTACAGATGGACCATAACAGTGGAGGGAGATAGCTACATTCAGATCAGCTTCTTGGACATGGACATAGAGGACCTCTATAACTGCTACTATGACCAATTGAAAGTAAGACCGTCTACTATATTATCACGTTTTTATGATCTTATCAGATTATATCCCATTAAAATGATTGTTTGTCTCTAGCACATTGAAAGCATGCGATATGTGAAACATAGGAAGTTGAAAGTTCCTTGTATATTTTTGATTTCAAAATAGATTTTGGAAATAGAGTAACCTCTGGTATCTGACCACCACTTAGATGTTACCATATAAATGTTGCATGTTTTACTGTTTATGACTATGATGATATTAAAACTATTACTATCAGTTTGGTTCTTGTTTTGTCATTTGAACAAGAAAGCATTTTTGATAGCAAAGCATTTTTTGTCTGTACACTCTTACTGTACAACTGAAATGTTTTGCAAAGCCTCTGAGTTGGACATGAGAGGCTATGGACATATGCCACAAACCTATAATAATATTAAAATAATATTAGTGTCTTTTGGTGACAAAAATCTTTATTTCTCTACAGATATTTGATGGCCCAGATGTTTATTCCTACCCTCTTGGAACATTCTGTGGTCTGAGCTTACCAACTCCCCTTAGAAGTTCAGGAAGCACTGTCACCTTGCACTTCAAATCAGATTCAATAGTGGGAGGACGAGGCTTCCTTTTGGACTGGACAGCTGTGAAAGACTCTGGACCACCACCTACTATTACACCAGGTAAGACAAAATGGTGATTCCCTGTTTGGTTCATTTAATACATTGTGTTTTATGATAAAGTTAGTCAGTTGAATAGCTAATCAATTGTTCATTGATTGAAATATGGACTGTCCAGGGTGTATTCTCACTTAGTGACTACTGCAGAGGTGCATCGGCCCTCCCTGTAGCCAGAAAGAATTAAGCAGGTATCATAAATAGATTGTAGATTTGCAGAAAAAGTTCACTTCTCACTATGACTCCATCACTGAGTGAAATACACTAAAGAGACTAATTCCACACAGACTGACATTTTCAAGGTTTTCTTACTGTTATAATTTTGATGATTTTCTGCAAGCAGCTAATTAAATCATAACATTTAAAATCAGAATATTACATCAGAGCAATAAAACAATTTTAACACAGGTATTCGAACACAATAAAAATTATTTTCAGTAACTACTGAAAGATTTTTAAAGTATTTTTACGCATCTCATTTGAATGAATCTAAAATTAATTTATTGAATGTCCCTGTGTATTTTGTATTTTGTACATGTATATGTTTTATACATTGTTACATTTGGACTACAGTTATTTTATAGCCTCTGTTTTGAAGACTCTAAATCTGGCACTTTCATGGCCACAATTAAGCATGTAGGCATGTAGACTGTTTTTACAAACATTTATGAAAGAATGGGTCGCTCTCAGGAGCTCAGTGAATTCCACCATGGAACTGTGGTAGGATGCGACCTGTAGAACAAATCCAGTTGTGAAATTTCCTCCCTCCTAAATATTCCACAGTCAACTGTCAACTGTATTATAAGAACATGGAAGTGTTTAGGAATGACAGCGACTCAGCCACAAAGTGGTAGGCCAGGTAAACTGACAGTCAGCCGATGCTGAAGTGCAGAGAGCAAAGAGGTCACCAACTTTCTGCAGTCAATCACTACAGACCTTTAAACATCATGTGGCCTTCAGATGAGCTCATTGCACAGAGAGCTTCATGGAATGGGTTTCCACGGTGAAGCAGCTTCATCCAAACCATACATCACCAAGTGCAATGCAAAGCGTCAGATGCAACAGGTGTAAAGCCACCACCACTGGACTCTACTGTAGAGCAGTGGAGGTGCATTCTCTGGAGTGAAATTTACGCTTCTCCATCTGGCAATCTGATGTACAATCTTTTAGATTGTAAAGTTTCAACCGCCAAAGTCTGCGTTTGGCGGTTGAAAGGAAAATGGTACTTGTCTGACTGCAGAAAAGTACCAGATTATGGTGTGGGGTTGTTTTTCAGGAGACTTTTGTTCCATCCATCTAACAGTTCAAGAAGGGAGGCCCAGACTTCCCTTTCCCCAGTCACTGGTTCCAGATTTTCCAGGGAAATCCCAAGGCGGTCCCAGGCCAGCCAAGAAACATCCTCCTTCCAACATGTTCTTACTCATTTTAACCACTTCAGAGAATATATTTACCAGATTAGGAAGAGGAGGTGTCTCCCTGTTCTTCCTCATGTGAAGGGCTGCTACGGTTTGACTTGTCTCATTTCTTTGAATGCTTCTTTAAGTTACTTTTTTTTTGTCAGAAAAAAAAAACATCCACAAGCCTGCAATACTACCTCACTTATGGAAAATGATACCAAATAAGAGTCCCTAACCACATTTAATTAAATGTCAGAACGGAGAGCTCTTAGCCAGCTACAGGCTTATTCGCCTTCGCCAGGTGACTCAATCAGTAATTGTAACTACAAAGTTTTGTATTTGTATGAGACATGAGTTGCATTGAAGAACGATTGTCTGACGCTGTGTGGAGCATTCAATTGTATGACTTTCACTAAGTAACTACTACAATGACAAGTTTAGAAAGTGATTATCTCCTGGATGATAATTGTAATGTGCAAACACAAATATCCCAGAACCTTGTCACGTCTGTTGACATTTGACTGAAATATGTGGGATCCTATATTCATATGCCTGTGAGATCACCAAGCCTGAACTGGACTCCAGAGAGCAACAAGTAGTGAATTTCTTCAGCTCCTAAGCCTTGACCATCCCTATCAATGATTTTCAGGACTTGTCATCTTTTCCCTTGAAAAAACAAATCAGACAAGTCAGCAATTATGTTTGTTTATGAAGCGACATAAAAATTATAAAAACAAAAGCAGAAACTGCGGAAGTCTCATGTCTATATTAATGAAAACTTAATTGATGTGGTGGTGGATCAGTTTTGATGTGTGTGTTTTGTGTGTGTCTCAGGGGCTTGCGGTGGATTTCTTCTAATTGGAAATTCTCCTGGTTTCCTCTTCTCACCGGGATGGCCTGAAAACTATCCTCCTAACCAAGAGTGTACCTGGCTCATTCGGGCTCCAGATTCCATCATAGAATTTAATTTCTTGTCTCTGGACATGGAGGGATATCCACCCTGCTACTCTGACAACCTGATTATCAGAGATGGTAAAAATGTGTTAAATATATTTTAAGACATAGTTCAAAATGTCACTTTTATCACAGTTTTAAGATAACTACTTAATGTTTTACATGACTAAACTTGTTATACTTGTGTGGTGCTTTAAGTCCAGAGGACCCTAAAGAGTTTCACACTAAAGAGTCATTCACCCATTCACACACGCACATGCACGCACACGCCCACATTGATTATGGCAATCAACTGTATAGTAGCTGCTGTGGGAGTCTGACCTCCTGTGCCACGGGGTCTTCTGACTGAGGGTAAGAACACCTTTTTAGATTGTAAAGTTTGCAAACGCCTGAGTGAAACAAAGATGAATTTGTTTTTGAAGTCTGGTGCATTTCTGTAGGATATACTTAACTTTCATTTGAGCCAAAAGAAGGTTCAAAGTCCAAAGCCTTCTTTGGTTATGTTTCCCCCTTTGTTTGGTTTCATCAGACCCAACAGTTTGTAATGAACTGCTTTGCTTTATGATTAACAGGTGCAAACAGTCTGTCCCCTGTCCTGGCCAGTGTGTGTGGGAGGTATCCTCCAGGCTCCATACACTCGACAGGAGACTCAATGTTCCTTCATTTCTCTTCTGACAGCGATGTCAATGGCCAAGGCTTTAATGCCTCCTTCTCCAAAGGTTCTGCACAAATGCAAATACATATTCTATTTTCTTTATTCTGATTTAATGTTTTTGTATATTACATTTTTCTTCATTCATTATTGTGTTTAATCAACAGAATGTCGGGCTACCTTTTTAGTGTATTTATTTTTTCATGTCAAGCATAAGATAAAATATTTTTATTCTGATTCGCTGTTTAAATATTTGTATTTTAATGTAAAGTCATGTTAGATATCTAAATATGGCTGAGATGGTAAAACTGGTGACTCAAGAGAAGCTACCACTGCTCTTCATATTTGTTTTTTGACTGGAAGTTACCAGTATCATTTAGGAGGTGCTGATTAATTGGCTCTTTTGGATGCAAACTAAATGATGTTTCACATGTTGCGTTCAATATTTTACCCATTTTTAATGTTCATAACTTAGCACATGTCATCAACTTTGAGTGTCTCACATTTTTAGGCAACAATGTTGCTGTGACTCTGCAGCATGATATCCATTTCAATGAAGATTTCTTTGTGTTTTCAGGTTGTGGTGGCCTGGTGCATGTAGACAGAGGTGTTCTGACCAGTCCTCACTACCCTCAGAACTACTTGCCTGGATTAAATTGCAGTTGGCATGTGATGGTTACTCCAGGATTTCGGGTTTCAGTGTCATTCCAAAATCCCTTCCAGATTCAAGGCTACGGCACTGACTGTAGCTCAGGAGACTACCTCCAGGTAAACTTAAAGTGAAATTAACCTCCAAATCAAAAATGTTCATGATAATAAATTAAACAGGTGAAGTTGTAACTTTATGTTTATGTGTGAATTTGACATTTTTGTGCAGTTCTTGTAGTTCTGCATTACTTTGCTTAAATTCATTTCACTATTGGCCTCTCCGATCAAACAGTTTTTGGGGAGTTCAATTTTGCTATTGATTGCACCGGTACAGCTTGGTACAACTTCCTCACTGTGGTGTATTTACCCCCATGATTTACCTGAGCTGGCACAGTTCTCGTATTCTGAGACGTACAAGTTCTCTCTCTGCGGTTACTATGAAAATAGCACAACAATAAAGAGATATGGATATTGTCCGAGCCTCCTCTGTTTATTAAGACATTACACTCACTTTGAATAAAAAAGCACAGCACTGCCTCCCTGCTAGAGTTGGGTGATACTGGTCATTTTGTTATCAATCTAATGACAAGTAATTGCAGAGCCAGTGTTGCGTCCAAAAAGGGCATAACATATTTGAGGACACAGAGGCAAGACTGAGGGTTCATAAATTCTTTTATTTTAAAACTCTTGAACTTTACTTTTGGTTCAGCTGGTTTGATTTTCTGTGAAGAAAAAAGATAGAGTTAAATACCCTCTGTCCTCCGTGTCCTAAAAAGGAGAAAAAAAACAAAACCCCAAAAGTATTCACAGGAAGTTGGACCTGGTGAGCCGATCAAAAAGAACAAAACAGTACAGCAGGGGCCGACCCTATCTACTGCAAAAGACAGATCGAAAACAGGACAACAGATCCCACCAGGTCAAAAGCACAACGAAAGCAAACAAACAAACAGAACTACCGCATGGCAGCCTGGAGACGTGTGTGCGCCACGCGAGGATACATCCCTGGTGGTGGTGGTGGAGCGGAAGGGCGGGTCTCTCTCACACACGTCAAAACCCAGCCTATTTATAGGAGGACCAACAGTACCACAAATTAATGGAATCAAATTAATTACCAAAACTAAGAAAATATCCTAACTCCACAATATTAAGAAAAAACAGAAAGTCATTCAACTAAAGTCTAGAAACAAAGCAATGTACTTCATATTGAAGCTTCATACAGCCAAAGGATCCAAAAGACCTAGGATGGAATTTCGAAAAGCATTGTCCATGACAACAAAATACTTTATCACGATCAACATTTTTGTTGATAAACAATGGAATAGTAAAAAAAAAAAAAAAGAAAAGTTTCCATTCCCATTAGGAAAATATATTTTTTTTGAGGTACAAAAGGAGAAACCACAATACAAAAATAAAATAAAAATTCTCCCCTCACTAGACACCTTTTCTAGTTCTTTCTTTGTGTCTTTTTTCAAATACAATTGTTCTCAGGTAAAACAGTAGAAAATAAACAATTTTCTTCCTAAGAAAATACTCAACACAACTTAAAACTTCTCTCTGTGGGTCGAGCGATACCTGCCATGGTATTGATAACATCGATATTAGGATTGATCTGCCCACCTCTACTCCTTGCCCCCACACGTCTTTCTACCCGTGCTCACTCGGTGGCGAATCAGGAGTTGTCAGCATTTGTGAAGCATTACTCAGATTTACAAATCTGTAATATATTTATAATAAATGTGTTATGGGGTGGCTTTGGGGTGGAATTTGTCTTCTCTGCTCTGACCAAAGGTGAAGATATGGTGTTACGATATGAACAAATGACTGTCAGACTGACTGACATTTACTTCCAGGGTCACAGATTCAGATTTATTTATTTGTATCTCAAATGGGCAATTGATGTTACAGCAAGTCCAAAAGATTAATAGACAAAGACAATTATTAAAAAATTAAAAACAAAACATACCAAGTTTCACTTTTTGAATGGAATTACTGACATAAATCAACATTTCTCATATTCCAATTTTATGACCAGCATCTGTGTAATAGATTGCTTACTCATAAAGTAAAATATTTCAAAGCTTTAATGATGATGGCTATCGAACATTGAAAACCCAAAATTCAGTGCTTTAGAAAGTTAGCTAAGATAGTAGGATATGTCTTCTTCCTTACTTTCTTAATTACTTTATTTCTGAGCTCCAGGAGCTCTCACTGAGGTCTCAGATATATATTTACTCCCTGTTGTTTCGACAGCTCAGAAATGGTCCAGATGGTTCGTCTCCAATTCTAGGAGGTCGTCTCTGTGGTTCCAGTCCTCCTTCCGTCCTCCAAACTACAGACAACCACCTCCATATTCGCTTTGTAACTGATTCGAGTATCGAGGCCAGCGGCTTCAAGTTGATTTTTGAAGCCCACAATGAAGGTAGAATTTCTTGTTCTGTTTTTGATCAGTAAGAAAGATAATAATTATGAATATGTTGGCTTTTTTCAGTAATACATTGTGCTAAAATAAAATTTACTTAATTCTATTTTACCATGAATGGGTAATCATTTAAACAAAATGCCAATTTCAAATAGTGTAGATCACCAGTTAAATATACGTACTTGAGCATGTTGAGAATTTGACCAAAACCAGTCATTAATTTTTACCTACCAGTATTTAACCACTTCTGTTCATTACAGTTAAGGTCATTTACAGTAGTGGTTGGCAGATACAGTAAGAGAAAATTGAAGAATGAAGATATTTGATTGAGGAGAACTCAGACCACACCCACCAAATAATTTATCCAATAGTAAAAGCAGCTTTATGAATGATAACATGGTGAAATCAGGGGAGCATGGTTTCTTAAACTTGGTGTCCAACTTGCCTAAAGTTTGAAACTGATTTCTTTAGGTCAAGTAATTTATACACTTAAACCCTATAGCTGACAGATGAGTTCTTCTCAATTCCAGTCCTGAGGAGCCCCTGTCCTGCATGTTTTATGTAACTCATGGGACCGCCATGACTAAACCACCTTCTCTTTAAATTCTGGGATCATAGTGGGTGTTTCTGAGTTGTTCCAGTGCTGCTGCTCACTGTGGCTGCTGGCATCTCTTGTTCATAAAACTACCTGAAGCCTACAAATATGACTCGACTATTGCGTGAAGCTTGATGTTCAGTGGTGAATTATTCTATTAACTAGGATATGACGAGACGTCATATTTACAATAGCACCGCTAATGTTATTTCCCTCCTTTTTTTTTAATGTTACACCTGATGGCTGAAATGACAAGCTTCCCACACACCACCTGATGATAGGAAACTCAACCACAATCTGTACACAGGAAACTGAACCAAACTCCCAGGAATACTAAAGAAAAGAAAAAACAAAATGACAATAATTTTCCAAAAATAACAATAATTTTGACTCATCTCAGGAGACCTGTTATCTCTCTGAACTATCATTATTTTTTTTCTATTTTGTCTTTTTATTTGATTTATTTATTTATTTTTGTTATTGAATTATTATCACTATCATTTTCATTATTATTAGAAATAAATACAAATATAACTAACTCTTCTGTTTCAATCACCCAATTCTTGACTGCATGGCATTTCTCGTGTCATGAATTATAAGGTACAAAGTGGTTACTAAATAAACAAAATACCACAGTCAGACCAGCGTTACATCAAGGTGTTTTCCCTTCTGCCACACACCTGACTGGAATAATTAGGTGATTAACAGGCTTCTGCAGCATTTGACGACATGCAGAGGAGATCATGCAATCATTTGAATCAGGGGATCTGGAACAGAATCTCATCTGGACCATGCAGTCCAGTCGTTCCTGAGGACCAGAGCTGAGAAACGTTGCAACACAATTTGTGTTCGGAATGACTTTACTTCCTTTGAAAAATACCATGAAAGATGTCGAAGTAAGATTAGAATATTATTTTTTTTGTTTTGTCACAAACATTTTTCTTTTGTTAGATATTTGAAATTTGCTAGCTTGGTATGACCCAGAGTAATATTACCTCAAAATACTTTGGCAAAATACAACTGGTGTCTCCCGGTTTTGGTGTATAACAGATGGATCACATTTTCTTATTTTTGTTGTGACCAAAGTAATTTTTCCACAGGATGTGGAGGCTCTGTCATGCTGACAGATAATGACCCACCTGGATACATCACATCACCAAACTATCCACAGAATTACCCTCAGAACATTGACTGTACTTGGGTGTTAACCGTACCAAATGGAGAAGCTGTTCAAATTGACTTTGAGGAAGATTTCTACATTGAACCCACAGCCAGGTATATTTGTTGTTTCCTTTTCATGTATGGCCATTGCTATATAACTTCTATTTTATAGAACTTCTATAAATTATATAGAAGTTATATAACTTCTATTTTATACAGTAATGTGCACATGTAAAAATACAAAAAGGCCTTCACAGAGTCATTTTTTATATAATTACATATATTCCTTAAAATAAATGTAATTATTTTACTGTTCAACCTCCAGAGCTCAGAAATGAATTCTGGAGCTGCATCTTTTTAAATGAAATTATTGACTTGTGATAAAGAGATTTATATCTAATTAAAACTGAAATGTCATATCAGTGAAACAGAAACACCTCTTGGGATTTTTAGATGTCAAACAATGAGAGTAGGAAATGTCTTTTTAAAGGTCTTCCTTTAGTTATTATTTCCTGTTTCGATTGAAAATCCACTTTAGAAAACTGTTAAAATGTAGAAAAGTGATCCGCGTTGACGAGAGAGGAGAAAACAAATCTATTGCTGCACTTGACTTATTTACTCTATGGCTAATTGCCATTTATGATCACTCCTTTGCACACAAATCTCATTACATACACAAAGTTGATATGCAATGTACATTATTTACATTAGCTAAATTATGGAAAATCAGTTTCTATATTAAATGTTTTACCCATTTTATTGGCAGCATACACACATGAGGAACATGCTCTCATCAAATGGCAGCCAGCGCAGTTAGCGAGAGAGTGTCAATCCAAGATGAGGCTCAGCTTCCTGCTGCTTCATCAGCTGCATTTGAATGGAAAATTATGAAAAAAATTCAGCGATTTTTGTGAAAGAATATTCAAAATTGGTTAAGCTACATGAAAAATAAATTCTTTATAATATAAACCACACAAGAAAAATGGCAACATAAATGGTCATTATATATTATTATTCTCCCATGGCTCTGCCTCATCTGACCACACGTCACTGGTTTAGGTATAAAACAACGCTGTATGTGTTTGGTACATGGGCCTGCAATTGTATATATCTTTGTATGTGATTTTCTCTTTGCTTTTTTCTTGATGTTTTTCTGCAGCTGTAGCTTTGATTACTTGGAACTTCGAGATGGCTCATCATTGAATTCAGACCTAATTTCTCGGCTGTGTGGAAACACTAGACCGTCTACACAACATTCAAAAGGCTCTGCAATGTTGCTCAGGTTTCGGACTGACAGGAGTGTAACACACAGAGGATTCAAAGCAAAATACTCCATAGGTTAGACAATAAGTTATGAAAAACTAATGTTCACCAACCAAAATGTAATTGTTATAATAATCATGACTGTTGCATTAAACAACTTCAACATAGAGGACAAACAAAAACTCAGCAGACATAAAAATGATTCAGTGAGGGAGGGGGAAATGGATACCTTTCATCTTGCATTAGGTCATGTGACATGACCTATATATATGTGTGTGTATATTTCCTACACACACATATATATAGGACCATCTACTTATCAAAACAAATCAACATGTTTGATTCTCCATGTTTTGTATAAAGAATTTTATACAAAGACAAATCCAGCCATCACTTAGGCAGGATGAGTAAATTCAAGACTTTTCCATTTCCAAAGATTATATACAATATATATTTTCTTAGTTTTTTAAATTCTTTTTATTATATTTTGTTTTCAAGTTCAACATGTAAAAAGTCTAACGAGCTTCAGCAAAGCAGTTTTACAATGTCAGCAGAATACATGCCTAATATGTAGATCATGTTCATTTTGCAGAACTTTCTCACTCCATTGTTTAACTCTCTGTCAATCCTCCATCTACATAGCACTTACATCAATTGTAGACTTTATTATATATATACTTTGTGTTTCACTTTATTTCAATACTAGACCAAGGTTGGGGTGATGGGATGGAAAATGTCCATTATTTTTAACTCCAAACCAGATATGCTTTGATTTAAAGACGATGTACTGATTTTTCTACAAAATTAAGCAACACTTCAGAGCTCACTTTTATTTTGCGTCTCCCATCTCTAAATCCAGCATCATGTGGCGGCACTTACATAGGACAGACGGGGGAAATTCATAGTCCAGGCTTCCCTGGTTCTAACTATCCTGAAAACTCCAACTGTGAATGGTACCTAGAAGGGCCCACGGGACACTACCTTACCTTGAGCTACAAGAACCTGACCCTGCAGGACAGTGCAGGATGTGCTGCTGACTATGTGGAGATAAGAGAATATAATGCTTCAGGTGAGGACAAAAATCAAATTCTATTTGGAACTTATGTAAATAGCATGAATTCTTCAGATTCAAGTTTATAATTTCCACAGGACGTCTGCTGGGGAAACATTGTGGAAACAATATTCCAGCTTCAGTTGATACATCAGACAGTTTTGCTTATGTCAAATTTGTGAGTGACAACAGTATAAATGCAGCTGGATTCCACCTGTTTTTTGAAGCCAGTGTTGAAGGTAGGACCACTTCATTCTTTTTTTATATTAGTTTTATTTAATGGGGAAGACACACAGTAACATAGACAAACTAAAAAAAACAGCAGTCTCATGCTGTATTATGGTCCTTATGATACAAGCATAGGGACAAGAAGGCACTTGTCTCTACATGGGCTTTTTAGCAGTGCATCTAAAAAACTATTCAAGTGAAATAATAGCAATTTTAAGTAGCATAACATGTTTACTACATATACAAAATTATACAGATTAAGCAATAAAATATCATCCCATGATAAACATGTCAATCATAAAATATTAAATATGAATACAGTTCTGTTTTTGATATATCCAGAGTTTTCTTTTTTTTTTTTTTTTAACTGAAATTGGCTACAAACTTTAAATTAGCAGGAAGTGAGTTCCAGTGAAAGTGAATAGTGGAAATGTCACTTTCTGGTGTGGAAGAAGCCTGAGCTACTGTGTGAGGTTGCGAGGTTCCAGTTAGAAATTGTCGCTCTCATCTCAACGCATGGTTCTTGTTCTGGAACGAGTCTCCTTGAGAGGGTTTGGACACTCTTCCACTCTGGAGTTGTCCATGGTGAGAGGCGCCAGGCAGGAGTGGGCATACTTGTTGCCCCTGGTCTTTGTGTTTGCAGCCTCCCTCTGTCTACGAGTGGGGGACAGGTTCTGCCTGTTGCACTGAACAGCAGTTCAGATTATCTGTCCCTCCTGAAGGTTCCTTTGTTCTGCTGGGTGATGTCAACAGTCATGTGGGCAATGAAAGTGAGACTTGGAGGGGTGTGGTTGGGAGGAATGGCCTCCCTGATCTGAACTCGAATGGTGTTGAGTTGTTGGACGTCTGGGCTCGTCATGGATTGTCCATGAGAAACACAGAGTTCAAGCGTAAGGGGATACATACATACTCTTGGCACAAGGATGCCAGAGGCCACTGTTCAATGAAGCTCATGAGACAACTTTCTGTTGTCTGTTGTCATCAGATCTGTGGCCATATGTCTTGGACACTTAGCTGAAAAGAGCTAAGTATCCAAGACATATGGACACAAAGAGCTGTCCACTTTGATGCGGACTGTTAGGTCCCTGGATGAGTATGGTCCGCATTGCCGGCACTAAGTTAGGTTTGTTTCCAGTGAGAATTGGACTCTACCAGGCCCTTTGTCATCAATTCTGTTTTTTTACTTTTATGGACAGAATTTCTGGGCGCAGCCAAGGTGTTGAGGGGATCTGTTTTGGTGGGCTTGGGATTGCGTCTCTGCTTTTTGCAGATGATGTGGTCCTATTGGCATCATCAGGCCATGATCTACAGCTTTCCTGGACTGGTTCGCAGCTGAGTGTGAAGCGGCCTGGATGAGGATCAGTGCATCCAAATGTAACGTCATAGTCTGGAGGTCATAAAGTATGTTAGGAGTTGCAACTCCTTAGAAGATAACTGCTTATACCTGAACAATACCTTGTTTTTATAGATGAATATACATGAAATGGATATATCAAGAAATGAAAAACCTGGTTATTACCAGCTGTGCCAAAGCCGTGCCTGTTGTCTGTTGTACCAGACAACAGGCACGGCAATAGTAGTGTGTCTTGCAATCGGAAGACGGTAGGTTCCATTTCCACCTCCTTCTGCCACATGTTGAGGTGGACCTGGGCAAGGGGCAAGAGTAAATAAAAGCTCCAGTATGCAACTTATGTCCGCATAGTATAAGACAGAAAATATGAGAAAAAATTGGGCTCTTCTGCCTCATCCCAGTGGTCCCAGTACTAACTGCAGAAATACACCACTCACTCAGAAGGAGTGGTGTAAATGCTGTCAATCACTCTCATGCTCACTCCCTCCTGCTTGTTCTTTGCTAAGCAACAGCTTGCTCAACATGATGTATCTTACCACAAATACTAAGGTGACTTAGCATGGCCACCAATGACGTTGGATAAACAGTTTTCAGTATGTTAATGGTTTTCCACTATTAACAGACTGAGCAGTATACAGGAGGTGGATTGACAGTGCTAAGACCCTCCTCCCTGCTCTGATTGTTTGTGACTCAGAGTGGTACATTTTTGCAGTTCTAATTGCAACACCAGGAGGAGGTGGAGAAATAGATTTTTTTCACAATTATATGTCTCATATCTACTGCTATGACTATATTGTGTCAATTTTAATAAATATGGTGACAAAAAAACTGTTTTTGTAACTGTTACATACTGCAGCTTTAACCCCAATATAACTACTGATCAGAGAATGAGTGGGTGAATGTGGCTTTAGCATAAAGCACTTTGAGTGGAAAAGAAGGCAGTGAACAGCCAGACTGGAAAAGAGCTATAAAACTTCTGTCTGCTTAATAATCCTTCACAATGCTTCATTTGAGGGCCATTTCTAAATACATTAACTCAAGTTACCTGTAGATTAGTGTATGAGGGTATGAATTGATGCACATTTGCAAGTACGACTGGGTGAATGCAACCCTTGTGTGAAATGTTTTAAGTGATTAGGTTGTCTAGGAAAATGGACTGTACATGTAGTAACTTATATTAAATAAACTTCGACACAAAAGATTTGACTTGTGACAATTTGTTGTTGGAGTATTTGATCTCACAATAGATATCCATTTGTTTTTCCTTTTTTCTAGCGTGTGGAGGAGAGTTGAATGCTCCATCTGGTACCATCACCTCACCCAATTACCCAAATTTATATCCTCACAGCAGAGTGTGTCGCTGGGAATTGGTGGTCACACCGAACCGCAGGGTTACACTCATCATTAATGACATGCGCCTGGAAGGTTCTGGCACTTCCTGTGTGTTTGACTACATTGATGTGAGTTCCTTTCCCCTCATTGGGATCTTGCCTGTTTTCTGTACTGTAAGTTTTCACATTTTTAACTCTCGGTTAATCTCAAGGAAGGAGACTGGCAATTGGAATTTTAATTTTAATTCCAGCTTAAATTTGACATCCATTATATGCTTATTTGGGAAGACACTTCTCACTGTCTGTTAACAGTGAGATATAGTGAGGTGATAGATGAGGGATGAGGTGATTATGGTAAGCAATACAGGAGCACCACAGGGGACTATATACTGACCATTCCTTTTCATGCTTTCAGCACAAGTCTGACTTCTGTCATCTACAGAAATACTGACATGACTCTGTAGTTGTCAGGCGTATGAGAGATGGGCAAGAGACGCTACCTAAAAAGCTGCTAGTATGGCTTTTCGTGTTGTTGAGTTTTTAATAAGAATCACAGAAACTGTTCTGGTGTTCCGAGTTTTAAGGTTAAAGGGTTAGGGGCTTAGGAGCTCTTAGGGGTTAGGCTCTTAGTCAGTTTTATGACTAAAAGCCAGTTTTATGGCTCTTAGCGCTTAGTCTGTCTGACTAAGTCAGCCAGAGCATTAACTCTGGCTGACTAAGTGGAGAGAGCATTTGATACGGTTTGATGCATTGTGTAACTGGAAAAATACTAATAATATAAAACCAGCATGACATGTGACTACAAGGTGAGTGCGAAAGCTCCTCACTTAGCTGAACTTGCATAATGAGGTTAGTGGTGGTTCGTTAACCACTGATGCTCTGGCCAACTGGAAACACATACATAAACTTTACAGGGAAGACGGAACCACTCGCTTATATACACTGTGGCAAACCCTGCAGAAAAGGAACCTTTTTTGTCTTATTCCTGTTAGATAATGTAATTTATCTACTTCATTTTATTATTTAATTGTAACTGGTTGTTAGATTACATGTCATTTTGAATGTCTATGTGCAACTGGGTAAAAAATGTCATGTGATACCTGTCATTTGATTCATGTGTATTTGGCATAAAACTCAAAGTAGAATTTAATGTATTGATAAATATTGTAGAATAGATTAAATTACACAGCCCTACATGCAAAGGAGATTTAAGTTGACTGACCCATTGTTACGTCCAAAAGGGCACAACATATTTGAGGACACATAGGCAAGGAGGATTCAAAGAATATCTTTTTATTTTTAAACTTTCTTGATCTTTTTTTTCTGCTTCAATTTCCCGTAAAGGAAAAAAGAGAGAATTAAGTATCCTCTTTTCCCCGTGTCCCAAAAACATAAACATTCCAAAAGCATCAACAGAAAGGTGGACCTGGTGAGCCGGTCAAAAAGAACAAAACGGTACAGCAGGGGGCCAACCCGATACAGGCAGTCAAAGGCCCTACTTGTACCAGACTATAAAGGAAAATAATCTACTGAAACAAAAGAATCAAAAACAGGACAACCGGTCTCACCAGGCCAAAATGATCATAAAACGATAAAAAACCAAAGGCTAACAAAAATACCCCATGGCAGGCTGGACGTCAGCTGCGGCCTACAGCCGCTGAAAACGTGCGCCCCTCGTCAGAACGCATTCTAGGTGGCGGTGGTGGAGCGAGCGGAAGAGTGGCAGGGCGAGCGGGCGGCTTCCAAAACTGTCGCAATCCCGCCTATTTATAGGCAGTCCAAGAGCCATAAATTAACAAAACCAAATTAATTACAAAAATGAATTATCAATACACTAAAATATATTAAACACAAAATCATTCAACTAATGTCAATACAAAACAATTTAAGAAATTGAACAATAATTATAATGTGCCCAAGGTACATAACACCCATATTAAACACCTGGTTGAGTTTGTGGATTAGTCATAAACCCATAGAAGCTCTAAGGGGGTTGATAAAAGATAAAAGTATTAATTGGACACATTGGTACCACATTATCATCCTATATTGGTCTGATCTAAGTAATCAGCAGAATCAGATAGTTGGGTATGGTGACCAACATCTTTGAAATTCAGTGATCAATTCATAAGAATTATGCACATTGATCAAGTAATCTCATCTGCTTCATGTTTACAGGGTACAGGCCCATAATCACATGATCTCAATTGATCTAATGGAATAATTTGTCAAAACATTGACTTTACTAACTGAAACTATGCAGTCAGTAGAACTGAATAACCTGTTGTGATAGAATTCCTCATCTTAAGTGACGGCCATACAATGGAGTACTGGTACTGAATGGTTTCTTTTTTTCTTTTTTTTTTTCAGTTTTGGTTCATAACTCATCATTGTAGGTGAAGGTAACATAAATCGAGTACTTTGCCTTTTGTACTTAGTTTTTGATTCAACAGGAAAGCTTCATTCTCTCTTATTATTTTCTGTGGTAAAAACTTGGTCCACATCTAAAAATTACAGTAACTGAAGATCTTCTAATCAGACAAAATTGGTGTCAAACGTTTATATCACTGCTGGTTTATGCAGCAAAAATTTTCGTTTCACTCAAGTATTAGAAAACAAATGTCTTTTTTTATCAGAGCCCTATCTCTTCCAGATATTTAATGGGTTGGGTTCTGATGCACCTCGTCTCCATCGATTCTGTGGTACAGTCTCACCAGGCACTCAGGTGCACTCTTCTGGCAACACCATGGCTATTGTATTTCGCACCGATGCTTCTGTTTCCAGTGGTGGCTTTATGGTTACTTACTCCTCTGATGAGCCTGCGGGTGAGTTATTTTCCAAAAAAAACCCTACAAGTTGAAAAACTATTTGAAATTTTTTACTCATTATCCAGTTTAAATACCAAATATATATTGATATTCACCAATACAGAGTGTAAACCTTCTCTGCACTACTGCAAAAGATAATATCTGCGGTTTTCCTTATCTCTGTTCTTAAGGGTACAGTCTGTCAAAGGCGAGGAATGATGCAAATTTCTCATTGACTGCTTTGCAAAAGCCAGCCAATAGTATATGCCAAATGGTCTGTACCTATAGTGCTTTATGAAGTCCAGGGGTCCACAAAGCACTTCACATGACATTTACATGCTGATGGTGGCAAACTACTGGAAAGAAACAGCAGCTGTGCTGGACAGTCTGACAGAGTGAAGCTATCATGCATTGGTTCCTATTGTGATCTCTGGTGATCCTCTGACCTCCAGAGGACACCACTACTAGGCAAGGCAGATCAACTGTCTTGCTGAAGGATACAATGCTATGGATATGCATGCCATAGGCATCTTTCCTTTGCCTATGGATATGCCATTTCTTGATTTCAGAAATGGAAAACTGTTGAATTTACTTCAGCTTTCTAAGTTGTATTTTCTTTTGAAAAATGCTGATAAACAAAAAAATTCCTAAAATTGGCAAATTTTTGGCAAATAATTTGGTGCTATGTTCCACAGAAAAACACATAAATAGGTGAACACTGTATGTGTTGTCAAGTCTTGATTGGTTTTCTGCCGGAATACAATAAAAATAGTCACTTGGAGTTAGTTAATAATATAGAGCTGGAGTCCTCCAGAGAAAGCAGATCTGCATGTTTACAGCTATACCTGAGATTTGGTAAACCAAGATCAGCAATTCTGTTCCCCTGTCAACATTACCATCAGTTTCACTTGGGTCACAAACAGATCCAGAATACATGTGAACAAATTACAATTTGTATTGGCATGTTCATTCATTAAGCTCGAAAGGAAAGTGTGACTCTAAAGTCACTAGAAATTGGGCGCTTTCTTTGAAATGTGAAGGATGACTTTGCCTCTCTTTATACATTCATGTTTCATCAGAGTGTGGAGGAATTCTGAATGACCCGGTTGGAGGCAATTTCACATCACCTGGTTTCCAGGTGTCCAATTACAGTAACAACCTGAACTGCGAGTGGTTGATTCAGAATCCCATTCACGTCAACTCTTCAATTGTGGTTCTCATTGAAGACTTGCACCTGGAAAACCATCAGACTTGTGAACTGGACTACCTTCAGTTCCGCCTGGGTAAGTTCTCCAAAAATGACTTTGGAACGTTTAGTTATTTTTATGGAAAACTGAGTTTAGATTGCAATAGATCTTTAATATGGGGTTTGAGATTCAGCCTTTTCCTGAAGAGGTTTAGTGATGCCTCAAAAAGTCAATTACCCTCATAAGATGTAAGATACTGATAGAAAAAATACAGTTTCACAGTCAAAGGCAGGTTCGAAGGTTTGGCAGCACTACATATCAAGCAATGCTTATTTAATGAAAGGGATGTAATCTCAATGAACCCATTTAACTGCCTTTTTGTCTTTATTTCCTTCATTTGTGGGTAACATCTGTCACTAAATAGGTTGTTGTTTGGCAGACTTTACCCACAGGCACATGGATGGCTTCACACACTGACTGTTAAAATCAAACAGGCGCAGATATAAATTGATCCAAGCAAATAAGAGATTTTTATTCCTTTTTAATGTTTCGTTCTAATTATGGCTGTCAACATTAACGCTTTAACACAAGTAATTACTCTGCACATTTTAATGCATTAATATTACATAATGCAGATTAATGAACCTACCTATTTTGACCTAAAAATATCTCTGCCATTGGGGGTTACCTAGTTCACAGCAGCGTGCTATGGGGTTGATCCACAGAGAGCAAAAAATAATAGCAACAGCGTCAAAAATTTAAAGCTTTTCAACTTTTTTGTATTGTTAACTTGCTTGTGCACACAGATGCACATAGACATGGGGTGCATCCATGGGTGGACATAAATGTGCAGACGTGGGGTCCTCTGGATGCTTACACTTGGCTGGAGGAGGATAAGTGACTGTCGCCTCATTGCACAAATTGTATAGGAAAGGAATGGAGAGACACATTTCCAATTTAACATTCAAAACAAACAGATCTTTCTTTAAACCCTCCTGAATATTAAAACCTGGAAAACTGAGACTCTTCAGATTCTTGATTGGCTTCAGACATTTTTTTGAAGACGTACATTCAGAGGCAGTTTTTGATAAGGACTACACAGGCACTTCCCTTGGGTGGTATCAGTAAGGGATGGAGCACCCAAGAAAAAGAAATTAAAATATATTTTATTTGTGACTGTCAGTTGTTGCCTGAACAGGTTTTCTATTACTTGTGTGCATGTGCAGTGCAATAAGCTGTCCCTGAGTTACTATTGAGTACTATATTACTGGGACTTTGCTGGGACACCATTCATGCAGGAAACACGACTACATGCGTATTTATATATCTAGATCAGAAAGTTGAAAGTGAATAAAACATCAAGTACACAGCGGTTGTAGAGTTCTTATTTTCTGTGGTTTTCTTTGCTTGTTTGTTTGTCTTATGGTCAATCCCTTCTCAAGGTGACTGGGATGGGGAGTTATTGGGGAGATTTTGTGGACAAACGCCACCCCAGATCCCAATTGTGGTGTTCACGCCAGAACTGTGGGTTCATTTCCGGACTGACTCTTCACAGGGAGATTTGGGTTTCAAGGCCAAGTACTCATTCTCTGGTGAGATGGTGATGGTTAAGTCATTTTACGTAACAGTTGTTTTTTTTTTTAACATGATCTATGGCATTTTCAACTATATCGCATCAACTCTGTGACCTTAGAGTTAATGTTTCTGCAGAATGTGGAGGCTGGCAAACAGGTGATGGTGGCGTGTTATCCAGCCCTAATTACCCCAACATGTATCCCAGCCCGAGTCGCTGTGCTTGGCTATTGGAAGCTCCCATTGGCCACACTATCACGGTGAGTCCTTAACACATTCAGTTTCCATGATGGAATAAAAAGGAGAGCTGGCCAGTTTCAATTAAAGTTGTTCAGAAGCAGTATAGTACTAACAAAACTTATCTTTGCTAGCATCAAAAGTAGTAGTTGGCGGGGCACGCCGGTGGAACAGTGGGTTTAGCATACAACCCATGAATAGAAGTCATACTACTATGAAATAAAGATCATAAAAGTCCCTTTAAAAAAAGAGCAGTAGTTGACTATCTGTGTTCAAACTGAACCTCGGGTTTTCCAGGACTGTAAAGAGGTTGACAGCAAATTCATAGAACATTGGTTGCAAGGAGTCACCGATCCAGTCAAATCTGGGACATATGGGAACACTAATGTCATAATATTTTTGCATAAATAATTCTTCTAGCTCCAGAGTAAATAGTAAAACAAAAATAGGTGGAGCAAAACATCTTCAAACATATTTTCTTGTGAGTTTCACAATCTTTGGCCATTAAAAAAAAAAATCCTCTTCAGGAGGACATCACAGTATGACGAGCCAACCCTGTTTGACAATACAGAACCCTAATCTGACCAAATACACATGGTTCACTACATGGCACAAATTATTCATATATATAAAGAAATAAATAATAAAGAGCTACTTTACACAAATAAAATCAGGAATATTCATATTTTGGTTAGTTCAGTCCAAGTTAAGTGGAGGCACACCTATGGATGTATTTTAAGGTTAAACTACAGGTCTGGTTCATCACTGGGTCCAGCTTCCAGATATCAGAAAGTTCTGTCATTTGTTCAAACCGCTTTATGCAAGACTGAATGGAATGAGAATGTCGATTCATCACTGTTTTGATGTAAAATGTGCAGACCAATCCCAGAATAAAAAAAACAATATAGGGAAATAACTGCTTTGCTTTTTTTTCTGTATATGATTTGTGAGGTTAATACAGGAAGACTTAATTGTTCTGTACTTTGTCTTTATCCCATGTTCCTATAGTTGAGCTTCAGCTACTTCAACCTAGAATCACACGCCACATGCAGCTGGGATTCTGTTACAATTTTTAATGGAGGTTCCCCTGGATCTCCAATAATTGGCCAGTACTGTGGAACCACCACTCCTGGAACTATCCAATCAGGCTCGAACAAACTGGCTGTAGTTTTCTTGGCGGACCATAGTGTATCAAATGGTGGATTTTTTGCTTCCTGGTCTGCTGACTCTTCTGGTAAGTTTTTGTTAAATAAATATCTGACAGTGTTTGTGGAATATCAAGAGATATCCCACAAACAGGCACACTGTGTTTGGGTCTGATACAAATTAGTTTATCAGCACAAGAGAGGCCAATAATTATTCAGCTTTTAAAAAGTTGACATATAAATTATTTTGCATAATATATCCTTTCTACTAATATACAATCTATTTTTTAATGTTTGCACATGTTATCTATGAGTTTTAAGACTCTTTATTTTCTACTTTTATGTGATGATTTTCAAAATAGTGTGTGTATTAATATTTTTATATTCCGCGAGGTTGTGGAGGGGTGATCCATGCTGATACAGGAACAATTAAGTCACCAAATTACCCCCAGAACTTCCCAGCGAATACAGAGTGCTTTTGGCAGATCATTGCCCATGAGGGAAACCATCTGGAGATGAGCTTTGGTGATAACTTTGAGATTCCAGACAGCACTGGCAGCTGCCAGACCAGCTATATCAAGGTACAATCAGGAATTGACACTTTTTCAGATTAACTATTATGTCAGGGTAGAGTAAGACATGAGCCAGACAAAAGAGGAAAGGTTTAATAGAGACTTTGAGGAGATTGTGCGTTTCTCTGTAGGTTTGGTCAGGCAGTACCCAGAATTCTGAGGATCTGCTTGTGACAGGCTGTGGTTCTTTGGCACCAGAACCCATTGTCGCGCCATATAACCTTATCACAACTCGATTCCAAGCCACTGCTACCGCTGGTGTAGGTTTCTCCATGTCCTTCAGCACCCGTAAGAATCTCAAGTGTATTCATCTCAATATATTTGTGTTGCTGTAACACATGCCAACTTGGTAGCAGTTCTCCTCTATAGTTGACAGATAACCCTCTTAGTAGGTGAGGATAAGCCATATTAATAAAGGCTCTATGTTAACAATAAGTTTCGCAAACAATATCTTGTCTATTAATTTTGATATTTGAACCACTTTTATCAGTGATATCATAAAATTAATCAGTAATCAACTGCTCTTGTGATTTTGCAGTGCAAAGCATGAATGTCTCAAGCTCTTTACAGTTTTTAAAAAAAGACAGAAATTCCAACAAAATGATCTAAAGTTTGATGTCTTCTCCTCATGAGGGTGTGGTGCAAGTTTCAGTGCTTCCAAGGGTCGAGTGGTTTCTCCAAATTTCCCAGCTGACTACCCAGACCGTGCTAACTGCAACTACACTATAGATGCTGGACAGCAGACAGTGATTGTTCTCAGCTTTCAGGTCTTCCAGATAGAGGGTATGTCTTCACATTCTGCAGCATGAGAACAGAAATATATAGCCCTGATGATAAACCATTTCTTCCTTGTTGGATGTTGTACCAAAGGTTTGTTTTATCTTTTGTCTAGCACACTCCACTTGTATGTATGATGGTCTCAAGATCTACAGCCCAGTTTCTAGTAGCACTGAAATGGCTACTTTATGTGGTACCAACATTCCAGGCCCTTTTTCCACCTTTGGTCCTATGTTACTTCATTTCTACTCTGACTCTCTGTTTACCAGCCGTGGCTTCATGGCAGAATACAGCGCCATACGTAAGTAAATGCAACATATCGATACTGTGCCTACAGTAGGTATTAGTTTCATAAGTTTATATTTTACTCTTATTTCAGTTCAGTTTTTGGACACCTTACCTATTTCTGTTATGTTGAGATGTAAGACAATAGAAGGATAAAAGTGTCCATTCAGGTCAGGACTTTTATTGACCTCAGCACAATGGCGACATCTCTTCTGTCTGTTTTTGATGGGTGCTAGATTTCACATCTCAATTTTGAGACCATAAGCTGGGCGGGGTTCGAATCCAGTCTGGGTCCTTAGGCAAGACCCTTCAAGCTACTGCCTACCTCATACCATGAGAGATACTAAGTTGCGTAACATGCCGGCTCAGACGTCGCCCGGCCAAACAAGGTCTGCATCAGGTGTTGGGGAACCAGAGCACCTTGATGACAAATGGGCTACTGGAACAAGACGGAAATGGGCGAGAGATGAAAATGTGGATCTGTTGGAATGTTACTACTCAAGTAACCCTAGTGAGAGAGGGTTACTTGAGTAGACTGGGGAAGGAATGGTTACTTCGACATCCGCTAAACAACTAGTAGCTCAGTGTTCCAACATCCGCAAACGGCAACTGCTGTCACAACTTGAGATTGACGAGATACAACACAAATGGTACGGCAAAAGGGAGGAACCCGGATGTCACAACTGTGGGGACTTAACTACAAGTCCCCAGTGAGGGGATACACTCACTGGGGATGAGTGACAATTGCTTCCGTTGTGTTGTTGGCTTTTTCAGCATCGATGTAGAAACAGTGGAGACAAAAAAAAACAAGTACAAGAAGAAACAGGGATTATTTTTGATATTTATGAAAGTAAAAGTAAATCAAACATTTGATGTTTGATTCTTTGTATGTTTTTGTGCATGTGTGCTTGTGTATGTTGCTTTAGCATGTGGCGGTTTCTTCAATAGTACTTCGGGTACAGTGAGCAGTCCGGCCCTCTCCATTACCAACTACCACCACAACATAAACTGTACCTACCACATCATTGTCCAAGCAGACACAGTGGTAGATCTCAAGTAAGACTATGTGTGATAAAATAGAAGTTAAATAGTAATTTACTCAAAACATAAAACAATGTTTTTTTTTACACTGGCAGTTTAAAGCCAGTATAGTAAGTTTAAACCTCAGTTATGCTTCATGTCTTTTCTCTTTGTAGATTCAATACTTTCAGCTTAGAAGCTTCTTCTTCATGTCGCTATGACCATGTGGCTGTGTATGACGGGCCTGACAGCTTGGCACCATTGCTGGGAAGGTTCTGTGGAACAGTGCTCCCACCTGACATGCGCTCCTCTACAAATAATTTGTTCATCATCTTCAGTACAGATGCCACAGTTAGTGGTGTTGGCTGGAGAGCCACTTACAGTCAAACACTTGGTAAGTTAGCATTAAGATGAGTTTTGACGATGTGGATGTGCTCATGTAAAATAAATGGGTTACCATGCAAAATGACAACAGCCAATTATTGTAGCCAATGGTGTCCTGGAATGTAACAAAGTTTAGTTGGATTATCACAGAGATAAATACATTTTTCATTTGATATTTGATAACATTGCTTTTTTGTATGACTTGGATCAAACCTTTTCAGTTTCTGACCACAAGTTTCTCACAATAATTGGCTGGAGTTCTGGCCCTTTCCACTTGATAGAACTAGTTGAAGTCTATCTGGTTTGTAGCCCACCTCACTCATACACCTTTTCAGATTTACCCACAAATTCTCAATAGGATTGAGATTAGAACTTTGTGATGGCCACAGAAAAACATTGACTTTGCTGTCCTTAATCCACTCTGTAACCACTTTGGCTTTTTGTACTGTCCATTTAGAACAGAATAGAATAGAATAGAATAGAATAGAATAGAATTCAACTTTATTGTCATTGCACTGTCACATGTAGTGGAATACCAACCTGTGCCCAAGCTTTTTCTTCCTGGTTGATGTCTTGAAATGTTGGTTCAATATTTTTACGTAATGTTTCCTTCCTTGTGATGCCACCTATTTTATGACCATTAGCTTTTACAGCTAAACAGCCTCACAACATGATACAGACATCCCAATATAGTTGGGAGATGGTACCACTTACTTACAGTAGATCTGCAGTCTGAGAGCAAAGTGCTCTGTTAGGAAGATGGAACTATCAGATCTGAGATATGATGGAGTTTGATAACTAAGTTGAGAAGGAGAATCTTAAATTCTGTTCTGCATTTAATAAGGGTCAAATGTAGAGAAGCTACAACTTGTGAAATAAGATTTCTCTCTTTAATTTTAATCATAACTTTTGTAGCAGCAGTTTGGATCAGCTGAAAGCTTTTAGTTGTATTTTGTGAACTTTTCAATGGTAAAGAATTTCAGTACATGTTATCAGTTCATATTTTATTTTTAAACACAGAAATCAGTTGTACAAATGTTCAAAACCTTCATGGATGGATGAGCCTTTCTATATCGGTGCACAGTGTTGTTTTTGGATATTGCCAATGAGAGCAATTATATAATTTTTTTAGTTGTGAATTTCTGCAGGTCCAGCACAAGGATGTGGGGGCTACCTCTCTATGCCTATGGGCATGTTGGGCTCACCAGATCCAAACCTGGATGGACGTTATGAACCCAGGATGAACTGTGTTTGGACCATTGAGATGCCTGTGAACAAAGCCGTCAATCTCTCGTTCAGCTCCTTTGACCTTGAGAGCTCCTCTACTTGTCGCTATGACTATGTCGAGGTAAAGGGTTAATCCTGTTATTTCAATGTCAAAAATGGTAAATAGCTTGTACTGCATAGAGTGCTATACAAGTCTTATGCCACAAGAAAACAAAAACAAAACATGATTTCAAAGTTTTTTCAATGTAAACTAAAATTCAAAATGGCATGATCATGTAATGGCATGTGCTGGAATGTAACAGGTTTGTAGCCCACCTCACTCATATTGGTGAATGCGGAGGAATTTGCCTATAATTGGTGGATCATCGGTCCACCAATTCCTGGTCCACTCGCCTATGTTGCTTGTGTCCACGTGCAAGACGCTACATCCACCTTGCCTGTCGGTGTTGGTCAGAAGGGCTGATGGTGCAAAATTTTCAGCCTGCCCTAGGGCAGCTGTAGCTACGATCCAGTAGCTTGCCATCATCAGTGTGTGAATGTGCCTTTTGAGATTTCAGTTGAAGTTGCAAAGGGCTTTATAAATAAAGCTGATTATTATTTGAGGCTGATGATGTTTGAGTTGTCACGTTTGAGTTTGAGGAGAGCTGGTCATTAACGGCATATAGGTGGAATTGGAGATTGTGGCTGCGGATGTAAAGGTGGAGGAGCAGGTAAAGGGTGAAGAGTTGAGGAACAAGCACTGTGATACAAGAGCAGTGGATGAAGTTATTGATACTGATGAATTGTTCCCTGTTTATGCAATATGAACAAACAGGGAACCAAGAGACTGCAGTGCAGGTGATGATGAGGGAGGACCTAAACCTAAACACCCTTTGGCACCCTTTGATGGTGCCAAAGGGTGTGGTGAAAACTAAGAGAAGGAGAATGCTGAGATGAAATCTGAGGAAAAGAGGATGGGATGGAGTCAAGAGGACAAGTGGAGCTTTGCCTACAATGAGTTTGGACAGCTCTCTCGGAAACACGAGGGGACTAAGACAGGCACTGAATGCTGCAGGTGGGAGAGGGTAGATATAGGGAGGTTGAAACAATGGTGATGGAAGTCAGACAACTGTAAACTGGTTTCATTTTGTTTTGGAAAAATTAAGGAGTGTGAGATGTTATCACTGGGTTTAAGGAGTCCAAGTCCTCAGATCAAATGCTTTTTTCAATGAAATTTTTAGCATCACACCCATGATACCCAACTAAAACAAAAAAAAAACATAAAAAATTCAAAGTTCATCATAAAATTCTGAAAATATTCTCACATCGCCATGTGAAATAATATAAGTCCATAATAAATTCTTAGAAATTAACTTTAACTTTGGTAATGTTAGTAATAGTGACACAATCCTGGAAAATGTATTTTTATGGAGCTTAGTACCATTTCATTGCACAATAAAGCAGCTTTGTTTCTTTAGTTATACAAATGCTATATGTATAAAATATGACCTAAAAATTGACTGTGTAAGTTAACACCTTAAAATTAGGCCTCTCTTTCAGAAACTCCTACTCTTTCTGACTCTTCACCTTCGGAAAGTCATCACAACATGGCTCCTCATAAATAACGTTTTTATCATTGTTGCACTGAGAAGTAGCTCACATAATGAGCTCAGCAGCTGTGCGGTTCCAGCAGGTGTTTACTATTTGCTCCTGGCTGGTCTAAAGGAGCTGAGTGGAGTGGAGAAGGCTGCTCTGTAATGCAGAAGCTTGGAAGCTGCTACCCTGAGGACAAGCTGAACCTTGAAGGCAGTGCTGGGTTCCCCCAATTGTTTGCACAGCTGAATGGTTGCCCTACGAGATTAAAGGATTTCTCCAACATCCATAAAATAATCATGGAAGCATTCTGTGTATGTTTTTAATGAGGGAATAACATTACAAATGAAGCTAAAAAGAAAATCATAAAACAGTTTTTTGTTTTTTTAACGCCCTTATTCACAAATGACCATTACGTCTAAAACTGCCCCAATTTCTGTCTGCCACACTCCAGAGATTTTTTCAAAATAAAACAAAAACTGCCAATCTTGCATATTTAATTATTACTTTTTTAAATATAAAGGAGCACTCATATTGGAATGATATTTGTTGTGTTTTATAGCCACAACAAATTGATGTTGATGATGTCTGAACAGTTTGTCATCTTGAAAGTTTGTCAACTTTCAAGATGTTTGATCAGAGTCAGAGCTGCTGCTACCACCACTAGTTACAAACTACATGCTTTCATCTAGAACTGTAAATTTGGGTCAAAATTTTTAGACTGCATGCAAGGAACATATCTTGAATGTCAAATCAATCAGTGAATTTTTACTGATGTTTTCCAAATGTTAAGTTGCCTACATTTTTGTGCAGAAACCAAGCCCACTTTGACCAAACATTTTCCCGTTAACATTATCCTGAAGACGCCCTTTAGTTAATGAAAGTCCATACATTTCTGCAGTATTAATTTTACCTACTTATTTCACCTCCTAGTTTTGGATCTATCGCAACCCAACAATTAAAAAATAAATCTCATTTTGATGTATTAAAATATGGACTTATGTTCTGATAATGTTCTGAATGTGTCTTTATCTCCACCAGATATATGATGGAGGCAATATGAACTTTCCTCTAGTTGGGACATACTGTGGAAGCTCCATTCCTGCCTACTTCTTGTCAAGTGGAAACTTCTTGACTATTCACTTTGTGTCTGACAGCTCTGTCCAGAAGCAAGGATTCAATGCGACCTACAGAGCAGTACCGTGTAAGAACATTTCTTGTCTCTTCTTCCACTGTCACACCTCTGACTTCTTAAAATAAATTCACCTTTTTTATTTTCAGTAGCATTATCTCAAATTCAAGAAACATTGGTGTTTAATTTAGATTATTTGGTTTGGTGGAGAAGAAAACACATTTAATGATCATTGAAGTAAAATATAAATAAAATGACATTTTTTTTTCTTCTTGTCATTGTATTCTATTGATGTTCAACTCTACAACTCTCCTCTGTATCTGCCTCTCTTCAGTGCTGTGTGGCGGGACTCTGAATGCTACGACTGCAAAGCAGACTTTGACTTCACCATCCTTCCCCAACGCTTATCCTCCTTACACCTACTGTCGGTGGATCATTGACTCTCCACCACTAGAAACCATTAAAGTGTCAATCCAGACATTTGTCCTGGATCCAAGCCAAAGTTGCTCAACCAATTACCTGGAGATTAATGACTGGCCTTTGGTTAGTATAAACAACCAAAGATCAAAATTTGCTGGACTACGGAAAATAAAATAAAATTGGTTTCTTTACAGAAATATAAAAGTGGAGATATCCTACAGATAGAATTTCCAATGTTTATAAAGCTGAATTACCAATTTGATTAAAAAAAACAACATATTTTTAAAGTTCTCAGTTTAACTTCCTCACAGAAATGACTGTGAAGACATTGTCTTAAATTGCCACATTCATGACAACAAACATGGTTCCCCGATTCTGAAACTATACAGACAGGGATGGATGCAGCTGTGGACCATATTAAACTCAAAACTATTCACACCTCATATAGAGTTGGATTTGAAGTTATTTAATTCAACTATGAAAAGATAAAATAATGTGAAAGCAGAATTAGTTAGTCTTTAGATTTTTAAAATAAAAATGGCATGTTAAAAATTATTTAGCCCCTCAATAATCCATAGGCAATCTTTAATGGCATTACAGCAATCAGACTTTTCTGATTATTGAGCTTTATGGTTGCTATATTAGTTTGTCAACTTATTTTTGGTGATGAGCTTTGAGTCTGAGTCTCTGAGGTTGGAAGGCCTCCTTTCTATCACCCTAATCTTAGGTCCATCCCACAGATTTTGTTTCCAGATTCTCGTCTCTCTGACTGTAAAAGTCATATTAGTTTTAGTCAAATAAAAAAAAAGACTTTATAAGTTTGTAGCAAACTAAGAATTTGTATTGGGATGTGTTTTTAACTCTCCTGTTATGTTCGTTTCTGAGGAACAGCAATAATCTTTAATCTTTATTAAGAACAGTGCACATTAATGAACAATCAACACTACTGTATAGAATGTAAATGAGCCAGATTATAGCATAATTGCTAATTTCCATCTGTAGTCCTAGACAAGGAGACCCAAACAACAAAAAGACATAAACATACAATCAAGAATTAACAAACATTTAACAAACATTCACAAAAAACACAGTAGAAAGTTAGTTAAAATGAAGACATGTCTGGAAAGTTTTAATAACCAGGTCGACTACAGGTGTTTTTTAAAAACGCTATAGGTGGAACAGTCTCTGATCCGAGCCGGCACACTGTTCCAGAAGTGACTCCCTCTGACTAATGTTCCTGGGTCAATTTGACCTGCGGAGTGTTTAAACCATGCAATGGTGTCAGAAACCGAAAGAATCCTCCAAAACAATTTTGTATCTGATTATAAACTCTAATACTAACCATTTCAATCAATATTTGTGCGTTGATGGTTTCTTATTGCTCACAAATAAAGAATCAGTGATGACAATTTACTCATTTAGATGTAAAAAATGTAGTTTACATTTTTTATGTCCACTGAGGTAAAACCTAGGCATAAAAAAAACTTCCTTGAAATTGATCTTTTGTGAAAATAAAAGTAGATATCATTTCTACTTTTTTTTTTTCAATCTATCTTTATAATTGAACTTGAGACACTCATACTGTTCAGGGTCAAATTGACCGGCTGGTTAAAATCAAGACTATTGAGTCATGCAGAGAGTATTAATGTTTTCCTCCACTTCTGCTGAGTGTCACTCAGAGTGGGTGCAGTTTGTCCATGGGAACAGAAAAGGTTCCTGCTGCTTTGCTCTCAACTAGCTCTTTTGTTGAAGGACAACTTTGTTCACAAAGATGTCAAATTTATTTTATTGTTTTGTTATTTTGGATATTCATAATGGCTTCCAGTTTCAGTGTTGAATGTTCATTAGAATTTAAAGTTTATTGACCTTTTAGAAGGTATTCTTGCATCATTATTTTTTCCATTACTGTTGTATTACTTAAAAAAAAAATCTCAAAACAACAATATTATTGTTAATCGCAATAACTTCTGGAACAATTTATCATCAAGAAAAATGTGTCATCATAAGAGGCCTAATGACCATATCTTTTTTTGTTTCTTTTTTTGTTTCAATTTGTTTGATATTATTGAAAAGTTGAGAATTCACACTTTCAGAATCTGTGAATAACTCAAAATTGACATATTTTTCACAGATTTATTAAAGACTGCTTCTGTTAAAGTTGTCCTGTTTGAATTGTACTACCAGTTTTTGCACTAGTAGCTTAAACTACATTTGTTAGTTATTGCACTTTCCAGCTGAACCAAGTTCTTTGTATTTCCAGGGAGACTATGGACAATCACACAAATTCTGTGCTTCAGATGACCATCCACCAGACTTTTACAGTAACAGCAGGACAGTTCTGGTGTACTTTAAATCTGATGCCTTCCTGATAGGAAATGGTCTCAGTTTTAGCTATGAAATTGCTGGTGGGTATCCGAACAAAATGTTCTTTATCCTTTACAGTTACTTTTTTAATATGATTTGTGCTCTAAGCTGTTTGTGTTGGTTTTCAGACTGTAGTCGACTATATGAACAGGAATATGGCTACCTCAAGAGCCCAGGATGGCCTGAAATCTACCCCCACAACATGGATTGTGTGATAATTCTGAAGGCTCCACAAAACAGTTCCATCTCTTTCTTCTTTAACAACTTTGATGTGGAGAGCCAAAGCAGCTGTAACTTTGACTACCTAGAGGTAAACAGTTTCCAAACTTAGTTTGCATCTGTTGTCTTCTTCAAATTGCATTTGTGTTTGTATTTAAGATCTGGTTAGACTCAATCATGTTCCTCTTGTTTCAATATAGAATAAACTTTTCCAGGAAGGCTAAGCAGTGTCATCACTTCATCTCACCATTTTCTTAATTATAGGCTGACTGGCCTTACAACGCATTTATGCACATAAAGTTGCCTATTGGCCACACTTACAGAGAATGCTGGGACACTGTTAAAAAACAAATATTGTATTAAATTATTAGGCCCAAGAGCAAAACCGCTGTGAAGGCCTAATGTAATCATATACCATGTCCTCTTTTTATTACAATTCCTTCGTCAAATAAATTAGCTCTTTGAGGGCCTTATCATATTCAAAAACTCACCAAACTTGGCGAACACGTCAAGTCTATGTGAAAATCACATATTTTAATTTTTGTCGCAAAAAAGACCCTTCGCATTGATCTTACTTCTTCATAGAGACATGAAACTTACATGTCAGAGTGGGTGGACATGTAGCACTCTCCAAGATGCACAGAAAATTCTATCAGTGTCATAGTGCACATCAAACAGGCAGTTTTGATTTTCAAACCATTTTTGTCGTTTACAGCCTTTGCATTTGATTTAACTCGTTCTAGGTATTAAGATAGATCAGGTACAAACTTGGTCAGTTTGTTCATAAGACATGGCTGAAAACAGTTATCAAAAAAATGACTTTTTTATGCATGCTGACGTGAAACACAAAATTGTTATATCTCCTACATATACATTCACACAGGCACCAAACGTTCAGTGATCATCATCAGGTGCCCTACAATAACCAATGCTCAAAGGATGACTTCACTTAAGCCACTCCACCTGCAAACATGATGTGTCATGTTTTCCTGTGAATGGTCTCTATCTGACCCTACCTAATCAACATGAAACTGTGTCTAAAGACAGAAGACATGTTGTTGTAATGTGGTTTCCAACCCTGATTGGTTTCAGTGGAGCAGGTGTGCGTTACCTGTGACGTCATTGCCATGCGTTTGGGTCTAAATTCCAGGGAGTTGGTCTCAGCTATACCAAACTCACTGGGATCGATCTGTGTCCATATTCTCTACAGCGCTCCCTAGAATATTTTAAATGATCAGCCCCAAGATGTGCTTTAACCCAGAATTATGAAACACGGGACAAGTGTGTCTTGTCAGGACGTACAAAAACATCTCTTGGAGCCATGGTTCAACCCACACTGGAAGTTGCCCATTTTGGATTGAAGTTGCCGTCTTCTCTATTTTTTTTTTTTTTTTTTTTTACAGACGTATCTGATTGAATTCGTCCTACAGCTTTTGACATACAGACTTCAGAATCACTCAGCACAGACTTGAGGCATTGAAGGTCAAAATTTATCAAATGATTTTTTTGTATGTCAAAGCATATGGGCGTGGATTAGTGTCAAAATTTGACTATTCGCAATGAATTACCAAGGATTACAATAAAATTCCTCCAAAAAAGAAAAAAAATCACCTTGGCACACATCGTTCAACCAGACATAAACACATACACATATTTTGTTTTCAAACTCCAAACCATCTTTACAGTGAAACACTTTTGTGTAACTGTTTTTTTGTTTTTTTTCCTCCATCCTTACTGCTTCTGGTGCCCCCCTCCAATGGAACTGCAGGGGGAGGGGGATCAACAAAATATGCGCTATAGTGATTATCAATGATTTTAGTGATGGTGGTAGAAGTTTGTTGATGGATTGCTGGTTTGATTCCTGTTCTGTCTGCCTCTGTCGTTGTGTCCTTGGGCAAGACACTTCACCCACCTTGTCTGCTGGTGGTGGTCAGAACAGGGTCCAGTGGTGCCGGGTCATTGAAGCCTCACTTCTATCAGTGTGCCCCAGGTCTGCTGTGGCTACTATTGATGGGTAAATGAGAAGTCATCAATCAGTCAATCAATCAATCAATCAAATTTTATTTGTATAGCATATTTCAGCAACAAGGCATTTCAAAGTGCTTTACATCATAAACACAAAAACACAAAGTCATGCAACATGGAATAAACAATACATTGTTACATATTACATTTCAAATACAATTCTAAACAGAATGTGTTTTTAGTTGAGATTTAAAGGAAGTCAGGGTTTCTGCTGTTTTACAGTTTTCTGGAAGTTTGTTTCAAAGTTTTGGTGCATAGATGCTGAAAGCTGCTTCTCCTCTCTTGGTTCTGGTTCTGGGGATGCAGAGCAGAACCAGAACCAGAACCTGAGAGTCTGGAAGGTTGATACAACAACAGCAGATCTTTGATGTATTGTGGTGCTAAACCGTTCAGTGATTTATAAACTAACAACAGTATTTTAAAATCTATTCTTTGAGCTACAGGGAGCCAGTGGAGGGACTTTAAAACTGCTGTTATGTCTCTATCTTCCTGGTTTTAGTGAGAACAGGAGCAGCAGCTTCTGGATCAGCTGCAGCTGGAGGATTGATTTGTTGGACAGGCCTGTGAAGACGCTGTTACAATAATCAATGCGACTAAAGATAAACAGGGATGAGTTTCTCTAGATCTGGCTGAGACATTAGTCCTCTAATCCTGGAGATGTTCTTCAGTGATAGAAGGCCGACTTTGTAACTGTCTTTATGTGGCTCGTAAGGTTCAAGTCCGAGTCCATCACTACTCATGAAGCGTTTCGACCCATAGCAAAACTGTCATACTATGTCACTGAATACTGACACCTGCTGGACATTAAAAATCCCTACAGGCAGTTGACAGACTGATTTGATGACCTAGTCTATACAATAAGATTTAAGTCATTGTATTTTATTGTACATAATATATTGTATTATGTCATATCTTCAGTTCAATTCAAAACATATTTGATATTCTTAGATGGTCAATAAATAATGTGAACATGTACCACATGATGAAAATTTAAGTGAACGTGTTTGGAATGAGGATGCTTGTGGACTGGGATTTTTTTTCTCACAAATTTTCATTGAAAAAAATATGTTTTTCCAAATTTTTCAATTTAGTCTATTACGCTTTTGTAACAGCAATACATTTATATGAAATAACTTATAAAAAGCAACTGAGTAATTTGCAGAATGCCTGAGTTTATCCTCGGTGTATCTGGGATTCATTCTGATGCCTGGCTCAATAATGTCTCAGCATTGAGGAGATGGATTTATTTAAATAAGACACTACTATCAAACATATGCAACTTAATCAATCAATCAATCAAATTTTATTTGTAGAGCACATTTCAGCAATAAGGCATTTCAAAGTGCTTTACATCACAAAAACACAAAATCATCTTCAGAACATAATGTGAAAGTAAACTAAGAGTCAATTTTAGCTGAATTTGGATTCAGATGGATCAAGTAGAAACTGAGAACTGGATAAAACAACAATGAACTGAACCAACACCTTATTTTCTGATGTAAGATCAAAGTGGTTCCAAACTACGAAACCTTTCGTTTGCCTTGAAGATAGATAGTTGATGCTGTACCGTAAAAGATCAAGAATTATTTTGGTAAATACATCCCCTAGACAGATTTGCTTCCTTATAAACACAGTTTGGCGCCAGTGTCATTTCAAAATGCTCCTGTGTTGGTCATGTGACTTGCTGAAAGCCGTACGCACACCGACACGGGGTTTTGTCTAAGGGCTTGACGCGTGTGGTGACGCGTCTGTGTCGCTGGACCCATCACTAGTGGCTACTATCCTGTAGCTTGACACTGTTTGAATTGTCAGTGTTTGAATGTATGGGTGAATGAATCCTATGGACTATGCAAATATACTCCATTTAGCAATTAATGAATCTCTGTTTTCAGTATACATTAGTTGATACTAGAATGGTACAGAAAATTCCTCTAACAAATACTCTCTCTGGTTTTGGCTACTGCAGTTGGAAGGATTTTACCAGTGCAAATAACCCCAAGGTGTTTTTTACAGCTGACTAGCATCTTGAAAAGCGTAAATACTATTTGAAGTAAAGTACAAATTTAATTCCATTTAATTTTTATTGAAAACCATTTACATCTGTACCAGTTGGATTGGTAAAATTCAGCTGTATACCATCTGCAATTCACTTTCTGGAGATATCTTTAAAATTGTTTTAGCTTTAATTTGACTTTTAATGTCCAATATCTCTGACCGCTTCATCTGGGTATGTTTTTTATCTGATGCTTTTCAACACTTTGTGTCATTACTCAGATCCGTAATGGAAGTACAGCAGACTCGCAGTTGATTGGTAAGTTCTGTGGTCAAACCCTACCCAACCCCATCTTCCCACAATCCAACCAGCTGTACCTACGCTTCAAGAGTGACTTCTCTACTGCCCGGGGTGGATTTGATGCTACATGGACATCTTCTCCAAATGGTCAGGATTCAATTTACAGAAACTAATTTGTTCACTGAAAGATTTCAGCCCCCAACTCTCTTATTTTGTCATACTTGGTGTTGATCATTGTATGATGAATGTTTGTCACTTCCATATTTTCTTCATAAATGATGGTGAACATAGTGGCTTTACTGAAAGTGCAATCATAGATTAATTTTCAGCTGACATTTTTGTTCAATAAAATAAATTCTTGTTCTCATTTTTAGCTATAATTGCACATTATTACACAGATTGGAAACCATGGTGATCAGACAGTTCCCTGTGGTATTAACTTGTGGCTGTCTCTTATTCTTTCTAGGATGTGGTGGCATCCTTTATGGAGACCATGGTTCATTCTCTAGCCCCAATTTCCCAGGAAGTTACCTAAACAATACTCATTGTGAATGGAGCATCAAGGCACCTAGAAATCATGTGGTAACCATCACATTTGCCCAGTTCAGTATTGATGACCCAGGAAATTGTCAAAGCAACTTCTTGAAGTTATATGATGGCCCAGATACCTCCTCAGCTCCAGTTGGACCTTACTGTGGAGTGGTATGTCGCTCATAAGGCCATAGAAATAAACTAATTAGAAATTTTCCAAACAACTAAAACGAACTGCCTGTCTGTCTAGTAAATATTAATCCTATTCCACATCCTTGTCACCTTTCTGTTTGTTTTAGGAAACCAACATTGCTCCTTTCAGAGCCTCCTCCAACCACGTTTATATTGTTTTCCAAGGCCAGTACTCCACCTTGCCATCAGGCTTTAGACTCACCTGGAGCAGCTGAAAAACAAATATGGTTTCCATGTTCTAACATGCACACAACAGACATATTAATCATATTGAAAATACTAAAGCATTACAAAATTGGTGAAAACATATTTCAGTGTAATGAACTGTATTATTAAAATTATTACATTATTCATTAAACTGGACTTTTCTGAAAGCATTATGGTCTAACATTGATTACTTCTGTATGTCAATGTTTACAGTAGTAAACATTTATTTTTATTTGTGGGGTTGAAATCAAAATTCACACCAGATGATGGCAAAGCTTGACATTTCCTCTTAGTGTACTGGAATCGATGGAACTCAGAGATTATTAGAAATGGTTATACAGGACAGGGTTATTAGGAAATGATGTTGTACTCTACCTTGCATGCCATATGCTAGCTCAGACTCCAGAGTATAACAGGAAAGTATCAGTCTATGAATATTTTGAAGCCAACTGAATAAATCTAATCTTAATCTACATTTAGACTATTACTTTCAGTTTCTGCATGAAAAGGTAAAATGCCTTATTTCCAGCTAATCAGTATTTATCTCAAAGACAGATACAAAATTGATAATTGATAATAAAATTTGGAGTAAATATTTGTCAGAAAGAGATTGCACCATATGAATGATCACGAGAGATGTGAAAGGCAAAATTGTATTTGTGAATTTGAAAGTACCAAAGGCTGCCTTGGAAAATTTGAAACAATGACCCAAAGCAAACTGGTAAATCCACCAAGGACTGTGAGAAATTTAAGAGGAAATGAAGACCTGCTCTTTTCAGATGTTGGTGGATGACTTGACATGGGTATACATGTAAAAAAAATCCTCAAATATCTCATAGAGACAGTTCTGTGCTGAAGAATAAGGCAATTTTTCTGCAGATTCACATCACAAACTGGTAATGACCAAAACTGAAACTAGTTGTTTATTAAGCTGTCATTTTCAGGCTGATGTTGACATGTGAACGGTGTTTTAACCTTAGTAACCTGTTCCTTATGAAATCTTGACACAACCTTGATTAACAAGTCTTTAAAAACCATTTTGACAAGTATGAAGTGGTTTTATTATATTTTTATTTAATTACTAAATGAAACTAAATCAAATTTAAATTGATCCCTTGCAACAAGGCTTGAATATGAAGAGTAAATTGTCAAAAAATGTCAACTTTCTTGATGTTGATGCAGTTGTTGAGGTTCACAGACCAAAAAAATTACTGGTATGATTTTGTTCATCTTTCAGAATATTTTTATAGATGTACTGCAAAGTACATATAATGCCTGTTTAATCTCCCCACAGGGCTGTTTCAAATTTGTCAGCTCCCACCCTTCCCTTAACATTTGATCCTTTGCTATTCCCATCTTATCCACCTGCCTGCACACAGATTGTTTCCTCAGCCATGTGAGTTATCAACATTGGTATGGTGTGACACATATGCATTGGCCTCACAAACTGTTACTGAGCCACGTCTATGATCAAGTGCCGCAGTATGAGCTTTGGAAAAAGATCACAGTAACAAACCAAGGTTAAGAGCACCAACATTTAAATAATCTTAAAGATTCAAATGTTTGACTAAGAATGCCAGAAACCAGTGATCTCTCCAGAGTCACACTTCTGTCCATACTAAAATGTTTGGAGTTTTTTTGCTTATTTAAATCTAAATAAATTTCTCAATTCTTCACAGCATTCACAATTTCTAATTCCTAATATTTTTTACAACCATAAACATATCCGGATGTCTAAACAACAATTCAGGTTTCTTTGTGATTGTGATTGTTGTTGTCTTTTGGTAATTGTAGATGTTCAGTCAATAGACTGTGCAGTTTGCAGTGGAGCGCTGAGTACACAGGAACTCACTGGTGACCTCCTTGTACCCTCTGGATTGAGTAAGATGACTTCCTGAAGACAAAATGAGAACATTATATTGTGGACATTTATCCATAGAAGAAAATACATATAGAAATATACATACAAAAGCTGAAGTTAGGAAATGGAACAACTTTTTTATATTTAAACTAACATCTCTGAAAAACTATCATTTGGGAGTTATATTATTTTGCATGTGTGAAACCTGGCACTCTAACAGGCTTTGGACAACAATCATATCAAATTTGATGTTTCCTTTCATACCAAAACAATGGCGAGAAGACCTAAATTTATTAAAGAATATTATTTTCTGTCACTTAAACACTATCTGCCGCCCTTGTATATGTATGTACACACATAGTGTATGTACATACACAGACATGTCTTCATGATGTTTCATGTTTTTTTTTTATAAAAAAAACTCTAAGCAGCATAGAAAGTTTGGAGTACTCCTGGATCAGTGTGTCTGTTTTTGTGTCAGAATCCCAGTTTGTTGGAGCTGGTCACATACTGGTCACACTTTCTTTTGAAAGTTTCCCACAGCTAATAGGGATTTCTTCGTTCTGACGCCTCATGCATGCTAAGTTACTGACTCCACGTAATAAACTGTCTACTGTTGTTTCAAAGATAGTCACTTGATGCAACTATAAGATAGAAAACCTTTGTCATGGACGTCATGGACATCAGAGCCAGGACAATTGCTGTCTGTCAAAAGTAGACTATAAGTTATTAACTGGAAATTGTGAATTTTTACTAGAATAATTCAGTGGATTTTATCTGCATTTTGTTATTCAATCTTACCTTCTATAAGATTATAAAGGTTGCAGTAGTTGGTGCCATGGTCTTTAATAACATACCAGGTCTCAGAGATGGACATCGCCTGGACATACACAGAGTTACAAACTTACAATTTATAGCACTTTTTTAGTCAAATCAGTCACTCAGTGAGCTTTACACTGGAGTCGCTTCCACTCACACATACAGCCAGTAATTTCTCCAACTTGCAGATCGTTAGACAATTTAGGATCGAGTCCCTTGCCCAGAGACACAGTAATGGTAAAATGAGAAAGCTAGAAATAATGTCACAACTTTTAGATGGCAAAAGAGAACATCAAAAAAGCCTTCAGAGCAACTCTCCACCCCTATCCCGGCACCTCGGAGAATCTCTTTGTTATTCTCATTCCAGAATACTGTCCTCTGCTTATATGCTGGGATGAGTATGAAAAGAAAAGCAAGCAGTTAAGAAGGTGAGAGTGTTACCTGAGGGAACTGTATGCACAGGACTGTTTTGAGTGCATATTGTGGGGTGTTGGGGAGTATGTAGAATCTGTGTCAGACTACATCCAGTGGTGTATTTCTGAGGTTACAGTAACAAAGACCTTAGTCACAAGGTAACCAGGAACCTTGGACGACTAAGGAGGTGTATACCGAAATGCTGCTTTCAAATCTTGTGATGTGACACTTAAACACTTAGAGAGCAAGGGCCAATCTAAACATCAGAGCAGCAAAGCATGCCTATCGTCAGAAGACTCAAGACTTCTTTCATATTGTCTTTCGTGGTGTAGAGTGAACAACTTGATGCTGAAGGACAAGGATCATTGTCAACTTCAGGAGTTCTCAACCCAGCCACTCCTCAACAATGACAGAGCAGTGGAGATCGTCAGCAGTGCGAAGTTCCTGGAGATGCACATTGCACCTGCACTTTGAGTCATGGATGAGAAGGGTTCCCCTCACCCTTCCTGTCCTCTCCACCATCTCAGACAAACCATTGAAAGCCTGCTTCTGGTCTGGAAGCTGCAATGCATCAGCCTGGAAATCTTTGCAAAGAGCTGTGAGGACAGCAGAGAGGATGACTCCTCTTTTCCCATCCAGAATATTGCACACAGATGCTGGTTAGCCAGAGCAAACTAGATCCTCTCCAATTCCACCCATCCTACCCATGGTCTATTCATCTGATTGGCAACTGGCAGGAGATTCTGCAACATTCACAGTGGAACAGCCAGACTCAGAAATGCATTATTTGCTGATCATTTGGATCAGCGATCCAAATGATCAGATCTTCCAATCACTTTCATGGCCACAGGTGTATAGAATTAAGCACCTAGACATTCTTTCACATTTATGAAAGAATGGGTCGCTCTCAGGAGCTCAGTGAATTCCACCATGGAACTGTGGTAGGATGCGACCTGTAGAACAAATCCAGTTGTGAAATTTCCTCCCTCCTAAATATTCCACAGTCAACTGTCAACTGTATTATAAGAACATGGAAGTGTTTAGGAATGACAGCGACTCAGCCACAAAGTGGTAGGCCAGGTAAACTGACAGTCAGCCGATGCTGAAGTGCAGAGAGCAAAGAGGTCACCAACTTTCTGCAGTCAATCACTACAGACCTTTAAACATCATGTGGCCTTCAGATGAGCTCATTGCACAGAGAGCTTCATGGAATGGGTTTCCACGGTGAAGCAGCTTCATCCAAACCATACATCACCAAGTGCAATGCAAATAACAACTGAACATAGTATAGTTACTTGATCGTGCTATAAAATGGCACTATACGTGCCTGGAAAATATCTAATATTTCCCATTTGAGATCAAACTGCATTAAAGACAAAGGTCAAAGTCTGTCCATCCACAGATCCATCTTCTGTGTTTATCTTGGTGCCTATCTTAAAAACCAAAATATTTCCAGAGACAAACAGCACATGGCTTGTACTTGTCTTTAATTAGTTTACTAGTAAATTTCAAGCTTAGTTTTTCATGAGAGTCAAGATCAATTATGTGGAGTGTGAAAACTTACTGTAACATGACAAGACGCAAAGAACTGATAAGAAACCAATCTGAAGTTGATGTCCTCCACATACCTCTTATCAGGATTGGTATGCTTGGCAGTTATAAAGTGGATAGAGGCTGATTGAAGCTACAGACAAACAGAACAAAATGTTGGTTTAGTTCAGTTTTATCACCAAAATTATTCTTCCAGGAAGAGAAGAATATGTTTTCATTTAGAGAAAAGCATTGTTGTAATAGCTCAAAACTCTAGAATGTGGCATGCAACAAAAAGACAGACCTTGTACAGGCACCTCTGTCCCCCTGCCACGCAGCTAGATGTTGTCCATTTCTTAATTTGTGAAACAAGTGATTCATAAACCACTCGACATGATATCCCAAAGTACCTGCAGAAAAGAAGTTCATATAAATTAGAGCTCAGTGTTGTTATTCTAACATTCTGTTATACATGAAATGATTAAATTTTTCTTTGACTGTTAGACCACTTATTGTTTTCCTAGAAGCTAATGCAAAATTGCAGGCCAATCTACAACCTTACATTCATCAGAGAGCTTATTTTGTAAAAGCTATGTTTCAACTCTTAAAAGCTTCTTAACGATGACCAACTGCTTTGATGTCTTTCAATCTGGTTTGGGTTGTCTTTCAGAAAAGGACAAAGATCCTGTGAGGTTTCTATAGTTTCAAGGGCCTCCTACTAAAAACTACAAGGATCAGCTGTGAATTTTGAGAATGAACAGAATGCTGTCTCCAAATCCTTTCCTGTTTGCTGCAACAATAAGAGAGTACATGAAACAATGAGGCTGAAAAACCTACTACAGTGACTGCATTGAGAGAATCATTGTTCATTGATGATTTTATGTACCAGTTCACCTGGCTTAAGAAAGCACTCTCACAACAGCAAAGGAGATCCAGTCACATGACAACATGAACTTGTGCCAGGGTGACAAATTCAAGAGAACTGAGAGATAAGTGGAAGGAGAATGGAAATGCAACATGGTAGAGACAGATGCCACTGGAAACATATTGAATGTCCTGGGTCTTGTATGGAGGTTATAAGAGGATGATTGTGTCTTTGACCTAAAAAGGCATTTGTAAGAACAAAGAGAACTCAAAAAGGAGTGTATTGAAGATATCGACTTGTATCTGGGATCCTATTGGACTCTCTCACCATCAGAGTAAAATGCCTATTTCAAGAGTTGTGGGAGAGGAGAAGTGGTTGGGATGAAGAGTTGCTCCTGGATTTGGCTAAAAAATGGAGTGAATAGTGTGAAGAGCTTTCAGGACTTCACCTGTTGTCTGTTCCAAGGTGCTACAAAGTTGAAATTCAGCCAAACCCACAGACATTGAAACTGCAGGATTTCAGTGATGCCTGTGCTTATGGAGCTGTTCTTATCTACAAGGACAAAACAAAGTCGGAGAAGCAATACAACGCTTTGTATCATCAAAAACAAGAGTGGTTCCACTGAAGAAAATGTTGCTGCCATGCTTGGAGTTTATGAAAAATTTAATTGGAGCACAACAGAGAAATAACCTCCTCAACCCTTTGAACATTGGAGAAGGTCAACTCAAAATGTGGACAGAGTCCATGATTGCTCTGCACTGGATATTCAACACGGCTCAGATGTGGAAAGCATTCGTAGCAAACCAAGTGACTGAAATACAAGATCTTTCTATTCCTGAACTTTGGTCACACTGCAGTAAGAAAACCATCCCAGCCAATCAACATGATGAGAATGGACATTGGTTGGAGATGGAGGCACCATCAGAAACTCTTGACAAGCTTCAGAAATCATTGGCAAAAAGCTTACCTCATGAACCTAAAACTTTCCACAAGTGTCAGCTAGCCAAACCTACTTCTTTGAAAGTAGCCAAAGTGTTCCTTTATGGAGACAACAATGTTCCAAGGCAGACATGCAAACTAGGCAGAGTCACAGAGCATTCATGTGCTGTTCACTTCTCCAGGAATCCTTTTGAGGCAAATAGTTCAGCTTATATAGCCTCTAGAAATTGATTAGAAGTATTTTGTAGTAATGAACCATTGTTCACTGGGGGCGTGGAGGATGTTATAAAATATTTAGACTTAAAACCAGTAACAGATTTCATAGGAAATAAATAAATAATTAGTTAATACAAATTACAAGACTAACTTGGGAAAATTAGGTAAATTATATTGAGAATTCATTGAAATGCATTTTTGACTAACAGAGTTTGATTCAAAACAGGAAATTGAATTGTGAGATGGTTTTTTTTTTAACATTAGTTGTCTCAGCAGTTTTTTTTTTTTTTCTGAACCTGAGCCCAACATGAAGAAGCTGCATTCGGTTTTTCTATATATTTACTTCCTTTAAATCAAGTGGAGCACTTTGCACTAGAGCAACATTGAAGTGTTGCCAAGAATGTGAAAACAAACAAACTTGAAGCAAGCAATAAATATTATGCTTGTTGTCTAACATATCACAAATGCCAGTAATTAATTTCAAGCATTTTTAGGAATACCTTTATTCTAAGATCAACAAAAATTAACAAAGGAAAGTATTTCCATACTTCAAGTCAAGTAATTATTGAAAATATACACAGACATTCTTACCAGTCCACTTTACACTGTGCATGAATAGGTCCAGCATAACAAAAAGCTAATGACCCCATTCCCAGGAGAGCTGTGAAGGCCCAATGAACAAGATGCATTCTGCTCCAACCTGCAGCAGCTGACTGAGAAACATGCATGAATTCAAAAGGCTAAAATTACAAGTGTGTCATGTGCTCTCCTCAGAAGGAAAGCACATGACTAAATGTGCCCTCCTAAATGAGAGAAGGCTAAATTAAATTTACCTCGAAGATGAATTAAGAGACTGTACAGTCTCTGCTTTAGAACAGCAGATACATTGTAGACTCCCTTAGTTTAACCTGACACTGCTGACCTTCCATGACTTTCAGAAATCCCAAAAATGCAAGATGTTGTATACAGTGTTTCAATATAAAACACTTAGCTTCTGTCAACTATGAGAGTTCTAGATTACATTAGTTTTATTCCAGTTTTATGGATATACATTTGTGTTACTTTAAAATTTAAATATGGTCACGATTCGATGAGGGAAGAAAATCAGAAAATTCTGTCTTACGTCATAGACTTCCCAATATCAGCTACATTTTCAGTCTGTTAGTGATAACCACCGTGTCTTTCCATGATGGTGATATGCACATTGCTTTGGTATTTCACTAGTGCTCCTTCCTTCCAGGTTTGGCCAGCAAGATGCACATTCCTCATTAGGCCTCATCAGGAGGAACTTAAAGAGGAGCTGGCTCCCTGAGACAGATCCAGATGCCTTGCTTTCAACAGTTCTTAGTTTCTTAAAGTCTTTGACTTTGACTTCTCATGTCTTCTCCAGCAGAGTTGGATTCTTCTCAATCAGTCATCACAGTAGCTCCAACACTGATAGGGTTCTGCATTATTGACAAAGCCAGAAAATGTTTAAGCTTTGTACAAATACAATTAGTCATCTGGCATTGTTTGCTACTGTGAAATGAACCACGTCTTACTTCTAATTTACTTTTCAAGACTGTCTGAGTCATTGGCTCCAGGCTTAAGACCAACAGAGTAACCACACAGACATGGTTCCAGTCACCTGGTTCATCACTGGAACCAGGTGATGTCATTTCAGAAGTTCTTAAACAAGTGTTTGCTGTTGACTGGCGGGATCCTCTCTGCAACCAGACAAAAAACACAAGCAAAAAACATCAGATGAAAACCAGTTTGTCCAGGGAATGTTCTGTCTTTATCCTACCCTTTTGTTTTTTTTGGAGAAACATGTTGGTAAAAAAAAAACATGTTTTTTTTCTCCAAAAAAAAAGTAAAAAAACTTTACTTTTTGAACTACTCATTCAGGATAGATGATAAAAAACAAACTCAATGTAGAAAAAGACTGCTCTCATATCACAGTCCAAAACCATTAGAAAAAAATACCAAGAACATTAAAGCCCAAAGAAAACCAAGGCACTGTTCTATTTAAAAAGTAGACAGCCCCTATTTGGAGTGTCTGACATCATCAATTGTTTAAATTTGAGCTTTATATCATGTTATAATTCCATGTTCACGAAGAGTCATTCCCTCATCATGAACCTGTCCCGAGCCAAACTCCAGCCTCTCCATCAGACAGCAGGGACAGCAGCAGTCAAACACTTAGTGGAGCTCAGAAAATGCTGTAAATGGCATTAGTGGACAGCAAGAAGAGCCTGCAGCTTCATCAAGGACCCCTCACACTCTGGCCACCACCTCTTCAAACTCCTACCCTGGGGGAGGCTCTTCATGGCAATAAAGTCACGAAAAAATCGATTAAAAAAAAACTGTTCCTACTCAAGTAGAGGTAAAGAATCAATATGACATGCACTAATTGAACTTATTGAGGAGATTACTAAATTACTAAATAAATACATTTGCTGCAGGAGCATTCATTTATCTAAAAAAAAAAAAAAAAAAAAAACATTTGATACTATAAATAACAACATTTTAATCAGCAAATTGATTATTATTTTACTTGTTGATGGTTCAAATATTTCAGCTTCTACAACAATTTGGGGTGGGGGTACTATTGTCCTACTAATTACTTGTTTTCTTGTTTTTAAGAACATGTATGGAATAAATAAATGAATGAATGCTATAAGAATAGAAATAAAAGAGAATTATATTAAACTAAAATGTTATACCAACGTTTTATTATCTGTAAAAAAATATTTTAGCAGTCTGGTTTACAGTTTTGCTTTGGGAATATAAATATCAGCCATTTTTGTTTTTTATTTTGGCTGATTAGCATGGTAAATTTTTGCGTAATCAACTTCTGGCAACTACTGGAAAACTTCGCAATTTTTAAAATTTTCACAATAAATTTCTGTTTTCTGCATTTCATACCTGTAAAAATAAAAGAAATTTAAGTTTCTTGAGTTATTATGTTTTAGTGTACTTTATAGAGTAATATATTTTCGGATGTGACAGTCTAACTGTTAATATTTTCACATTTTTACAGTAAATTTTACAGATTTTATTTTACAATTCAAAAAGAAAAAGAAAATTAGTTCCCAAGACTATACAGTTAACTGACGGAGTCAGTTAAACTTGACTCCGTCTGTGGATTGTAGACCTCCCATGTCATATACGTATATCTGTATGCGTATATGTCCCCACTCCAGTCCAGGCGGTGGCAGCAAATTGACCTGTCCCCCAATAAAATACAGAAGAAGGATTGCGCATGCGCTCCTCCCTCAGGACAGTAGGTCGCTCTAGTCAGTGACAGGTGAAACGAACCAAACCGGTCGTTGTGTCACAAACATGGCGACTTTCAGTAAATATCTAACAGCGAAAAACTCCTGCTTAGCAGGCGGTGGCTTGCTGCTTTTGTACCTGTTAAGACACCGAAGTCAAACGCGCAAAAAACACAGGTTAGTCGTTCTTTCTTAGATTGTTCTTACTAACAATTTTGTGACAGGCTACTGAGACATTTCTCATGTCAACCTGTTCCATGTGAGAAGGAACCTTTTTACTCAGGTTCTAAACTAACCCATAACTCATACCAGCAATATTACACCGTGTTAGCGCTTCACTGAAAAGTGATTATTTAGAAGGACTAAACTTGGCTGGGATTTCTCCCTCTGGTGTATCAGTGAAACTCCCATTGGCAGGTTAACTGAGACTTGAAAACCGTCTCTGTTTTTGATGGTTATAATAAGTCATTTGGAACTGCTCTTAAGCAGTGTTTGACTCAAATAAGTGTTTGGTTCAGCTGGTGATGTAGGAAATGTGAGGTAAATGTGTAGCTGTCAATTTAGATTATTCTTTGTTTTTACGTCCGAGGTTTTATAAATGCTGTAATGCAAATTTCCTTTTAACAATTTCTGTTTTTCACCTAGAATTTCAAGTTGAGGTAAGTTTCCACGTGTAATATTGTGCCTTCTTTTTGCAGAGCTTCACTTATTCAGTCTTTTCTGTGATTTTATGAGATTTGTACTACTGAGGCCTTAAAAATGTTCTGAACTGAATGAGTCACTTATGGAGTTAAATAGAAACCTGTGCAAGTTCAAAAGGAGAAATATCTGAATAGGGGTTCAAAAGCCTAACCACAGCATATCTCCCAATCTGAAAACACTGACAGAGCTGGAACAGGTTAACTCTGAAATATGAGAAAAATCTCAGTGGTTTAATTGGAGAATTTAAAAAGCCCATTTAACATGCAGGAGTTTGTTTCATTGATACAAATTTAAAAGTTTAAATTCCACAATATGAGGGAAACGGGGAAATTAGTTACCTAATGTGTTCAAAGCATTAATATTATAAAATGTTTTTAAATTAGCTTGGGTTTGGCCTTCATGGTAGTGCACCTAAACTGGGCCAGAAACAGTGTAAAACCACTTCATTGACACTTTTTAAAACACTTGACATTTTTTTCTGACTTGTTCATCCATCCCTCCTTATAAAATCAACGTTTGAGTTGACAAGCCCAGTATGGAAATCCAAATGCCTTCCCTGGTGACTCTCCAGCTCATTTTGATGATCTATGATGTGGAGCCCTTCAGCATCTCCAAACAAATCTGATCCACCCTGGGCACGCCAAAAGCCAAAGGCAGGCTTTGGCTGTTTGATGTCCTGTGGTGGACTTTCCTCCTAAACCCTCATAGAGTTACAGGACTCTGAGGATCTCCATACCCCAGTCACTAGGAGGCAGAGTGCTCCTTCCACTCTCAACCAATTACAGCCTGGGATGTGCTGTGCTTTCCTTTTCTCCAAAGTGAAAAGAACAATTTTTCTAAGATGGATGAGAAAGTGTTGCTTTTCTTTGCAATGTTACCTTTTCATTTTCCAAGTCTGTATCAGAAACTATTTTAACAAATAAGAATGGTTCCTCCCATTAATGTTTTCAGGAAAACTGCATATTTTATTATGTTTTTTCATTTGTTCCCAGTCTGAAAGGAACTTCCCAGCTACTAGTGAACACAGAGGTAAGCCTCAGCAAGACTCCCGGGCGAAAAAGATGGATCACTACTCAGTCAGTTGTTTTGATTTGAAGCAAAGACAAATTCCTGAAAAACGTAAAAATTCAGACCAGCACAAATAAAAAAACAAAGGGGCAAAGACAACAGTTTCTGCTTGTGGAGAAATGTCATCTGAAGGAGCACTGGCTGAAAATGGAAGTCAGTGACGAATCCTTATTTTCAGTGGAAAATAATGTGATGGAATTGTTGCAACCCTAATAGAAATAGGAGGTCAGAGTCACTTCCACAACAACAAAAGCACATGGTGACATTACAGTGTTACTTTTTTCTTTTCATTGATACAAAACAGATTTGGGGATGATGTTGAGAAAAAAACTTATATGTTGGAAATCAGATCAATGACCAGTAATCATGCCAGACCCCAGTCAAACTGGACGCTGGTGGTAAAGCAGGTTCATTACAAGACTTTATCCTGCACAGCTGATCTTAAATGGTTGAATATTAAAACCTAGTTTAAGGACGAGACATGCCAATAGTGAAGTCCTTAAATGCTTGTAACATTTTTTGCAACAAACAGAAACAATTGACTGAGGAGCCTCTGACATAGTCACTCATATTTTTGCTAGCAATTGTATGAATAGTAAAAATTTATCACTAAATATAATTTCTTATGTTTATTTAATATAGAAAGATGGAAAAAAAGACAAAACAGCTGTGGATAAGGTTTTCTTTCTTCGAATCCTTCAAATTCTTCGCATCATGGTGCCACGTGTTTTCTGCATGGAGGTTTGTTTCATCTGAATGCTGTGATATTAGCCAAACATTTTCATACAAGCCACAATAAAATTTGCAAACAATCTGCAAGGCAAAGTCTTGTCTTATCTGTGACCTCAGTAATACCTGGATCTTTAGTACTTTAGA